TCATCTCGTTCAAATTCTTGAAATATATTCTGAGCCCGTTGAAGCTCCGTTGTTGCGTGGTTAAGGCCTTGCCGAAGTTGCTCATTACTAGCAAGGAGATCCTCGTACGAAGGTTGCGTTTGGTGATTTTGGCCGTCCGGCCCGTCGTTTCGTAAGAACTGCTCAGAGTCCATCATTTTATCGTAACTTGCTCTTAGGCGCGCTTGCCGTGCCTATAGAGAACGTTCTCAATTCTTCGTTCTCGTACGAAGAAGAGATAAGAGTGGTGATCTTTCTTCTTATGTTATGGGCGAAGAGGCCTTCGAACGAGTTTGCATTAACCTATAGTACAGAAGAAGAAAGATAAGAAGAGTTAAGCTGTCGTACGACACCTCTCTCTTTATACCTTGCTTCTCTACTCTTCGTACGAGTAAGTTCTAACTAAGCGGTGTGATATAGGCACGTGATGTAGGCACGTGATACAATCACGTGCTTTCACTCCACGGGCGCAGCCCATTACACTTATCTCTCTCCCCTAGCATTATTTCTCTCTTTATATTCTAGAACCTATCGATTCGCTACCTCTGAGTCTATCGCTAGACAAGTAGACGACTCTACCTCTGAGCTAGCTATAGAACAAGTAGCACCCTCCTTATTCCAACAGTTTTGACCCTTCACCCACTCTAAGACAGCTTCATCAATCGCCCCTGACTCGAACGTCCTCGTTATCGATACCCTTACACTCCCATTCCGGTTGGAAGCAACCGTAACGCCCCCTGCCTGGCTAGTATTAGTAGGCATAGTTGTCTTAATACCCCGTGTTTGCGAATTACGTGTGCTAGTAGACGTACGTACTCGTATCAATCTTTTCGTTTCGCCCCACGTTGGCGTTATCTCGCTTAGGCTTACGCTAGAACTAAAACGTAGAAATTAAGGGCAAATTTGCGCTAGACTATAATGGGCGAGAATCAGTGTCTAATCCGCGTTGCATACACGCATTTTTGGATCAGGGCGCTTAATTACTCGATTAGGATGGATCGGGGTCAAATCCAAGTAGCATCATATACTAGGAAAGTAAATATTTTGTAATATAGTTCCCTTCTTACATATATACCTTGACCTATCACTCACGTTTAATCGTGCACGCACTCCTTCTTCTTCCTCAACCTCGCCGCATTCGCAGCTCCCTTTATAGTCACTTGTGTGCGATGCAAACCACCAATCGCCTTGCGATCTAAAGCTACACTCGCCTTGCTGTCGTTAGGGAACTTAGCCGTGATATTCCCAAATTTCTGTTCAGCCTCCTTAGCAATATAAACCACTTCGCCTCCCACCATCGTGAGCAGAACACGTTGACGGCCAAGCATCTCTTCGGGTACGGTGAAGTAGTTATTTTCTAATACGATCATGTCGGCAAATTTACCCACCTCTAGAGAACCAATATACTGATCAGCCCTCAGAAACTTTGCACCATTGATGGTGATGGCGCGCAGAGCAGCCTCGCGCGAGATGCCTTCGCCCGGGAAAGTACCATTATAAGGCGCCCCTTGAGATGCGGCAGAATGGGGGTTTCCGGGATCACCGGATCGTGTGACTGCGATCTTGAGGGCGAGAAACTCGTCGAGGGGATCAACCGGCCAGTCACTGCCGTATGTCACAGGTCGGCCTGCCTTTTCGATCTGGGCATACGCTTGCAGATTCTGGCGACGGTAGTCGGCTATCGACGGAAATGTGTTTGGGAGGTAGGAAGAGCTGAGCTGCGACCATTGGAAGCTCATGATTGGGTCGACTTCCAGCTCCGCAAAACGACCCCAGTCGTCTTCGTGAGAGAGCTCGTCGTGGGCGAGGCCGAGTCGAAAATCGTGACCGGGGTGCTCTCTGCGGAACGATTCGGCCGTGTCAAGACCAATCCGAACAGAGAGATCACCATCGGCGTGTATCTGCGCATCTATACCAGCAAGGAACATACTAGAAAGTGTACGTTTGAGTATTTCAGGCTCCCAGTAGGTCTTTTTGAGTGTACTTGGGTCTGGTACCCATGTCGTATTAGATCCATTGACGAGGCTCCAGTAAGGCTCAATGAGGGCTGCGGTCCTCGAAGGATAGGTTATAACGCCATCCAAGAAAGCCTTGATAGCCTGCCACTTGATGGACGGGGTGGGTTGCATTGTGGAGTTATTGTCTAAGCTCTTGATAAGCTTGACACTCTTGGCGACAAGTCCAGGTACGTCGTCGAGAGAATTCGGAGCCTCGATCCGGTAATCGAAATATGCTCGTGCGCTAAGTCCACCTCCCTGGAGAATAGCTTGAAACACTGCATTGTGCTCTACTTGGGCTGCGGCCTCCTGGAAGGTCGTAATACCAGACTGACGCAACAGTTGCATAGCAGCTAGACCAGCTTGCACAGCTTCTTCTGGAGTAGGCAGAGGCAGCACGAGTAGTCTAGAGGCGTCGTCTTGAAGCACCCCCGAAGGCTCTTTGCTCCCAGGCAGCCGTTCAAGAAGACCGCCAGACGGGTCCGGAGTATTAGCTGTGATATTGGATATTTCTAAGGCTCGCGAATTCGCCAAGACAGTGTGGTAGTCGGATGAGCGGATTATAACCGGCCTTTTTGTTCTCAATAGATCGAGAACAGTTTTATTGATCGAACCACTGCGCGAGATGAGAGTAGGATAGTCCAAGTTCACAACCTCCATCCAGGCATGATCTGGCTTCACAGTCTCGTCGTCAATGCAACGCTGAACGTGCTTTAGGACTTTAGGCAGGCCAAGCGGCTGGTAGTTAAGGTCGCACTTGAGGAGATAGATGCCGCCACCGAGGATGTGGATATGAGAGTCGATCAGACCGGGGATTGCTGCATGGCCTTGCAGGTTCACCACCTTTGTTGCATTGCCAACGTGTGACTTAACACCGTCATTAGACCCAATAAAAGCAATCACTCCATCTTTTACTGCCAATGCATCGAATTTAGATGAGTATACATCTAACGTATAGATAGAGCCATTATAAAATACAGTGTCTGCAATAGTATCAGAAGGTTCACCGGTCGGGGCAGCGCTTGCTGTAGCAAGTAGCGCCGCTATCGCAAACACTCGCATAAAGATGATTATGAAAGAATCAGAAGAAAATTGGGACGCAGAGGCTTGGTTGCGTATAGCCGAGATGGGATTGATCATATGGATTAGGGATCATAGTATGATTTAAGGGCTTCTGTCGTGAGATAACTAGTTAAGTACATATGGTATCGGCCCTTTTAAACTCGCACAATCTTTCGGGTTACGCGGTCGACCGGAAGTGCGCGCTCTTCTAGCGTTGGTGAGTACTACTAACTACGCAATTCCGGACATCTTGGCATACCTGGAAGCCCGAAATCCCGAAGGCGAAGTTTGCGCGCCTCCGGAATCTGTTAAGGCCTAAGACGACTTACGAATATAACAACGGTAGGCTGCTAAGATGTGTCCCTCACACTATTTCACGTCGAAACTGAGTACCTTTCATCGTTTTGCCTAACCAATATGAGGCGTGGGTTATAAGATAACCCGCGCTGAAATAGGCTTAGCGTTAGGGTTTCCGTCCGTGTTTACCTATACATATTAGTTTACTTACTTCGCCGGCAAAAGTGCTACAAAATTAGCTCGTGCGGTGCTAAGGGTTACCTTAGAAGTGTTTAAATCTACCCTTAAAAGTATGTTATTTCCACCCCTACTGTAACGATGTTACAACACCACCAAAGATTAAACCCGTATTGTAGTCGGTGTAAGGGGCTGCGCTCCGGGGAGCAATCGCGAGGTATACAAGAGGTTGTATTCGATGAGGAGCTATCTATTCTACTTACGTGATGTTTATTTACTCGTCGGAGAAAGGTTATGCCGAAGTATCTAAGCGCTGCTCGGGCGGTGAGAAGAATCCGGGTGCTCTAGGTGACACCCGGATTCCGCGCTCGTCGTCTGAACATAGTTCGGATAGCGCGCACGCAGCTTGAACTGAAATCCCATCGAGGAGATATCCAAAGGGCGTTCAGCCCGTTACACTAGGAGAAGCTTTCTAGCTAGCCACGTGATGGCTATCTTTAGTGTCTAGCGTGCATGTGCATCTTTGCCGTACCTCTTTTGTAATTAGTGTTACTAAAGCTAGAAGCTACGTGGTAGCAGTTTGGTACTCTTCCACACTACTTATGTTATTAAGGATTTTGTACTACTAAGCAGTTTCACACATGTTCTGATATTTTATCCAATTAAGGTAGGCCACAGCCTTATGTCCGACATCTAAGCGCATGCATTTAGCCATGCCTACCCCGCCTAAGCTGTGATACGACACCCTCACTACACTTCCTAGCAGCGAGCGCCTACCTTAGCTCAGAACGCGATTGCAGTCTGCAGCTCTGTAATTCGATAATACAGTATAGTGCACCCCTGTTCTTCCTTTTCCTATCGGTAATGTTTAGGGTGCGAAGGTCCTATTAGACAGCCTCGTCGCCGCACGCTCTTGCTGCTAGGTTGCCGCGCTGAGCCTCCTGCGTTTTGTTCCTGCTACGCGTGCCAACCCTGCATCCATATAAAGCGATGCGTCTTCTTAGGTATGGAGAAAATGAAGACCTCTCTTTCGCCGAGTTCGACGAAGACACAAGGCCGCCGTATGCGATACTTTCCCACAGGTGGGGAGCGGAAGCGGACGAGGTAACTTTCGAAGACGTGGTAGGGAATACGGGCAAGAATAAGCCTGGCTATGCGAAGATTCGCTTCTGCGGGGAACAAGCTCAGCGAGATGGCTTCCAGTGGTTCTGGGTCGATACCTGCTGCATCAACAAGGCAAACAAGGCTGAGCTGTCGCTGGCTATTCAGTCTATGTTCCGCTGGTACCGCAACTCGGCTCGATGTTATGTCTACTTGTCAGACATCTCGAGCCGACCTTTGGACATCACCCTAGTGTGCAACCTGCAGGAATCGCAGTTGCAGAGAACCGAGCGGTTTACTTGGATCTGGATGTTACTATTTATCCATCCAGTGTTTCGCTGGTATCACATCATGATTCAACGTTTCTTCGTCTTATTAAACTTTTCTAGTCCACATGCATACGAATCTAAGGTTGAAAAAAGCGAATGGTTCACTCGAGGCTGGACACTTCAGGAGCTTCTCGCACCGAGCTCGGTCGAGTTCTTCTCACGAGAATGGGAGAGGCTCGGTGACAGGGAGTCGCTAAAATCTGTTATCCACGAAGTCACAACGATCCCGCACGAAGTCCTTGAGGGAGCCCCCATCTTCCAGTTTAGTGTCGACGAGCGGTTGCGATGGAGACAAACTCGGGATACCAAGGTCAAAGAGGATGCGGCATACTCATTGTCTGGCATCTTCGACGTTGACATAGCGCCTGTCTACGGCGAAGGCATAGAGAGTGCATTCCGACGGCTCTACGAAAAGATTCGGCAGCAAGAAGAGTACCTTCGGAAGTGTGAAGAGTGCCTTCTTAACTTATGTGGCACAAACCCGCGTAATGATAAGAAGCGCATTGAGGACACGAAGGGCGGGTTGCTGAAAGACTCATACCGTTGGATCCTTCATAACAACAGTTTTCGGCAATGGCACGACGAACTGCAGAGTCAGCTGCTTTGGATTAAAGGTGACCCTGGTAAGGGCAAGACGATGCTGCTCTGTGGTATCATCGATGAGCTGCAGGCGTTAAGTGCGATCGCAAAGACAAACACAGTATCCTACTTCTTCTGCCAGGCTACCGATGCGCGCATCAACAGTGCCACAGCCGTGCTACAAGGGCTGTTGTACATGCTCGTGAAACAGCAGCCATCGCTTGCATCGCATGTTCGCAAAAAGTACGACGAGGCGGGCAAGAATGTGTTCGAGGATACAAACGCATGGGTTGCTCTAGTAGATATCTTCACAGACGTGCTGCGGGACCCGAGCTTGACTACTACGTACCTGATCGTCGACGCGCTAGATGAGTGCGTTACTGACCTGCCAAAGCTGCTTGACTTCATCGCAAAGCAGTCGTCCGCCTCTTCCCGCGTTAAGTGGGTCGTCTCTAGCCGTAACTGGCCAGAGGTCGAGAGACGTCTAGAGCAGGCAGGCCACAAGGTTAAGCTGAGCCTTGAGCTAAATGCGGCGTCTGTGTCGACCGCAGTCGAAGCCTATATTAAGCAAAAGGCCTCTGAGCTTGCGCAGCAGAATAGGTACGACGAGCGAACTAAGCGTGCCGTGCTGGAGCATCTAACGTCGAATGCAAACGACACCTTCCTCTGGGTAGCGCTGGTGTGTCAGCACCTTCAAGCGACAGCGAGACGAAACGTTCTAAAGAAGCTCGAATTGTTCCCACCTGGACTAGACGCCCTGTACGAGCGGATGATGCGGCAGATTAGCAAGACAGACGATGCTAGGCTGTGTAAGCAGGTGCTAGCTGCGGTCGCACTCGTGTATCGGCCAATCACGCTTAAGGAGCTAGTGACCCTTGTCGAACCGCTTGAAAGCATAGTTGACGACTTAGAGTTACAGGAGATTATCGGCCTTTGCGGCTCGTTTCTTACTTTACAAGAGCAGACTGTGTATTTCGTGCACCAGTCGGCTAAAGACTTTCTCCTTACTAGGGCTGCTCAGGACGTTTTTCCAGCTGGACAGGAGACCGTCCATCAGGCTATCTTTACGAGATCACTTCAAATTATGTCCACAACCTTGCGAAGAGATATATACGACCTAAAGGCGCTAGGCACGCGTATTAACGACGTTAAGATTCCTGAGCCAGACCCGCTAGTAGCATTGCGCTACTCGTGTGTTCACTGGGTCGACCATCTATGCGACTTAAAGTCTACAACTTCCGCGATCTATGCGGAATATCTGCGAGATGGAAGCATTGTCGATACATTCTTAAGAGAAAAGTATTTATACTGGCTAGAATCTCTTAGCCTTTGCAAAAGTATATTAAAAGGCGTAGTCTCGATAAGTAAGCTACAGGTATTAGTGCAGGTGTGTCTACGACAAGCGACGCCACCAGATTTCTTCTTTATTAACTGTAGCTAGGGACAGAGGGAGGTAAGTTTATTCACTCAGCTTGTATATGATGTATACCGGTTCGTCATGTACTACAAACAAGCGGTCGAAAGTAGCCCTCTTCAGGCATATGGATCTGGGCTGTTGTTTAGTCCTAAGCAGAGCATAGTGAGAAAGCTATTCCAGCACGAGCGGCTAGAAGGCATCGCTCTAAAGCTAGGTATAAGCGACGGCTGGAGCGCGTGTCTGCAGACGCTCGAGGGCCATAGCGGTTCTGTCATCTCGGTGGTCTTCTCGCACGACTCGACGCAGCTGGCTTCGGCGTCTGAGGACAGCACTGTTAAGATCTGGGATGCAAGCAGCGGCGCCTGTCTGCAGACACTTGAGGGTCATAGCGGTCTCGTTACCTCAGTGGCCTTCTCGCACGACTCGACGCAGCTAGCTTCGGCGTCTGGCGATAGCAATGTTAAGATCTGGGATACGAGCAGCGGCGCCTGTCTACAGACGCTCGAGGGTCATAGTGACTGGGTTAAGTCGGTGGCCTTCTCGCACAACTCGACACGGCTAGCTTCGGCGTCTGACGATAGCACTGTTAAGATCTGGGATGCGAGCAGCGGCGCGTGTCTGCAGACGCTTAAGGGCTATAGCGGTTCCGTCTCCTCAGTGGCCTTCTCGCACGACTCGACGCAGCTGGCTTCGGCGTCTGGCGACAGCACTGTTAAGATCTGGGATGCGAGCAGCGGCGCGTGTTTGCAAATGCTTAAGGGCCATAGCGGTTCCGTCTCCTCAGTGGCCTTCTCGCACGACTCGACGCAGCTGGCTTCGGCGTCTGGCGACAGCACTGTTAAGATCTGGGATGCGAGCAGCGGCACCTGTCTACAGACGCTCGAGGGCCATAGCGACTGGGTTAAGTCGGTGGCCTTCTCGCACGACTCGGCATGGCTAGCTTCGGCGTCTGACGACAGCACTGTTAAGATCTGGGATGCGAGCAGCGGCGCGTGTCTGCAGACACTTGAGGGTCATAGCGGTCTCGTTACCTCAGTGGCCTTCTCGCACGACTCGACGCAGCTGGCTTCGGCGTCTGGCGACAGCACTGTTAAGATCTGGGATGCAAGCAGCGGCGCCTGTCTACAGACGCTCGAGGGCCATAGTGACTGGGTTGAGTCGGTGGCCTTCTCGCACGACTTGACGCGGCTAGCGTCAGCGTCTGAGGACAACACTGTTAAGATCTGGGATACGGGCAGCGGCGCGTGTCTACAGACGCTTGATGTTGGCAAGACTCTTTTCAACTTGTCATTCGATGCCACTAGCTCGAGTCTTCTTACAGAAATCGGATCTGTCGATGTTAGTAAATCTGCCGGTTCTCATACAGAGAATGTTGCGGTACTTCATCGTCCCCAGTACCTAGACGTGGGTGTTAGCTCAGACGACATATGGATCACCTATAACGGCCAGAACCTGCTCTGGATACCTCCCGAGTATCGACCGTCATGCTCGGCTGTGTGTGAGACTATGATTGGGATGGGTGTTGGATCAGGTCTAGTATGGGTTTGTAAAGTTAACCTGAATAGTTATTCGGCTATATATTAGCACACACTAATAGTTCGTTTGCTTTATGGCCTTATGTTCTCTTTTCTTCTAACTCCTAATAGATTAGGTGGAACGGAGGTGCTCATGTATGTATACGCGTTGGTCTTGCAGCCTCGAAATTTTGTGGAATTACGACGAAGCCTAATAGTCCCAGTCTTGTAATATCAACATAGTAGTCACGTGCTAGCGCTACTAGCGTCTACGTCTTTTTCTTAAGTATAGCAAGTAAGAAAGGGCGCTAAGCTCCACATGTTACCGGCGTAGGTGATAGGCTGATGCCTAATCGCTAAGTTCTCTGACGATGTCTCAGTTACGTGCACAAACGCATTGTTTATGAAGCTTAAGCTAGGCCGGAGGAAAACTAACTATACGCAGCTGCCTATTAACTAAGTAAAATATAATGTGTGTAAGGGACGTGCACAGTAACCTTAGCGAGAATTAGGGATTAATTTAATCTGCTGGTCAAGCGCGGAAGTACTAACAGGGGGCAAAACTTTGCATGAACAGAGCGCAACTCGTAGCTCTGTAGCGAATTAGAAATCCTCAGCGATACTACTAGAATCTTAGACTTTCATAAAGTTCTAGATAGGTTGCGACGATAGTAAATACTGCGTAGTAGATTTATAGTAGACAAGGCTTGGTTTCGCTATAAAGACAGGCTCTTCGCGTATCGGGCAGGAGGGTGTCTATACGAGGGTAACTTTTGTATTACTAGGGTCATAGAAGTTTAGAAGTAGCCTTAGCATAGCACTCGAGAAGAACATCTCACTCGAGAAGACACGCGCAAGCTTTCTATTGCATTAAGTCAAAGAATCTGTGATTTGTTCCGTTAAGGCGGTTACTCCGCTACGCGTGGATGAACGTGAGATAGAATCAATCTATTTTTACTTAACCAAGTTCCTATAACTCTCTTCCACTAAATCGACAGACAAATCGCACGGCATACTATTGTCATCTCCCTCGCCCTAACCCGGATCGAGGCATAGTGAAATATACCCCTCGCCCTATGTAACACAAGTACCTGCATATGCTTTAAAATACCACACACATCTGGCCTTATAACATAGAGGTAGAAAAGATATAAATTCTGTGACGAAATCTACAATAATTCTAACCTTTCTAATTTTTCTATTTTCTAATACTGACTAACTATAGCTAATATACATAATACTCCTAACTTTAACGTTGTAGATGTGTTCACCACACTTCTCAGCATGCTAGGAAAATAAATAGGCTACTGCGTTTGCGAGGTAAGCAGATTAGTATAATGCTAGTAACATGCTAAGTATAATAGGCGGGCTCTTTGAGCCGAACGTACAACTACATACTTACGTCGACTATTTTGCCAAAAAGGCAGTAATAAGACTTCAAACTTGTCTTGAAATCAAGGTAGTTGCGTAGATATACTCGACTTGCTTGGCCTAGCCAAGCCATACACACAGGTGTAGCCCCTTACAACCTCTCTATATATAGAGCTGACCTATAAATTATAACCTTAATACAACTATAAAGAAGACTCCTAAAAGTAATACATAGAAAGTGGGTTTTCCAATGCCACTTAGAAAGTATTAATCCATATCGGCCGATTGTTCGTCCATTCGGCCCTTGCTGCATCGATTTTGTTGATGAAAGTTTGCTGAGCCACTGCCTCTGGAGTTTGACTTTGGGCCGCTTGACATTGAAGCGGTGTCGCATATCCTTCTTCCAATGCCGCCAAAGATGCTTCTACGTTACCATACCCTTTGGTGATTGCTTCTGCTGTCCTGGTCCGCATGTAAGTATCCCATTCAGCCTGCAATCCAAGAGAAGCCCATGTGTCAGTTGCACCGTTCTCGACAACTTTCGAAATCTGATTCAAATATGTTGCCTCGGGTAGGTTCAGCCGAGCGCCGATACGGTTCTTCTGTCGGATTAAGATAGCTTGAATAGTCGGATCAGCATGGTATTTGAGGACACTGATAGAATCATTGACGTATTTGAAAAGGTTGTTTCCCCAGCCGGCATATTCCTGGAAGGTAAATTTGTTGCGTGCGGCGCTGGCGCCCCATATCCCTTCTGTTAGATTGTTGACCTCTAAGTCAAGGAGCACAAACTCGTTAAGAAAATTGTTGCCGTTACCAGGGAACTCCTATCCGACGTGATCGATCGCATCTTTGTCAATCCCGTTGATGATAGGCCTTTCTCCGTGCCTAGTCCTGTACCAGAAGCTTTGGAGGCATTTGCACTTACTTAATTCGATAGTTTGACTTGCGTAACACCTAATTCATCTGGGATTTTTTTCCCACATACCACTCAAAAAATTGTGTGGCCATCTGAAACTCTAAGATATGCTCGGTGGCATATCTCGCCGTATCTGTAGGATACGGTATTTGCCCGAAACCAGAACCCGTGCATTGAGAAGGATTTGTATATCCATATGCAACAGCACCAGGAACAGCCTCAAAGTCATCTATCAGCATCCTATACGGGAAGTTAAAAGACTATATGTTGCAGATGACTTACTGCTTGCAGCTCTCCGGAGGATGGATAAGTTAAAGATTTGATGACAATCCTAGCATCACTGGCGCAGAACATGCCTATCTTGGGACCAGCACGCTTTTCCAGTCGATGATGGGTTGAGATGTCACCAGTTGCACGTTTTACGATACTTTTGTCTTCTTGCCCTGGAACGTGTGACAATCTGGCACACTCTGGTCCGTCCTTAGCGGGTCTAATTGCGCCTTGACAAAGCAGGTTCTGAAGATCGACATGAAACGGCGGGCCCCATTGGACTGCTCGTTTTCCAAACCTGTGTGGTCTGATGACTAACAAGCCACCTTCTTGATGAAATGAAGTATCAAGGATTTCGTTGTAGCTATCCAAAAGCAGGCTCCGCTTTGTCGGCTGGCCGGTTCGAAGTTCAGGGCATTTACCGCCAGGGATAACATTTACCTCTCCAGAGCCTGGCAGATCCCAGGTGTTCTTGTCCCAACCAAACTGCTGAGGAGTATCGACTTGTGCATACAGCTTCGCACCGAGAGTCATTCCGTATGTCCAAGGGCACGTTGCTTCTGTACTCTTGCCTGCGCCAACATCGGATCGAACGTATTCATCCACGACAACACCAGCTGTGGCAGCTCCGACCTTCCAGCTGTAATCAAAACGAATGCCAAACTCAGCGATTACCTTCAGATGAGCTTCCGCCTTGTCCGCTTCCTGGACAGCAGCGTAAAATTGGGGTTCTAGAAGACCGTTTTGGTCACCAGTGTTTCCAGCATCTAGGTCATCTACAACCTTGGGTTCGTAGTTCTTTTCAGCGGCCGGGTAAGTCTGGCGTACTTCCCAACCGGCAAGGTCAACCTGTGTCTCAATCTCGGCAGAGAGCGTCAAGGCAACATTGAACTCGCCAGCGACCCTGACGGAAGGTCCAATTGTGACGATGCCTGGTACCTGGAAAGTTGCACCAGGGAAAGGCAGTGTCAATATGGTTTTCTCACCTGATTCGTAAGTGACACTAATGAGTGCCTCAAGAGTGAAAGTCGCTGTGACCTTGCCTTCGTTCATAAAGGTAAGATAGGACTGGCTTAAGTCTAGAGGGCTTCCTTCGCTCGCAAAGTCCAGCTTCGTAATAAGCGTGAATCCGAAGCTCGTCGAGATGCTGACATCTGTAAACGCTTGCGCAAGAATATGCGCATGTAATTTTGTATTTTCTTCTCCACAATCGACCACGTCATCAATGATCTTGGCAATGAACTGCTCTTTGAAGTTGGGCGTGAACTCTTTCTTGATCTCAGGCGTGATCAGATTCGTAAGCCAGGAAATGATGTCTTTGCCAAACCATCGTTTGTGAAGATCTTCGTAGCTGAGCATGCCGCCATGGCAGTCAACTCTCCATTCTTCTTCTTCAAGCCACCTCTTGTGATTGCCGCCAAAATCGGAAAGTGACCGTTTGGCTTTGCGCTTGCTAGCGGCTGCAGCAACAACGTTATCCCAGTAGTTGTCCTTGTTCGAGAAGTCGATTCGCACATGAGTCTCTCCAACCCCTCGAGGCACGCGATGGAACGCGTAATCAAAGGTGAGATCATACACTATCGGTTTCCTATTCCCTGCCAACCGTTTGACCAGATGATGCGGTATACTGGGGTCCTTCGAAAGCACCATGGATTTGGCAACTGCGTAGCGGCCTGCTCCACACCCTTCTGGCATCTCCAGGATGGTACCAGGCACACCGTGTCCAAGTCCAATCTTGCGGCAATTACTGGCTTCTGAATCATCGCTGCAGAACATCTGTATCGTTTGCTCGTCCTCACTCAGGCCGCCCTTGCAGTTGAACAACTCCCAATGCGGTCCGTCTCGCTTGTCAAGGGAGTGCTGAAGCTCTTCAGGTGATGCCAAGACGACAAACTGGAAAGCAGCATTACTGAGATCGTTGCCAGTTTTTCCTCCTTATCCGCCAAAAGTATCGTCTATTTCTAGCGCAAAGTCAGAATGTACGTCGCTACCTGTGGGCGGGTCACTGAAAAGACGGTCCAAAGGAACCGGTAGAAACAGCTGTTTCCCGCCTGCAGGATCGCAACAGTAAACTCTCGATCGTTCCATGCGTGGAAAATAAGATATTCCGCCGCCGTACGGGCTGACTGTGAGCTGTACCTGCTTCCCTACAGGGCAATGATTGTCGTAACAAGTATCGGAGGAGGTGGTGTCGCCGTGCCAACGACAGTTTTTCCAATTCTTCGCGTCTTTCTTCGGACAGCAGTATTGTTTCTGCATCTTCACATCTTATTTCTCAAGCCACTTGACCAATGGCGTGCCTATTAATGATATCGTGTCGGCGAGGTCAGCGATTGTACTCATAAAGGTACCCGAGAAAGTCATAGTTGTGTCGTCTTTGTTGCACGCTTGATTGACACCAGCCCAGCAACAGTCGTGTCCTTTCGCCGCTGGCGACTCACAACAGTAGACCTTATTTCCATCTTCGCAATACTTCCCATCGCCCCATCTGTTCATTTGGAGCATGACCTCATTGTCTTGGCAGTGACCATTGCAGGAAGTTGGATTTCCACGCCATTTGCATTTTTCGGATCGGGTGCACTCATGCTTGAACAGCAGAGTTGACTGTCCTTTCCTTTCGAGTGTTGAGTGACTGGTTTGGCGCCGCCGCAGGTCTGTTGAGTGATCTTGAAAAAGCCCGCCTTGCAGGTGCCACCGCAATCGGTAACGTAGCAATCAGGAACAGTGACATCGTCCCAGTATGAAGCGTCATCGGCAGTCATAGCCAGAGATTTGACAGATTTGGGGCTGACTACTGCGTTGAGAGCTTCGAGATCATCTGTGTCTTGATCAATGGCCCATATGAGTAATCCACCGAGTCCCTGCTTATTGGCGAAGTCGATTTTAGCTTTGAATGTCTCTTTGTCATCGTATGACACCCACTGGTCATTGTTCCCGGTTATGTACTACACGGCAGCTTCCTTGTCATGGTGAGGCTTAATTTTATGTTGTTTGATGATGGCCTGATTCTCCTTGTACGTAAGAGTTCCCGAGTTCACGGAGCATGGTTCCGGAGCAGCACCGCCTTTAAAGCTGCATCCTGGTTGGTAACAGGCGGAGTTGGACAAATGAAGGCTTCGGCCGTAGAATCCCAGGCCAAGATTCAGCTTCGCAGGCTTCACAATATTGCGCCAAAACAGGTCAAGCGCAAGTTTGATCTCTGTAAGGTTCAAATGTCCGTAAACTTTGTTGCCGATAGGATTCGTCGAATCCCAGACACCGTGCAAATCGTAGCTCATAACGTTGACGAAGTCCACATAATCCATTGCCTTGAGGTCAAAATGCCTAAGGTACCAAAAACTTGTTGGAACTGTGAATGAAACGATGGATTGCATCGGCTGCTTTTTGTTGGCTTCGCCCAACTCCTTCAAAGCTATTGGGTATTAGCTATTGTGTTGTACCCATCGGTGATAGTAGTTTGGGTAGTATATAACGAGATTTGTTTCTACTAACACCTACTAGTCAACACATACTCGGGTCGGCCTGGCTACCATACGCCAGGCACGACAGGCTTGCCATTTTGCAAAGCCACATTCATTCCAGTAAGCACGACTTGGAAGTCGCAAGTAACGCGCGCTCCTCTCGCTCCCAATACACGCGATGATTGTTACACTTACTTCAATGGCTCGCAGATGCAGACTGACATCTTGGGAACGTATCATCGCCACCAGTGCGATTTAGCTGCGGCTGTGAATGGTGTGACCCTAGAGGAACTTGTGCTCTGGAACCCTGACCTGGACGCCAATGTCAATTCTTCAACCTGCAGTTTTATACAAGGTGTACTTTACTGTGGGAAGTCCTACGTGGATCGCCCAGATCCTCCTGTAGCAGGTCCGGACTTCGCATTTCCTCTAAGAGTAAGTCACCAAGATTCAAAAGAATCAATATGCCGCCACTAACAATCCCTTTCAGGAGGGTTACGATGTTGATTGTACCGAGTTTGCGGACGTACCTAAGGGGTTCACGTGCACTGACGTCCTTGGTGTCTTCGGCTTAAATATTGCACAGTTTTACAGAATGAACCCTGCTGTCTCTACCGACTGCAAGACAAGTTTTTGGAAAAATCAAGCATACTGTGTGGGAACTGCCGACTCAATCAGCGTCACCGGGTCTGCTCAACCGACACCAGGCACAACCAGTGGCCTCGTACTTCCAACTCCGAATCAGGCAAACAGCGCTGTTAGCAACTGCAATAATTTTGCGCAGGCTTTAGAAGGGGATTATTGCTACGTGAGTCGAACCCGGATCTGTTCAAGTACTGGTGAACTGACAAAGCACGACAGCTCTTTGCCGAGCGGAACGCAATAATTACAACTCAACTTTACGCGTGGAATCGCGTGCTTGAAAATGGTAATGCTTGTGGTAGCTCTTTCTGGAAAGACTACTGGTGTTGTATAGTCGTGTCGGCATGGAAATGTTCTTGATTTAGGGATAAGGTGCTGAAAAGTAGCTTTTTTTTGTAGATCGAGCAGCAACACATAACACAACCAGACTCCACCCGATCCGACTATGGGCCTCACTCAAGCATTTATGTTGTTAATGCAGCATGTATAAGATCATGTGAATTAAACGCACTATGAAAGTTGTGATCATGCACTAGGCCTTAGTTGGGTGAGCCCAATAAAAGTTCGCCACCGTGACTGCGCTAATTTGGTGGAACAGTACACAGACCAAAGGAGACCTTGCAACGGGGACGTCGGGAGGAAGCTCGACTGAGTAGCCCCTTGGCATTGTTCCATACTTGCCACTTTTAACAACGTGTGGTCATCAACGCCCTCTCTCACAGAACCCACACCTGATCCATAGAACCCTTGTACCGCAGCACTCGGTTTGATCTTGAGAATCTCCTTGTATATCGCAATGGATCACCCCCCCCCCCCAAGGAGGTCATCAATTAGATGGCCAGATATCTTGATCGATATTCTCAACAGCAACAAGAAGCAATCCCTCTCACCGAAAGAAACAGTGGCAATCTTTCGGCATTACCATCGTATGCGACAATCTCTAAGCAATGGAAAGAAGCTGTCGAGTTTATTACATTCCATCGTCTGCATGTCAGGAGTGAGGATCTTAATCGACTACAAACAATTGTAACCCACAATCGTTGCAAATACGCACGGAAACTGAGTTACCAGATACTGCTCCCAGAATACTCGCAAGAACAGGGCAGATGTATGGAGACCAATGAAGAACAGGAGGCCAACAACCATGTCTTCACCCAGAGCATTGCAGATTTGTTCTCAATCCTGAAACAATAGGAGGGAGCAGGGCTTCTTCCCGACTTGCGGCTATCCATACTGGATCCGGAGTCCCTGAGTGATTGTATGGAGTTCGACAGCCGAATTCGCAGTAACTACCTAACCCTCTCCGGGGTTGACAGGATACCCACGCTTTCGAATATTAGCTATCTCCAACTTAACGGCCGCTATAGGCGAATGATGTTGCCTACTGTTGCGCTTCAGCTTGCTGCGTTCCTGCCTAACCTGAAGCACATTTACGGGAGCTTTGGGGGATTATACGAGTAAATAGCTGCGCTTAAACAAAGATCAACATTTGTAAAGTTGCTTGACCAAACGAAACTCTTACATGGCTTAGTGGCTGAGTTTGAGTTTCACCAGAATTCTCCAATGGACCACCAAACAGCAACTTCATCGATTCTACCGGTGGGCACTCTCTATAATCCACTCAGCGCCTCTTTGTGTGTGTTTTCGCAAAATCTGACATCCTTCGTTTTGAGTAGCTACGTGGACCCTGCCCTGTTCTGGCCATCAAGCCATGAGATATGTACATTCCACACTGTTCTGGCCTTCGCTCAAGAAAATGGAAATCGCGTTCAATTCTGTGACCCCGACTAGAGATGGGTACTTTGTCGGCACGCCCACAGACGATGACGACGAGCAGTTCCTCAAGCATGGTAATCCAAAAACCATAGATTTGCTCCTCATTGCCTTCGCAAAAGCGACTCAGCAAATGCCCATCATCGACACCTTCATGCTTAAGTGCGAAATGGGCTATGACGTTAGCTTTTGGGAATTATCTTACTACGCGCCTGGTGTGAAAGCGGACTAGAGCAGAGACTAGGGTGATAAGAATGCAACGGCAGTTCGGCGATTGTATTATACAGTTATGGAGGTATGGAGGCCTAATCGGTTCGTTGCGGAAACATTGCGGAACATTGGGCAAGAGAGGCATAGGTCTGAAGCTATTGAAAGATTCTTAGGGTATAGGAGTTGGAGTTCTCATCCAGTTTGGAGTTGTTTATAAGACTAGTGAACTTATACATTATAGTTAGTAGCTGTCTTTTATATCTGTGAGCCTATATCATAAGACTAGGTAGTCACCCCAGCGCCCAGGATTCTTGCCCCATCTCAACAGCGCTCAAGCAACGTATCCAGACATGACCAGCATAACCTTTTCTCATAGTAGCAAATGAATAGCTTACTTATCCCACCGCTTATAGACGGAAGCTGAGACAGTACTATAACTTTACTATAGCTAACTTACTCATCTCTAAGACCAATCAGGATTATACACAATAAGACGATCAACTAGGGCTAAGTTTACCGCGCTAATGACTGCCATCTACAATTTATCCGCCATTAAGTATGAGGTCTAGTACTAGCAATTACCAAATATATAATGTTAAACTAGAGTCAGCCTACTGCGAAGTCTAACTAAGAAGGGTGATTCTTTGAGCACCCGGAGTGGCTATTAGGTGTTCAAAGGATAACAGCAAGTCCTTAGGAACTGCGGCTATACGTTTATTCTTCTATAATTTAATACTTCAAAGTTTCTAGTATACTGTATCTATTAGTAAATAGTAGATAATCTTGACCGGGGGTACTAAGACCAGCTAAAAGAGGCAAGGTCACAGAGGGCACGTGAGCTATGTTATATGTAATTAGGTAACTTTTGGGGATAAAAATTCAGCTACAGCGTCTACAAGAGGGATAGAATTAAACAAAAACCCCAGTGAGTGTTTCTAGCCTAGCCTTACTACTCAATTGCCGTCAACCTTGCCAATGCGGGATGTAACGCGTGTTAGTGCGGGTAAACACAAGCCCCACCATCAGCGCCCGCTTAATCCTTAGCATAGAACCTATATCTAGCAGGTAGCTAATAGCCGTTGTAAATACGCATGGTTTCTAAGTAATCAGCTATGTAAAGTTAGTATTTCGCACTCTGATAACCCTATTTTGTATGCCTAGTCTTTAGACGTACCCGTACACTCTCGTGCACTTGCAGCTTCCGCTCTGCGCACGCGGTTTAGTTATTATCCTACGCGGGACATAGACCTATCTAGAATTTAATTGTCCACAAAACCTTATACTATATTGATATCATTTATCAATTTGTCAGAACGATTAAAATGATATTAGATAAAGAAGATACGTTTTACAATACATATAGTCGAGTTGCTTGCAGTAATCAACAGATGAATATATTATATATCATGACAGACGTGTATATTAACACGGATAGGGAGTTTGCTACGCAAGCGAGTGGGGCACAGAATTTCTCGACGAAATGATAATCTAAGCCTCCTAACTGTGCTTCTAGTCGATTGGGATATCTCAAGATAGGATGAACATCTCAACGGTATGGCAGCTTGGGACCGAGATTAGCCAGCTGTCTGCGTTGCAACCGATCTCTTCGACTTAATCGTCGGCGTGAAACCTGGTCAAATTAGTCTCATCAATCTCCAACTGGGCCTCAACTTGCGAGTGCTTACCTGGAATACCCACGCAATAGTCGTTGTAGCGCTGCATGCCCGAACAATCATTGTTAAGCATCGGGTTCCAGGCTATGAACCGCCCATGGGTAAGACCATGCTTTCTCTCGAAAATTCCACATGCATCCTCACCGTCTGTTTGTGTTTAGCCGTTAGCGAAGTGGTCAAATTGTATGCGAAGTCGAAAAAATGTGCATCAATTGGGGTATACGTACAGTCCGTCACATTGGCCATGTCCCATTTGTTGCAGGTCGCTATTATGCTGGATTGTCGAAAATGGCGCGCGAACACGCAGTAGCTCGTTCCTATTTTAGCAGTCAGCATGCAATTTCCAAGTCTTCTCGCATTTAATCTTTTACTTACCAAGTGCCCAGTTCTCACATTTTTTACCCACGGAAGGGTTGAAGTCAGAGAACGTTTCTTTATCGAGATTCCAAAGATCCAAGAAGGTATTGCAATCGCTACCAGGGGACGGCACGTCCTCTAGTGTACAATATTGTGTCATGTTATGTGACCGCAGAGTGACCGCTCGGACGCAATAGGTGAGTTGACCGTTTAGCTTGCAGGAAGAGGGAGAGAGAGAAGGATTCCATCTGATGAGGTCCGTCGTGCTACTTCCGAACTGGGCTGCGACCTGATCGCACGAAGCGCCCGAAGTAAAGTCTGTCCCATTAGCGTAGGCTGCACAGTCCATGCGCGTGCCTTCGGCAAACCGGAAGGTCCAGATGTCTGATCCGTTGATCATGCCGCCCATGGTGGGTGCAGGAAGCAATGAAGCCTCCGTACCGACGAACGGAGGCAAGGTGAAAGTCGAGGTGGGCGTTACTGGCTCAGGACTGGGGTCGACCGCGCCGCCACCAGGAGTAGACACGCACATTGTGAAGCCGACATAGTTCTTGATTCCTTTGCATCCGATTCCAAAGAATGGATTCCAGGTAACAATCTGGGTCCAAGTCACCCCAGCCTCATCGGCTATCGTGGCACACGTGTCATTCTCCTTGATGGTTCGTGTTTTACACTTGGCGTCTGAGCTAATACACACCCTCCCTTGTTTTGGGAAGTCTCGGCAAAACGGGAGGCGGTTGTTTGCACCCAAGAGGTCGACGGTGCTTACGCCTTGAGATAGCGCAATCGAGTGACATGTATCGGTGCTCCGAATACTGTACAAAGTGCCAACACAACCTGTCGGAGTTGGGACAAGAACACTAGATCCTGGTGTAGTCGTGCTTGAGCTGTTAACCAAAATCGAACTTATTTGAGAAGAAGTTAGCTTACATCACTATCCAAGCTGTGGATGTTGCAGGCGGCGTCACTGCAAAGTTTGTCTTCTTGCATGCCGAAGTAAGAGACGTAAATGTTGACGCGAGATCGGAGTTAGACATGAGAGGCATTTGCAGCTTCGTCTGCATCTGCTTAAGGAAACAATCATCGCATGTCACGGTGGGTACTTTGAATGCATGTTAGTTCGATGGGCTTTACTTTTGTTCGTACACTCTTACCTGAGGATTTGGTCTTAGACTGATTTTCTGGGTTGACGCCGAAACCATTTCGAAGAACGGAGTTACAAAGGTTGTTACTAGGTAATAATCAGATACAAGACGTTCCTATACTTCAGCTAAGAGCATACCCGTTCTTGAGACACAAAACGTTGTAATTCTCGCGGACGCTCTCCACATAGTATGCTGGTAGTATCGCATTTCCCGATCGGTCAATGTAGCGGTCTTTACAGGCTTTGGTTGCCCGGCTTAGCCATGTGTCAAGAGCGAAGGTACATTGAGCTGTGCACACAAGACTCAGTGTTTCATCGTCCTCGAAGCGTCCTCGACCAGCCCATTCAAGTGCGGGATCGCAGGCTATGGGGAGGTTCAAGACATCAACACAAATTGATGTGAGGTTGGTGCTAGCAGTGGTGAAGTTGTAGAATTGGAGGTCGGCGACTGCAACGCCAATACATGACAGCGCTGCCAGGAAGTGTGAAAGAGAGACCATCTCGGTGTGGTTAACGCCAGAGGGCAATCAACGAGGAATCAAGAAAGTTGAGATATCAAAGGCATGGCCATGGGGAACAACCATCGACCTGGAAACCAAACTATGCTGTGCAATGCTTGCATGGCGCAGGGTGTGGAGAGATTTGCAAACGTTCAATTTCCTCGCTGTAAGCCTAGCAGTACCTGACATAAATTCAACCTGAGACAAGCGACCGGTTGAATACAGTAATTGCCTTTGCCGTGGAATGGGGCCAAGAAGTTGAGAGGATGCGCTAGGCGTGTCTAGACGATGAAGTCTCTGGCGTGATTTTAACTACGCTAGACTGGAAAATAACGCAGGTCCGCGGTCATTAGCTACGATGTTCCCGTTGTGCCATTCAGACACATCAGGCATCCAGTACTATCTAAGAGTAGCATAAGGCAGCCGAGGTCATAGAGGGAGGGCGAATATGATGCCGATTCTTGGCGGCGATAAACGAGCCGCAGCCCAATGCTTGACGCAGTGAATATGGTGGACCCTGCATTCTGCAAAGCAACGCCCCGATTGGTGGAATAAAGCACGAGAGGCGTCTTAGTGCTTGCTAGTCCCAATGCGGCCCAGCCCCATGCGTAACAGCGGGAAGTGCTTGCGGTCCGCCTGAACGCACGGGACGGACCTCACACCAACACCCGTTGGACTTTGCTTTTCTTTACCCGGACTATTTGTAGACACGGCTTAATCTCGACAAGTATCGTGACAAGCCCGAAGCTTGCACTAGGCGCACACGCTACCCAGATACTATCACGATGAGCAGGCTACAGCAGTTCCTTCGCCAGGTGGCGGGCGCAATACGCCGTGAATGTGGTGTCGCATTGGTCATGTCGATTTTGATAAATAGTGACATTGGAATTTGTAGAGACCGTTACTGCCAGATCTGAGAGCGCTATCGATCCATCGTTCTGAGTCCGAAGATGTTGTCCAAACACATGTACACCGTGTTCGCATTTGCGCTCCAGGCATCGTCCGTAGCGGCATACCTAGAGGAACCTCCGACCACTGCAGCCGCGGACACAGTATCAGACTGCTCTAATTGGCATGTTGTGGCCTCTGGGGATACTTGCGATTCCATTGCAAAGGACTGGTACATCTCCACGGACAATCTCAGGTCTTATGTAAGTCATGAACACCTGAAATAGGTCCAGTTTTTTAACCATCCCAGAATCCGTCGCTCGCCTCCAGCTGCAAGCTCGTCGAGGGTAACTCCTACTGCACGGAGCGCAACTATGGCGTCCCTGTATCGACTCCGACTCCAACTACGAGCCTGGCATCGTCGACGACGCCTGCTCCTACCAACGGCATCACCACTCCCACACCGATCCGTGAGGGCATGGTGAACAACTGCAACAAGTTCTACTTCGTTGTCAAGGATGATAACTGCTACAATATTGCAGCAGCGCAGTCAATCACCCTGGATCAATTGTACGCATGGAACCCCGCAGTCGGAACTTCTTGCCAAGGCCTATGGCCGCAGACATACATTTGTGTCGGCACTATTGGATTTACACCAGCGCCATCAACAACACCAGTACCGAGCAGCACGATCAAGCCAACCTCTGCCAAAGCTACCCCGACAAACGGCATCGCTACGCCTACACCCGTTCAGGCAGGTTTGATCAGTACTTGCAACAAGTTCTATCTTGTCAAAGACAACGACAACTGCTATGATATTGCCCAAACATACAAGATCTCACTCGACCAGTTTTACGCTTGGAACCCTGCCGTTGGCAGCTCGTGCGCCACACTCTGGCCCCGATACTATGTATGCGTATCCATCATCGGTGTCACCACATTGACGACTTCGACAAGGCCATCGACCACGGCGAAGCCAACCACCACGACGTCGTGGGTTCAGCCTCCTCTATGCACTTTCAACGCTTCTAAGGGCGAGTATGTGTGCCCGACCAGTACGCCACCACCTACGACAACCAAGCCTGGAAATGGAATTGCGACCCCTACACCCTACCAAGCTGGAATGACGAGCAACTGCAAGAAGTTTCACAAGGTTGTCAAGAACGACGGATGCTGGGACATTGCCAATACGTACAAGATTGACCTGAACAACTTCTACAAGTGGAACCCCGCTGTTGGAACTTCTTGTGGCGCACTTTGGATTGACAACTACGTTTGCGTCGGAGTTTGAAATACGGTAATTGAATCTTAGTATGCTATGCACGTCAGCGCCTTCTATGTAGTCAATAATCGTAGTCAATAATAATGTCAATCTACTAGTCGAATCGATTTCATCTGAATAATTGAAAGCACAAACATGATGGCACCAATGTTTCTTTCTAATTATGTAGAGCACCGAATGTGAATGTGTTAAGAAGTCCGAAGGAACTCTGGAGACGACCAGAGTAGCAAAACTAGAGTCACGCTTGCAAGGTTCTACTGGTTCTACTAGGAGTCAACGGCTTTGACACCTAAAAGTGTGCATATCTAGCTTGTACTTTTCAGCTTTGTTCGTTAGAAGAGGTGTGCAGGAGATGATAGAAAAAGTTCGAAGCGTGACAGGTCCTATCGTCCTTCAAAATTCCCGTTAAAAGTTGTTTAAGAGCTAACATGACGAACTTGCAAAAGCAACTCTTCGAGGGATCATATGGTCGTGTATTGACTAGCTACTGGGAAATCAGAGATTCCTTGAAGACTATTACCTGATATTATGCAAGTATCACGTGACCGCGCTCCCCGCCTGACCGAAGGCAGTTTGCACCAAAACTTCTCAACCAAAGTAGTCCGCCCCTTTCGCCTCGCGTGCGGCTGCACTGTTGCGGCAAGTCTGCCATCTAGCCTCCAAGGCCTGGGTGCTATTGTTAGGGGGTGAAGATGCCCGCTGACGCTCCTGGAGCCGGAGGGCTTCTCTGATCATCTTCCACTCCAAGGCCATTCCTTCATGATCTTCGACGTACCTCCTCGCTGCGCCTGAATTCAATACTTTAGTCTGATCTTGCCAAGTGGAGCGGTCGGTATTGGCAGCGAGTCCCTCTACTCCGCTGAGTAGGGCGGGAACGACTGGTATAACCCATACTTTGCCTAATATTCCCCGCAACTGGCTTCGCCTCAGAGCGGGTAATTCATGGCTAATCCAAATGGAAGGGTTCTGACCCTTCGGTTGATACGTTGCCAGCTCATCATAGTGCTCGTGTACGACGTACACATCTCCGGTACAGGTTTCCGCCATTGCTTGCGACATTTGTTGGAAGTATGGTCGAGTCTTCAGTTCGCGTGCATCACGGGACGGTATGTTGTTCTCCATGATTTCCTTTCCTCCTTCTCCCCAGAGACCATTGAGCCTAGAAACAAGCACAGCAAGTCAGTACGTGTTCAGAACCGATCGTTCGAGGCTCCTTACCAACAGCATTTCGGTTCCCAAGCATTCAGGCAGTAGTAATCGTAGCCAGAAGTTTCCGTCTGCTTATCGCACGCCCTGGACTCGTCCTTGGGCCACATATCCTATACGAGCCATGAGCAAGGGATCCTTAATTGCATTGAGGTTGAAAATATACTCACCCAAATAGCCCGCGTTTTCTCACCATTTTTTGGATTGGTTTGAGACCATGAACATGACAACGTGGATGCCACCCCTGATAAAGAGGCTGGTTTGGCACCTACTTCACGTTGACCGTAGAAAAGACATTGGCCATCTTGCCCACCAGGCTTGATCGCTCTCTTCAAAATGCTGGCGGTAAGATCCCGGTCGACATCGAGATTGCCGTTGAACCGGGCTCCGCCAGCGCATTTTAAGCAATTTGGAAATCCGATCAGGGGGTCTTGCGCACGCTTGCGAAGAGGGAGTCTGTACGTGATGACTTTGGCCTTTTGGTCATGCACTACATACGGAGAGTCACGAACCCCAGCCCATAGGTAGCGGTTGAGTCGATCTTCCTCACGGCCGACGTGCTTGCCAAAATTGATACCGAAGGCAGTGTCATCGCTAGGGGGTGAGAAGCGGAATGCATGCACCTGCAGCAACAAGCATGATAAAATGAGTGTAAGGTGTTCGAAGAACATGGTAAGGAACGACAGTAGCGAACGTAACTAGGTGAAGAGTCAGACCTCGAGGGGCGCTACTACTTTTCGCGATATGGGTGTAGTTTTGATATCACTTTCCACGGGCTGATCATGGAGCTGAACAGGGATTCAGGTATCCGCGGGAGGCGTCAAAACGATACATGCATAGGACATGGGCCGACTCTGTAGCGAGCATGCAATTGCGCCTCACATGCGAGGTGTGGGCCTGACAAGCAGCCAGGTTACATCAAAATCATTCATGATGTAGGGCTAGACTCATCCAACCGCCGTTATTGAACCGCTCAAGGCTGCAACTACCGGACAGCGCTCTCATTATCCTTGGTTACCCGTAAACGTCTCGAAAATCCCTACACATATGGGGCGTAGTTGCCCCACTCTCCGCTGTTCCTTGCAGATTTTGCCAAGCCGAGAGGACGGCCTGGATAAAGTCCGCACGGCCTAGTAGTCATCTGGTACCTGCGCTAAATCGCGCCCCCAAAATCCATGACGGGAACTCCACGCCTCGCTTCCAAAATTGGCCCCAAACATCGTACTTCCACCAATATGCAATCTGCATATGCCTTGGGAGAGCTCATGGATCCACCAACATGTATCTTCAGGCCGACACACCCCTCGGACGTTCGTGCGCGAGGAGCGGGTCGAGATGAGGCTAGGTCCGATGATGACCCGCGCGTTAATAGATATGGATAGCTAAAATAAGTCCCTGGAAGCGGACGTGCTTATACAATAGTCACGTGTTAGTTGAAGCATAATAGATTCCTTGGCATCCTCTGGCGCTTTTGGATCTCTAGAAACCCGGTGAACTTTGACAAGTTTCGTTCCTTCGATCTTTTGCAATTTTTATTCACTTGAGGCTCGTACGTGGCCTCGGTACAGGCCCAGTCATGGTCAGACTTTTTCCTTTACTTCTTGCAACATTTGCTGTTATCAACCCGGTTACAAGTAGCCACCATAGCCATGGCGAGCACCATACGCACAAGAATGCTAGATCAGAAGACTTGCTCAAGGCGAGAGACATAACGCCAGCTACTCATCGCCTGTTTCCCAGAGCACAATGTTCGGGAACAACGCCCTGTCCCAATGGAGATTGCTGTAATGGAGAAAGGTAAGTTCAGCAAGGCCTGCTCGTCAATTCTTAAGATACTAACAAACACTAGTGGCTTTGTAAGTTCTCTGGAAGAGTCCATACTATCGTGAACACTAGCTAACACTAGAGTGACTTCCTAGTGTGGTCGAGATGCGGACTATTGCAACCCCAAAGTATGTGTCTCCAACTGCTTAGCAAAAGCAGAATGTGGAAAGGGTGCGGAGACATTGGGTAGTACATGCCCACTCAACGTTTGCTGTGGAGCATGGGGTTATTGCGGAACTTTAGAAGCCTACTGTGGCACAGGGTGTCAGAGCAATTGCAATCAGCCAGCAGCATCAGGTCACAACAAGGGTGATGTGCGAAAGCTTGTCATTGGGTACGTCAACTGTCATGCTGAATGACTGGATCTAATCGAGAATAGATACTGGGAAGCATGGTCCTTGACAAGACGAGGTTGTGCCGGCAGGTCAGTCGATGACATACCGGTAGACTCTTTGACCCATCTCAACGTCGCATTTGCCTACATTACACCCGATACATTTGTGCGTTCGCCACCCACTCGTTAATATAAAGCTAATCTTGGTGCGCTTACTAGGAAGTCGTCCCGATGCCGAAGACAAGCGCCAAGATCTTCTCTGAAATCACTGCTGTCAAGCAGAAAGCTCCTGGACTCAAGATCTGGATCTCTCTTGGAGGATGGACCTTCTCCGATAACGATACAGACACCCAATCAGTATGGGGAGATATTGCTCGGACCCAAGCAAACCGGAACAAGTTCACCGTGAATCTGTACAAGTTCATGAAGACATATGGTTTCGACGGAGTGGACATTGACTGGTAAGCGATCTGCCTGATTGAGTATCTGGAGACTGACCTTGGTCATAGGGAATATCCAGGGGCGCCAGATCGAGGCGGCAAACCCGACGATGTGCAAAACTGTACGTATCGGAAACACGCCCTGCGAACTGTATATTTACATTAACCGGGAACACTGACCTTTCTCTCACTTAGTTGTTTTACTGATGGAATACATTTCTGTATATTTTGAGGCGTCTGCTTCTGGCTTTGGACTCTCTTTTACCGCGCCCAGCTCCTACTGGTACCTACGTTGGTTCAAGATTGACCAGTTGCACAAATACGTCAGCTGGATTAATGTAATGACGTATGACATGTGAGTATCTCGCAAATAATTGGAGGAGTCTGCTTGTAGTCGCTCACACTCTGCACAGACACGGAAGCTGGGATTCTCCAGCATCAACAATCGGATCAATCGTCTACGCACACACCAACCTCACCGAGATACAAGATACTTTGAATCTGTTTTGGCGGAATAACGTTCCCGCCGACAAACTGAACCTTGGGATCGGCTTTTACGGACGCTCTTACACTCTGGAAGATTCTTCATGTACCAAACCAGGATGCCCGTTTTCAGCCCCGGGCCGCGCTGGGTCCTGCACGGTAATTCCATTTCTATTGCGACATCACATCTCGTACTGACTTCATCGAAGGGCGAATCTGGAGTGCTATCTTATGCCGAGATTGAAGCCCGTATCAAGATGTACGACTTGGATGCGATACACGACAAAACAGCAGGCGTGAAGTATCTCACTTTTGATGAAAACCAATGGGTCTCGTATGATGACCAAGAGACCCTCCAAACGAAGGTAGACTTCGCAAACGAGCAAGGGTAGGGAGCAACTGAAAAAAACATGTTTGCAATTTTCAGCTAATGTTTCAAGGTTGCTCGGGTTGTTTGTCTGGGCCATTGATCTGGACGATACTCAACACACCGCGTTGAAGGCCCTCCTTGGTGGGAAACTCGGCACTTTCGCTACTCAGAACGGATACGATCCCAACTATTCACAAGATGATGATTGGGACTCGGTTACTGGCAATTCATGCACTTGGTCCGGTATGTTTGGCATTTGTTTCGAGGTTGTTGTTCGTAACCCAGACCATCGCTGACAAGCCTTCCTTAGATTGCAACAAATCGTGCGGCCCAGGAACGAGATCTGCTGGTGCCGAACAGTATTGCGGTGTTGACAAGGACGGAAAAGCCCAACGTGAGACGCTATGTTGCCCTATTGATAGCACGCCGGACCCCAAAACTTGTGAGTGGTCTGGAAGTATGTATTCCTCCTGCCCCATATGATGCTATTACTAACCACATCATCTGCAGGAGGAGGTGGATTCGAATGCGATAGCGCTTGTGACTCTAGCACAGTTCCTATTGCTTCCAGCAGTGAACCGTACATTGGCGGGTCACACCAATCGTGTTTCTTCGGATTCGGTAAGTTCAGTTACGTCTGAAACCAATTAATTCGCGCTAAAGTCTTATAGCACAGTATTGCTGCAAAGGAGTGCGTTACAATAACTCGTGTTTCTTCACGTATTGAGAGGCGAGCATAATTGAGGCAAGACTGACAACCATTCAGGAACGACCAATCGATGACGTTTGTGGTTGGACCACCGAGTGTGTATCACTCAAAAATGGCAAACCCAAAGACGGTGTTTGTGGCGGTACGTTTGAAGGCATGTTCGAGAGAACCGCGTTACTAAGTTTTACCAGATCGAAACTTCGTCACTACCAAGCAAGGTTTGAATTTTCATAACTCTTGTCCATTATAGTTCTAACACCTATAGGAACATGCAAGGGTGGCAAGGGCGTTTCATACTGCTGCGACAAGGGCATCGACAGCTCTTCGTGCCACTGGAATGAAGGCACAACGGACTTCCTCAGCTATGCACCCGCATGCAATGGAGCTTCGCAGTGTCCAGAAGGCGAGACAAGAATTGCATTGGATCCAGAAGGTGGGCCTGACGCGAATGGCAATACGCACAGTTGCAAGGTCGCAGGTAGTAGTGGTGGCTCTGTACCCACACCATGGTTCAACGTCGACTTGGCCTTCTGCTGTAAGGGTAGCGCCATGGGTGCAGTAAGTCAAACCGTTCCTAAGGCCGTGCAATATACTGACAAGATTCTAGAAACCGATCAATCTTCCGGTGCCCCTTGAGTTGGTTTCCTCGCGTTCTTGTTGACGATGCATGGCTAATCGAGCTTAGGAATCTTTTTCCCAAACCCGGTCCCGAGTCCGATACAGAAAAGCTCGACATCAAATTGGATCGAACAATGGGTGGTCAAAAGAAGGCCGGGAACAGCGTGCACCCTAACGATTCCGCGTTCGGTTTCTACATTATGTCTGGTACGTTGATGGAGCAAAGCTGTTGTGGATTCACGTTAATACATTTCAGGCCCCGAGGAAGAGTTGACCTCCATCGACAAACGCGACGGTTCACATTGGGAGTTGTTCGATTGTGACAACACAGTTGGCGAAAAGCGCCAAACAGTCAAAGCTGTATGCGCGAACCTTTCCGACGACCACAATTGCGATGTCATCTTCAAAGGCACTGGAGTGGCTGGTACTGTTGTGGACATGCCCGGAGACTGTGGGCCAGGCAGGTATGCCGTTGCCGTGAGCATGACACCGTCCACGGACCATTCGCATCTTCACAAACACTTGGTCAAGCGTGGTTTGGAAGCGGCGCGAGTCTTTGACTTCACCTTCGATTACGACTACTCGCCGATCGAGAAGCGAGCTGATAAATCGAACGTCTTACTGCGCATAGATTACAGCGACGATCCGGGATACTGGGACACTATCGTTGGTAGGTTACCACTGGAATGTTTACAACCAGATTGCCGACTAACCCACACTGCCTGCAGCTGCAAAACACGACTCTCGTAAACGGTCACTGGAGATCGAGAACGACTTCGGTGGAGATCGAAAGGCCTGGCTAGAGCATACGTGGCGTAAGGAAAAGCGCGAGTTCCATCACACTGAGCTGCATGCCAGATGGTGGTCGGGGGATGTGCGCGAATGGTTTGACAAACACAAGAAAGTCGATGAAACCTACACCGGAGTTCGCCATCGCATCGCCGTAGGTCATCGCGTTTAGCATTGTTAATGCAACAGCTAATCTTCGACAGGACACAATCTCGGTGCCAATTTTCGACCAAGATCTGAATTGCCCAAGCTTACAAGGGATGGGAGTGGATGAATTGTACTTTAAAGCATGGGCGGAGCTCAACATCGACATCCAGACCGCCGCTGGTGTGACCGTTATTGTAAGTGCTTCGCGTGTCATCATAATGAACTTTTTACTCACCGCACTAGGGTACCCTTGGTGATCTCAAGAGCTTCGAGGAATCCAGCGTGTGGTTCCGAACCAATGGAAGAGTCGATGCATCACTCAACTTCAATGCCAAGGGCGCGCTCTCCTTCCATACTGGTCAGGTTGAATTGTTTGGTACGTACATGACGCTTTTCGACGTACGCGACATGGGAAACTAACTTGACTGATATCAGGCGCCCACAACTTTGGTGCAAGTTTCCGAGTTCCCGGCATCGTCACGATCGGACCGGACTTCCGTATTTTGGCTTCCATTGCTGGTGACGCTACACTCGAACTGTGAGCTACGACTTTCCCAATCTTTCAACGCATGCTGACATCCTGAACAGTAACACCAAATATGCAGTCAACTTTGGCAACTGGGATTACGCCATGCGCTACCCAACCCCGCAGGGCGAGAGCGACACGCCAACCAAGACTGGTGATCTTAAAGAGCCCCAGATCTCGAACTCCACCGACCCATTCTCATGGACACTGGATGCGAATGGTCAGATTACTGCGCATATGTAAGTTGTCGTTCGATCTTTCATCGCATGTGCATGCGCTAACTGCAGGATCCAGCATCCCAAAAGTCACATTTGGCATCGTGTTTGACAACTCCGCAATCTCAAATGCTGCTGTAAGTACACTCCTCGTAGTGACCTTTTTTTTTGAAATCCTGTTATTGACAAACCACAAGCTCGATCTCGGGGTGGACGCGTACGCCAGACTGGCGGGCACGAGCACCGTAGGTAGCAACCAAAACTTCAAGTACTGCTACGAAGCAGATGCTGGAGCAACCCTGTTTGCTAGTGTGCAAGCTCCGTAAGTCATCATCACTCTCTCCGTTCGTTACCAGAACTAATGCCAATCTAGTACCATATTCGGTCAATCATTGAGTCGCTACTACGCACTATGGGCAGATACGGTACGTTTTATATCTCAGTTCCTCGTATCTATGACCAATGCAAATATGCTAACAATTGGGCAGTATCCCATTATCACCAGAAAGTGTAATATCGACTAGAAGTAAGCGTAGATATCAGTTATAGACTGAGTGGATTCTTCATGTATAATAGGTTTTATTTCCATGCCAATTGACTATTATTTTGACCTTATCTTCTTTGTGAGTGCGAAATTGCAGGAGATCTGTGGAAAACATGAGTTGTATGTTCGCAGTACTATGAGCCGTGCAAAAGTGGACTAACGGAGTTCGATACTTAAACTTCGCGCCTAACTCTTCTTTAGTTTTTTGCATCGCACTTATGTTGTGCAAGAGCAAATAGATAGCAGTATATGTAGAGATAGAATAAAAAGTAAACTAAACTGCATTGAGGTGTATCTTTGTCAACTCTTGCATGCAAAGCTAGCGTCACCGGTGTCCGATTTGATCAACCTACAACTTGTTTGCAACATAGCATCACCCGGAATAAGTCAGCGCATACTCTGTAAACTAGCAATTTACCTTCCTAGCATCGTTTTATGTTAACTTTTCGCGTATATGGACTGAATAAACTCATTGCCCACGAGGGTTTTGCCGTGCCAACTCTATTACCTGGGCTATTTCCTCTGGCGTCCGTTCGGCAGCAGATGCCAGGGCTTTGCGACGATTACTTATGCGTTCCATCATGGCCGCGTGTTTTCTTTCGCTCTGCGCCCTCTCTTCAATACTAACATCTTCCATCGCTGTGTACTTGGCGGATGGCGACGAGTTGATCGCGTGACCATACCATGTACCCTGAAAATCTACGGTGGGGCCCTGCGGCAAAAGATGCCTTACGCGTAGATGATGAAGTTGCGGCGCTTTCATCAGTATGTCGATGTACCGGTGTTGATCCCACGCATTTCCTGAACGGGCATGATAAAGGTCTAGTTCGCGCAGACTATGACCTTGCGATTCCAATATCATCGAGAGACAATCAGGGATGAATTCCCACCTGAGGCGCAATTTCTCCAGCGCCGGGATGCTGCGGAGAAACTCTTCGAAGATGGGTATTGTCCGTGTCGGCTCGTGCATATCGTGCTGTTTCTGGGCGGTGATGAAAACAGCCAGAGAATTGAGTCGCGGAACATGGCCAGCTAGCGATGGAAATGGAAGCATCGATATGAGAGGATGATCTCCAAAGTCCAGGACGCGAAGTTGAGTCCAGTCCATGCACCGACGCCACATATCCAACTGTTGCTCCGAATACACATACTGTGTTGAACCGCTCCAGCCCCATTCTTCCAGTGCGGGAAACCGATCTCCATCCTGCCAATGGAAGTTTAACGGGCCATTCTCCCAGTCCTGGATGCCGTGGTCAGAGACGGCGCTCCTGTAGAGGTATTTATCTATGTTCTCGAGAGCTAGGTGTAGCACTTTGATGCTGTTGCCTTGCATTAGACAGCGTTTCAGTATCTGGAGTTCGCTACTGCCTTTGACAATTGGGCAGACGCCGACCAAGTCAAAGTAAACATTCATCTGTAGCGAATGCAGTTGCGGTGATGATAGCAAAAGTCGATCCAGAGGTTTCCTTTCTCGCAAGCAATTCGTCACATGTAGGCGAACGGTCGTATGGGTGGTGTGGAGAACATCGAGCACGGATTCGGGAATAGGAATGTTAGTGTCCCAGCTGGAATTTGTGAGCATATAGTAAATTTACCAGGAATTCCAGCCGTACCTCAGCGAGTGCAAGTTGATCAAGCGAGTCAGAACCTTGCCAAGGACGGGCGCGATCATGGAATCGAAAACATCTTGCCGGAGTGTGCCAATCTGGAGATGTCGCACATGCTGCGCAATTGGGCTTTTCCCATCTAGTAGGCACTGCACTAAGCCCTTGGTGGCTCGTCGCAACCTAAAGTCTTCCTGGTGCATCTTATCTGGATCACCATACTCTTCTTCGAATTCGATATCGCTCGCATGCCTGTATACATGATCCTGTAGTTTGCAGGTATGAAACAGCAGCGCATCGGATTCGTAACGACATGCTCTGGACATGGATCTGAGTGCGTACAGCATTTTCGCGTCATCTTCGTGAAGCTTTATTGGTGTTAGTTTTGTATCAAGTTAAAAGTAAGTCTGGTGCGTTGCCTACAAATCTTAGAACCATGCGAAAGACTACCAAGGGTAAGCCAAGCAGGCCTTGTTCAGATTTTGCTAGCATTGCGCTTGTCAAAGGTTATGCTGGTAGGTGCTACTTTCGATGTAATGCGATATGATACGTGCGAAAACTCTCAGGCTAGCTTTTTGCATCAGTCTCCTATCATGCCACCTTTATTCGACCTTGCAATGATACTATGTCGGTGAGATATCGAAATGAAAACCCAGTCGCTCTTTCGGTTTGTTGGAAATTCTGATTCTGATGGTAAAGTGCGAAATAGCATCAGCGAAGGAAACACGTGCGACCCAATGGGAACGGGTTGAAGCAGCGACACAGGTTAATTTATCAAACAGCTACTGCATATCTCGGTCTTAGGCTAAAGTCGGCAATGCGACTTGGGGGCCGAAACTTGGCTAGTGAGCGTTCTCGGTTGTTCAAGTGAATGTGCGGGTCGAACATGGGGCAGACGGGCAATTTGCGTCAATGACAAAGTGTCTCGTGACACTACGCGTAGGTAGCTCTCACCTTTCTGTGTAATAATGCGACCCAGGAAACGTATTTTTGCTAATTGACAGCATAGCTGCTCTTTGCCCAAGGTCGTTCCTGCTATTGTTTTTGGACGATGACAATATTCTTGAGCGACGCATCCCGGCTGCGAATTCGATCTACGCGGGGTAGCTAGCGAAGCAACCCGTGTCGCCTTGCCGCGTTGCTTGTTTTCCACAACTCATCGATCCGGAGATATCCATTGGCCTTCGACATGTGTGCGAACCTAGCTTTCTATCAGAGCGATGATTTTTATTCGGATTTATTTACGCCTCACACAAGGTCTTCACCCGCTCCTTGTAAATCGCCCCAACCCGCGCGCTGGATTTAGATACCTAAGCGTCAAGACGAGCGGTTTCGATATCTCGACTGCACACGTTATTTCACTAGGTTGAGGACGCCTTGCACTGTTATTATCAAGACTCTTCTTCAGCCGGATCACTATGCTGATCACATCATCTCATAGAGCAATACCATTAGTCGCCTCACAATCATAATCACAACTCCAGAACCGCGAGTTTCTGGTATGGAGGATCAACCAAAGCGATCATCGTTAACCCTCAGCAATTTGGAAACTCTATGCATTTTTATTATCCGGCATCTCCCAACACGCATCCTGCCTAGATACAAAGACTGCGTCAATAACCCATCGACTATGCTCGATAATCGCACTTCGCTTCGACATGAGCGAGTCCTTCTACAGGAGCGTAAGGAGAGTATACAAACAAATTAATGAGCAGGTAAGTAAAAGCTATCTTTGTTTCCTCCTTGCTGGTGATGGTCAGCTGTACCTCGCTGTCAGTCTGGTTCTCTTGCTTACCATCAAGCACTTCAAGACTGTGGGTGATGTTGCATCGATCGCATCAAATAATGCATTTGACCGCACGCCCAAACTTCGCGTTCCATAAGATCGGGATTTCCACGGCCTGCTGGTGGCTCTTACATATCGCAATACGGTGCATGGGCAAATTACCAAAAATATTCCCAAACGCTTCCATCTGATATATATATACAATGTAGTTATAGCTAGTTGTGTTTATGATATCTATTACATTTAAGTGTATAAGTGTTAATTTGCTTGTTAATGTGGCGCGGACAGCTATCCAGCAATCCGACATTGACCTAGTCCACCTGGAAATCCTTCTTACTAAGGGTAGGATTGATGTGGGGTTAACTTCTGGGCGTAACTCTACCCTAGGGTTGACTTAGGGTAAAGCCCTAAGCGCAACTCTAACCTGGGCACAGGCTACATCAGCGAAAACTAACTCCCCGCTCTATTGCATCCTATAACTCATATTACACCTGTCGTATTAATATAAGAGCTGGTTCGCTAGATTGGCATGAATTTATTGCATTAGTGTATGCAATTGCATACGTTTTAGACGTTGTTCAGACCTTGGCTCCGCCCCCCCCCCCCTTTTGATTTTGCAGAACTGAGGTCCGTAAACTCGGTGAGAAATTTGGAACCAGCTGTTGTATAAAATCACTTACTTTATACTCTTACTTTAGATTCTTCTATGTAAATATGGCTCTACAACTAAGTGATATAAACTAGATGTACAATATTATGATATATTTTATTTATAAACGCAGGCTCTCATATAAATTTTACTCAATTTATAAGAATAACTCATAGTGATATAAGAAGAGCAATTTATCAATCATGCAGCTATACGCTATTAAAGAAATAAGAGAAGAAGGGCTTTTTTTGTTAAGATTTTGCTAACCCCTACAGCATTTTTATTCTTTATGTAACATATGGCTTCGTGATAGAGCGAAAACGAGCGTGATCGCAGTATCATCTTCGTAAAGCGCTTTTCTACTTTTGAGCGAGGTATCGAAGGTGCATACGGGGTCGAGACAATGGTCATAGAAGCATTCGCTTTTCATGAGAAGTTAAAGAGATTGAAAAGACGTATGATTCAAATAAGATAACAGGTATGTATTTATGAAGTCGGTTGGGAAGCCAAGCCACGGCACAACCCCACTGTTTTGGCCGCTCTCTAACCCCCGATCTCGCGATAGTCAAATCACTGCTCTGGCGCCGTTTATAGTGTGTTTGATACAAGCTTCAATTGCACAAGACTCAAGACAGCTAATTCAAAGGTAAGAGAAAATTCGAGGGAAACCAGAAGTCCGATGTGATAGTTAGCTGCTGGGGTTGAGTTGCGATAAGCACATAATGTGTGCGCATACGCAATGAGGGTCGGATAGAGGTGCCGGACGGGCCAACGCCGGATTACGTCCTCCAACACCAATTATTCTATCCACTTCAACCACCTATAACGTGACCATAATGCAATTAATTGACGCTGCGCTTACTGCTATTAACGCGCTAAAGCCTAATGAAAAGCTTATATACTCTTAAATTGCAAAAAAATATGGTGTTGACCTAGGAACGCTGAGCCGCCGCCACCGAGGTATTTCTAGCTCTAGATAAGCAGCTGCATAAAACTAGCAGGCAGCCCACCCACAACATGAAGCTGAGCTTATCGATTATATCGATAGACTTACTAAGCGAGGCCTACCACCTACACAGAGTATTATTCGAAATATCGCATCGCAGCTAGCTTAGAAGCAGCTCGGATACTACTAGGTTAATCGCTTTATTTATCGCAACTCGTATCTTATTGTACTTAAGCGCACCACGCCAATCGATCGCAGCCGGCGCTGAGCTGATTTAGAAAAGAAATATCAGCTCTACTTCGAGCTTCTACGCTAAAAAATCGATTAATATAAGGTGGAGCCGCGATATATATATAATATAGATAAGAAAGGCTTTATAATTGGAGTACAGTCCCGTTTAGTCCGAATCTTTTCTAAAGCTGCTCTTAAGTCTAAGTTGAAAAGATTAAATATTTAAGATAGTAATTGCGAATAGATTACGCTAATCGCGTATATCTGCGCGGATAGATTATATCTAGATCTAAGCATTATCTACTCTAGCAAATCCAGCTCTATCTAGAACTTATAGCTCTAAGGTTTTAATCTAGATATATATACTATGTATATTACCGCATTAGCCACTGGCTAGTCAAACGATAATATTGGTCTCTAATAGCTTAAATAAGTATTCGATCTAGCTACTAAGCTAAAAGCTCGATCTTCTTACTAATTACTTATTATGGATAGGCACTATAGTTATATAATAATGGATTTTATTAACTATTATAATTAGAATAAGATACTATTAGCTATCTTCCCGCCGCACTTAACGCATACGCTGCAGCCGCTCGATATTAGATTATTTAAGCCACTATCTACCGCATACTTAAATGAGCTATCAAACTTCACCAATACTAGCTAAGAGCTGATACTATTCACTAAATCTTATTTCTTCCTAATATTCTGGAGAGCTTGGTGCGCAGCGTTTAAGGAATTATTAATTCTCCATGCTTTTAGAGCTACTGGGCTCTCACTATTTAATCTAGAAGTTATACTCTAAAAATTCAAAACTATAGCTGCTAATAGCGATAGAGACGCATTAGTAGTATCAGCTTCTGATTAGAGAACGATTCGGCAGCTACTTAATTAATCTACGAGTAATAGGTTAATTTTAGCGCTTAATAGGAATTATAATGAAACTATCCGCTGATACAGCGTTTCTTCAACGGGAAAATAAGCAGCTCCGGGCAGCTCTTATAGATGAGAGACAGCGGAAGGAGCGTATCTAGCCTGGTACGCTCGAGCTGTCCGATGATTATTATAGTAGAGCTACTTTCTGGTCTCCACGGAAAGTGCGAGAAGCTCGCCACTAATATAAGCAGAAACAGCGCGATCACGAGGAGTTACAACGCCAAAAAGCTATCATAATCGAAGCTAGAAAGGAGAGAAAGCTACTTAAAGCTTAAGAACTAGATGCACGGCGGCGGGCGCGGGCACAGGCAAAACTAGATCGTGAGAGGTAGAAAGCTGAAGCAGCTGCCCACTGGATAGCCCGCCAAGCCGCCCACAAACGACTTCAAAAAGCTATCAAAATCTCTCGAATAGGCAAGAAGCCTAGCTCTAAGCGCCGTGCCAAGCTAGTATTAAAAAATATTATTATTGGTAGTAGTAGTGGTGGTGCGCAGCCAGCCGATCGATCAGCTGCACCACCGTTACCACGCTCGCGTTTAGGCCGCCCCATTAAGCTGCCAATTAAATATCAGTAGATAGACTAGATAAATGATACTACTAGGTTACTACATTAAAATTTCTCGCGATAATAGCTTTTATGTAGAGCTCTACAGCTTCAAGTTTGTGATAGTACTGTTGGGGAAAAATCCGGCGTTGGCCCGTCCGGCACCTCTAGCGGAAGAATAACACTGCAGTTCAGTATAGCTCACTTTACTGATCTGCGGCACGCACGACACAGGGACTGCCAAGGTAAACGAAAGCTTTGTAGTATTAATAAAACGAGGAAAGATTTGAAGGTAAAATATTTGGTCAATATGTTCGCAAAGTATAGAGTCACACTCTACACCGCACTTCCGGCACCAGGGAAGGCCTTGAACAGAGATTTGTCGTACTTAACAAGCTCGGGGCACCCAAGTTCTGCAATGATCGGGTCTAGAACAGATGCCAGCTTTTGCACAGCGATCAAGATGTTGCCAAACAATCCACGGAGGATGTCAGGAGCACCTTCGCTAGCTGCCTGGAACGCAAAGCACATCAGGTTGTTTCTTTCAAGAAGTGTCTGCGCATTAAAAACGTTGCCTGAAGATTGGTGTAAAAGGTTAGTATTTGTCTCACATATAGCTCGTACAGAGAGGTTACTTGCCTGTCAAGTCATCAATATCGACACCAGTGAACGAGTTTGGCTGGCCGGTATTCCCACCAACTCGGATCAACTCGGGGTGGGCTACTTCAAGCGAAACAGCTTCAGCAGTGAACGAAAGGATGCTGTAATCATCACCAATGACGCGACGATACCACTATGATGAGCGTTAGCAATTGCAAGTGTATGGTGTTACGATAGGTACTCACATTTTCAGGAATCCTCTCTTGCCCGCGAGCCCACATATAATTACCCTTTTCTCCAGTGACACCCTGGAATGACATAAGTGTCTTAGCATCGAGATAGCCCTCAGGGTTCTCAGCAGTGTGGTTAGCGAAGAAACGGTAGGTGAATTGATACGTGGCGGGATTTAACGCAAGGGTCTGTAGAGGGCCCGAGAAGTAATAACCATTCGTAGCGATCGAGTGCCTCGTGCGATCAAGACGGAACGCGGTTAGGACGGGAATGTCAATGCCGTTCTTGCCAAGCGGCATAGAGAGGAGCTGCTCGAAAAAGGCCAAGTTGAGAGATACGGGGTCGCCACTAAGAGTAATTAGTTATCCTGGCCACGCAACAAGAGGAAGAAACTTGAATGACATACGTTGCGTACAAGTCCGATCGTGTGGGTGATCCATCAACCTCGAAGCGGTTGTGTGACGCACTCAGGCCCTGTGGTTCTCCGAGAAGCCCGATTGACGAGACGACACCGCCTAAGAGCCCACCAGTCTTAGGTTTACCACCAATCGAAAAAGAGGTGAGATCACCTGCCATGACGGCGGAGTAGACTGCCAGAAATGCGGATAGATCCAGGCCCATACCAAATACTAACGATGTTAGCACTCCGTAGAAAAGAGAGCAAAGGCATGTAAACCTTCATTGGCGGCTGTAGTCATTTGTGTGATTGTGGAGATGCCATTTCGGGGAAGGTAACCGTGATTTGCCATAACATTGATACCAGGACAAGGTCCACGGAGATCATTGGGGCCTGGCGCAATCTGATAAAAAAATCATTGGCAAATGCAATTCCATGTTGTGCATCTCGGTAGGGCCACTCACATATTTATGGTCACCACTAGTGCTGATGCGCTGAGCCTCTGCATTGAACGCACGTTTGACGTGGGCTCCTGATCGCTTGCTCTCTAGATCTCTTGAGATCCTCTCCGTGAGAGCGGTGAATTCCGCAAGGGTCGTTTTACTGATGTCGCCTTTGAGCATGCTCGCAGGAAAGGCAAAGGTCGGCAATGAGAAGAGCGTTGCAATGCATAGTACTGAGACCTTCATGTTCGCAACAACAATATCAGATGTGAAAGAGTGTGAATGAAAGATGTGAAGTTGGAGTGATGAAGATCCGGTCAGCAACAGCCAGGGATTATTCAACTTTCATAGTGGCAAATGAGTGATGCGCACAAATGTGGGCCGCTACTATAATTCCCATCTAGATATCGTCGATGGAGATGCCAATCTGGGGTCAGGTACCTTCTAGCATAGTCCTAACACCCCGCTTTACTTACTCCAAATTGCAGGGTGGAGGGCCTGAGGTAGAGAGATCGTCAGCGGGTGCTCTCTCTGCCCGTGTTGTGATTGGGTCGGAGGTATAGAAGTTTGCAGATCTTTGCGCGATGCCTTCTATGCAAGGGCCTTAGATCAGCCGCGATCCTCTCGCGCAAGCCACAGGTCAGTCCGTTCCTAGATCTGCTAGATCTAGCGACTCGTGTCAGGGAGAACAATGCGCTCGAACGTCATGACTGAACCCACGAGGCTTGTATTGCTGGCCCCTTGTGGCTCGTCACGGTGCTTAGCATCTCTCTATAATAAACCTGCCGGGAATGATCTATCGGGCCAAGACGTATCCGAGACTAGCGCATTTGGTCTAGCGGGCATGATCTCTCAAGGGATGACTGGACCACCATCGTTGATAATACTACTTACTAGCGCGTCTATCCCAGCCCAGACTGATCTCAATTTCTAAGTATACAGGCTACCTTACCCGGCGCGGGTTTCCTAGTAGAGTCGCATGCAAGTTCAAACCTCGCGCAGAGAAGCCCGCACTACTACATGATTAGCGGCGAACGATGCTCTGATCAGCATTGCCCAACAGCCAAGCCAGTGTTGCCCGATACCCACGTACTGTTCTAAGCGTCTCCACCAGCATCTGCCAAAGCCTACATCTCATAACTGCCGCACCGTTCTAGTTTACGTTATAGGACACGGCTCTCAGACGAGTACCCACTACTCAAGGAAAGGGGTGAATACCAGCCACTATCGAGGCGGGTAACTGCTATCCGCAACCCTATCCTCAACGTCGTTCGATATAAACTCGATCCTTGTCCCACATCAGCATCGTACCGCCATGACCGCTGCGGGACATTGATATAGCGCCAAGGAGCATTCCCTTCAATCTCTTCTCCTTTTCGCTACTCTCGAGTCCAATCCAAATGGCTGCCTTCGACAGTTGGGTTAGCAACCCGGACGAGAGCCATGGACCGCTTATGTCCGTCGTCACCTGGTCGCTGGTCTCAGTGGCTGCTGCCTTTTTGATTCCTCGGCTTTGTATTCGCCAGCGTCAAGGGAAGCTGTGGCTAGACGATTGCACACTTGTCGTCAGTTGGGTAAGTGCCACAACATCTCGAAGCAAATAGCAGTTGGCTCATACGATAAAGATCTTACTTCTGATCCAAGTCTCCATCAACCAAGTATCTATCAACTTAGGCTACGGAGGACATACACTTGACCGTAATAAGACAAAAGAGAGTCTTAAATTTTACAACTCAGATGGCTAATCTTTACGCTAGTCGACCTGCGCAATCTTGATAAATTGATGTATATTGGCGGAGCGGAACTGACAATATATACCATCGCCATTGCCCTTAGCAAGATCTCTTTCGGACTTACTTTGCTTCGGCTGACAGATGGATGGGTCAGACTCTACGTTTACTTTGCGATCTCTACCCTGGCGATTTTTGCAGTCCCAGCTACCATTATACCATGGGTGCAATGCAAACCGCTAGCCAAAACATTTGTGGATTTCATACCAGGCGAATGCATCAACAAGCACCCCTCCGTTGTGTATGGGCGTTTCCAAGCTGGTGAGCAGACAGCTTCAAACTTTGTACCTTGATTCCTTGGCTGACTTGTGGTGCAGTGTGGTCAGCCCTTATGGATGTGTCTCTTGCTATATTGCCGTGGAAAATTCTTTCGAACCTGCAAATGCGCACCGCAGAGAAGATCGGTGTATGTGTCGCCATGAGTCTGGGAATACTGTGAGTTCAGGCATTGCTTGATTGAATTGAAGACTGAGCTAACTTCATTGAAGAGCTGGAGTCACGTCAATTATCAGATCCACATACATCGAGAAATTGACAGTACAGGATGTATCATGTAAGACATTTAAGACACACACGGATCATTGCTAACAGTCACAGATGAATCGTACAAATCTATTATATGGGCAGTCGCAGAGTGCTCCATGGCCATCGTCGCTACCTCAATTCCAGTACTTCGCGTGGTTTTCAAGCATGCGCTCAACTCCGCGATCGAAGGCTACACGGGCTCGAGTAGATGCAAATCACGAAGCAAATCACGATCGTACCCTTCCAACGTTGCGAGCTCGGGGAACCGAATGAGCACACGACAATCGAGCAAGAAAATGTCAGAGATAACGGTCAATGGAGAATGCGGTGAATCTGTGGAAGAGGTGTTTGGACGTGGATCGAATGGATCACAGAACTATATAGAGCTTGATGATCTGGCAGTCGACGAGACTGGGCGCGTCACTGCTTCGTCTCCAGAATCTCTGCCAGACCATGCCGAGCGCCATGTACCAAATTGGCCCGTATGAGTTGCCCTGCGATTTGCATGCACGGGGCGACTAGGGGGCTGCGTGCAGAGGAGTCCCGTAGGCTCGTTCCTTGGTATTAATCGTCATGGTCAGAACGAGGTTTACTATCAAACATGCATTTGCTCCTATGTACAAAAGAGGAAGGATAGAGAAAATAAAACTAGTTTCCTTCTTGTATAGTATTCATCCTTTGTCCACTGTCACTATTACAGACAAGTAAGAAGTTCTTCGACGTAGTCTCTTAAAGTAGTGAGGCGTAGCCCACAGGACCAGTCTATCAACCTATGACATCGTCGCATTCGCAGCCTTTTTGAACAAGAAACTAATCATCGCTCTACCAGACACGCTCGCGCTCGTAGTCCCGTCGCTCGCCACCATCACCGTCACCAGACTCATATCATGGGTATTGTCTGTGTACCACGCTCTCACATCGGCATACCCACTCAGTGCAACACCTGGGTTTTGTGAACTCGTAACAGAATTAATGATCACGACGGACTACGCCACATAGTAAAGCGATGCCCGGGGTCTTTCGTCTGCCACAGTAAATCGCAAAGAAGGTACTTCCTCCATAGCCTGGTAAGATAGTCGCCACCCAGCGCCGTCGCAAAACTCTCCGCAATCGCTGAAATAGCAATCAACTTATCCTTTTTGACAGAAAGCTTGCGCTCTGTGAACGTAATCAGCAAACTCCTCCATTGGGCCCTTATATCATGCTCTCCCTTTTTTAACCTCCTCCAGTTCCAGAGCCAATTCAGCGGCCTAGCTTTCCTTGGAGTCCTGAACGTATTTCTCGGAAATCCTGTTTTCCACGCCCAACTATCCCAATCGATCCCACTGTATCCATCGACCCGGAAACACTTCTGGCACTTCCAAAACACCTGCAAATCCGTGAATAAAAGGACCCGTGGCGGGAAGAAAATCGCCTGCAGTGTTCAGCTGCGCGCGTTCACGAGTAAGGAACGGGATATCAAGACGTCATACATGAATGATGAATCACTCACGACGAACGGAACCTGCGCTTCATCTGGCAAACAAGGAAGTGAAAACAGTTTGAGCGGGTTGAAATCCTGCGACAGGAATCCGTCTTGCGGACTGGCTGCCCGTGATGCCGATATCGTCAACGCAGCGTTCTGGTAGATATGTCGCATTTTTGAAATCTCTCGGTTTATGTCGTCCACATCGTCTTGGATGATGCACAGCGAGTCGATCCAGATGAATTCGCACCCCAGATTGCATGCGACGGTAAACGAATTGAGGATAGTTTGCGATAAAACATCATACGGTAGGGTCTTGGAATATTGCGCAAAATTTGCGTGCGTGGTGACATGAACTTGCGCGCCGCCCCAGCAATAACTTAGAGCCATGAAGTTGAGTTTACTATGAGAAAATGTGGTTTCGTAAAGGCGTGCGGATGGAGCTGCGCTGGGAGGAGAGATCTGCACGAGTCTACGTGGTAAAGTGATCCGACCGGGTCGTGGGCAGGTTTTGTGATTTCGTGTACAGTCTGTCATCCATTCTTTCATGAGGGAGAGAGCCTCTGGATTTCCGGGTGCAGTGAGCGCAGGTACACGTGGAATTCCAAACTCTGCTGCAAGTTTGTTTGGTATAGCTTAATCATATAAACGACCCATATTGTAGTTTGACTCTGCGTACCTGTACAAGCATAGAGAGACTCATCCAACTCTGGTGAAATATCGGGTGACGTCGCCTTTCTCATGCTTGAGACAAAGTATATGCTCCTCTTGCGGATAATTCCACATAAGCTTAGCCATCCCGAGACACATCGGGCTGCATATCTCGCAACGAGCTTTGTACGAGTCTGTAAGCATTCCGTTTTTCCGTGTCTACAGATATCCTTCGTTTGTGAACATTTGCTTTCAAATCGCTAGGTCTATCAAGAGCGAGGTGCATGGATTGCATAGTTTCAGGGGATGGTATTGGATCATTCTAATTATGATGGGAATTTAGTTCAGGAGAGTATTAGAGGAGATATATAGAGAGTGGGATATGCGAGCGGGGTAAAGTGGGTGTTGCATTGGCATCGTTCAGCCGCACACAACCTCACGCTTGACTATAGACTTCAAGTCTTATCACGTGACATGTGCTAACATTATTTGAGGTACCACTTCACCCCTTTCTCGTAGATATTGACGATATGTGAACTTACAGAAGCCTGCTTGACATCAATTGGTAGTACTAAAAAAAGATTTCGTCCAGCTCATATGTACTCAAGGCCGCTTTTAATCAATACAATTGTATTGACTGTTAACAACCTGGAAGACTCTATTAGGTTCTCTTCCATTGATCACAATTCCAATACAATCGTTCCATCCCATCTCTTGCCCATCCTGCTCCTCTCGCATCTGATCCCTTCCATCCACCAAAGCAACAATGATTAGGCTTATCTGATGCTCCTCAGACCCCATCACTCCCTTTCTCGCTCGCGCCATCCAAGCAAAATGGTAGCCCGCAAGATGTACCCATGCATAGTTTTCATCAATGAAGCAGATGGGCTGTTGAGCGAGCGCACAGCTGGCGAGAGACGTCACATCTGGGCCATGCTGAATCAGTTTCTCATGGAATGAGAGGCATCATGGGCGGCAAGAAGTCGCCCGTCATCCTGCTGACTACCAACCCTTCTGTATAAGAAATAGAAAATGTGATCTACTCTTTTTTATGCCTGTAACGTACAGATTGCTTCTAGAACTAACTAGTGCATGACAACTGCTACATGATCGTCCATGTACTTAGAGATGTCACCTAAGAAGCAGGCTGAGATGATGCTCACACAGCCAAAAGCAATGCTAACGTAGTACACATACTTGTATGCCTCTGCATACGCAAGTTGGCCGGCGTACACCACTAATTCGTATGCACCGGGTACACCCTTAATTCCTGGAAGCTCCTCGAGCAATGGAAGGAGCGAGCTGCCAGTAATTCCAATCGCTTCACCAATAATGGAGGGCGAGGTAATGTTGAGTTTTGTGGCCATGACGCCACCAATGTAATGTGTGGCAGCTGGTACAAACTTTGCTTTAAGGAGAGTTAGAGTGATTTCCTTCAGTGCTGCTATGGAGGAAACTTACAAACAAACACATTGTAATAGATGCAGTATCCGATTGAACCGCCAATAACACGAACAGCGAGGGTAAGAGCGGCGACGGTAGCGATAAGATCGTCGGGGCATATGATAGTCGCTGTTTCTATTAGAAGTTTACTCGTTATCAACAGATCAACGCAATACTTACAGATAATAGATGCTGGAACTACAATACCACCAATTCCAAGACCTGCCAGAACCAAAATACCCCAAAGCTGATGCAAATTATCCACTCTGCCAACGGCAAGAGCACCGCAACCAGCCGTCATGAGTATAGAAGAAGCGATAAGAAGTTCCTTGTTATGGCCTCGAAGCAGAGACAACAGCCATAACACAATGCAGGCTCCAGCAAGAATAGAGAAGCCGACTGGAATACCGCGGATACCGACGCCGATTGGGTCATGACCGTATACATTGAATGCCTGTGTAGGCCAGAACATGAGTATGGAAAAGAAATTGGCTCCGGAGATGAAGGTGATGACGAGAGTAAGACCCAAAATTCGTGGTTCTTGTCGCAGTCTTTTGGGAAACATGGGATGTGTTGCATATCCTTGCCAAACCACGAAAGCGATGATGAGCAATGCGCCGAGGATTAAAGGTACAAGAACATGGGTACTATGCCACGGATACTGGTAGCCTCCCCACTGCATACCCATCATAAATAAGATCATTCCAGCGACGGAAAGGAAACCACCGATATAGTCGATCTCAGCAAGAATCTGCTTGCGGCTCATGCCTTGGCTGTTAACACGTGGTGGTGGATGGTAGAAAAATGCTACCAGGGCGAGGCCAATGAAAGCCCAGAGGCCAATCCAGAGGCCAATCCAACGCCATGTTGAATATGAGGCAATAAGCTGTGCCCATAGTACAGATGGACAAAATGGAATGATGGTGAACACGAGTACTGCAACATATTTACCGCGTTGCGCAGTAGGAGCCAGCTCAGATGTCACAGCCAATGCTGTCAATTCGTTGATGCCGGCTCCTATTCCTGCAAAGACCATACCACAGATAAAGATGTTCATCTCGTGGGCAGTGGAGCAAATAATCATGCCAACGATGAGGAACATAGCTCCGATCATCGCGACCCAGCGACGGCCGACAATATCAGAGATGGATCCAACGAAAGGGCACACTGCGGCCAATGAAAGAAGGTTTGCAAGGATGAACCAGATCCATCTATCATTGCCGCCGATGTCGGCATAGATGTATGGAGGAACACCACCGAACAAGTAGACGGGGATCTGACTGCCAGTCCACACTAGACGCAAATTAATCAGGGTATTAGTAGAATCAAAACAATTACTCACAAAAGGCCATCGCAATCAAACTCATGATGCGGCTAAAGGTCATTGGGGGCTCAGTATCATGATCTTGGCCATCGCCATATGTCCTCAACCCATTTTTCTCGGAATCATTGATGTGGTCAGGCACTCGCTCGTCGATTTTTATTTGTTCAACCTCCAGAGCTGAGGGTTTTGATGTAGAAAGGCGCTCCGAGCCACCTAATAAAGCATATATTTAGTACGACATGAGCAAACCTGGAGCACGGCAATACATACCAGAGCTGCTAGTATCCACCGCCATGCGCTGAATGTGAGTAGAAACCCAGAAGTGTGGAAATGGAGCGATCAGGAAAACGGGGTAAGATAAGGGGATAGGTGTTAACTCTTCAAGGTTGGATACACCGATGTTTAAATCACCGCCTGGCCGGGACCAGATCCAACTCGGAACGTGGACTTTAATTCAGCGGCTTCGCAAGAACGCCATCTCGACCCCATGGGGTGCCATCCGGCCTCCCACAATAAGTCCGTTGCGGGGTATATATGCTAGTGATGGCCGAAGCTTCCCTCAGGGGCTCAAGTCTACGGAGATAGGATACGAATGTGTTCTAGCCGATCACTGTGGCGATACTTCGGAGGTGCTATTAGCTAACCCACGACACAAGCATCCGGAGCCGCGCAAGCTCCTAGGAACACAGTTGTTAATCAATGAGAATTTACCGCGGAATAGCGTATCGTGCCTTGCAACGTGGTACCTAATTGCTATCTCAATGAGCACTTGCCTCGCAACTATAAAAGGTTCGATTGTGAAGAGAATCCTTTGCGAAGCTTAATGCCAACTTAAGGCGATGCCTCTCACAGGTGACCAATGCTGCACGGCACAGCGGTAATCTTCAGGCAGCTTGCGCTGCACAGGACATCCTCTGAGACGGCGTGAATTGCAGAACGGGCAATGGATCCGGCGCTATGTGATTAGCGCTGAACTACCCCGCATGACAATTGCTTGACTGGATATAAGCAGTAAACAAGCACCTCGGCAGGTGATAACAAGCTTCTCGGTCATCTTGCGAGGGCTTCGGGGCAAATGGCTGCATGGAGGCTTTGTGCAACCGCATCATAGAACCATGTACCAAAAAGATGGTTTATGGTGTGATCAAGCCAGACATAGGGTTCATGCTAATTAGCTCTATACATAGGAGAGTTCTCTCGAAATTCAAACGATCTATATACAAGTTAAGAATATGCTAGACCTGCCGCCTTTTCCACATTCGCGTAACTACACCTGTCGGGAAACTTCTCCGACTCTGGCCTTAAGCACTTCAACCTGCAACGCTAGACTTACAACTTCTTCTTGCTCCTCAGTAGCCGAGAGGCTCGTTAACGGTGCCCATGCGAAGCGGAATGCCTTTGACCGAAAACAGATGCTCGAACCCCTCCTTAGTCAGCATACTTAGTCGTGTACCGAAACTCCTCAATGTTCTGGTAGACTGTTGCGTCATTGCCGTCGATGAGAAACACGTCGTTTGCGTCTGTTCGAATCAAGGTTTCTCGCGCAGCAGCGGCATCAAATCGCCAGTGAACATCCAGGTCGATTTGCAAAAGCGTGTTCTAGCAGGGGCGACTATGCGTATATTTCACTTAAACCACTAATGTTTTTAACGTAGCAGCTGTCTTAACACATAATATAGCTCAGTAGATGCATAGCATTTTGATATTTCTTCCAAATCATCTAAGGTATGGCTTTAATTTGGCGAGCTAGAAATACCAAACTTCGTGCGTCCCGAAGAGTATGATCTATGTTGCCATCATGATAATATACATGGGGTGAGGGGAATGCTATATACGGTATTAGCAGTTAATAGTCACTTGATTAACAGGGAGGCAGATCATACATTTAGCGCCAGAAGCAGTAAAAAGCTAACACAAACATTTCCACTCTCACCTGTGTTTGTGTGCGGAGTAGCTTCGTGCAAAGTTCCCGCTGTCCAGTTCTCTGAAAGTCCCATTCTGGATCTACACATAATAATTACTTATTTCTATTCATTTCTTATCTCTCAGTGCACTTGCATCCACCGTAGTGTTTTAAACACTCTGAGAATGCCTATTGATGTTATAAGCGGTATCTCTAAAAGTATTGATGTAAGCGTAGTCCTCTCTCTTTTGGTATGTTGCAATTGTTAACCACAGGGGCCTAAAGTTTGAACTAGCCAGACAAATCTCTGAATACGAACAGAACCTTGTCATTGGTCTTGTCCGCAACAAAGCAGCAACAAAAGAGAAATTTGCCACTGAAATCCCCGGCCGTAACAATATCATGTTCCTCACAGCGACCTCACCGACTATGCTAGCCTGAAAGAAGCCGCAGTCGACACAACCAAGGTTGTTGGTGAGCGCGGAGTCGATTACCTGATCGCAAGTGGCGCTGTGGTATCTTAAATGGATATATATGACCCCATTGGTGCACTGTAAGTCCACACTTGCCTACCGTAACAGCAGCAGTAGGCCTAGGCTCACACGATTGGTATTCAAAATAGGGTCGATAAGCCATCTGAAGTCGACGATACCACGAGCCAACTCATGCAGACAAATTTCACTGAAAAATATCCATCTGCTCCATCTCTTTATGTCACTTGTGTTGAAGGGCAGCGTGAAGAATATCATTGCTATCTCCAGCCCCCATGCTGATCTCAGCCTCATCAAAGATATCGGTGTGAAAAACAACGCACCGTATGCTGCATCCAAGGCCGCTTTGAATTTCATCATAGCAAAGCTCATTTCGCAGTACAAGAGAGACGTTGTGCTTATTTTCAGCATGAGTCCTGGAGCAGTGGAAGTAGGGCATTGGGATAGTCGTACATAACAATTTACTTGTATTTCTTATCACAATTTATAGATAAGAAACTTAATATCTTACATTAATGCATAGTGACACAGGAGCATAAGGACGACGTGAAGGGTCTCAAAGAAAGACTGTCAGAGTATGCGCCTCATTTTAAGGGAGCGACACCTATGAATGAGGCGGTTCGGTCAATGAGAGCGACATAGGAGAGAGCCAGCCTCAAGGTCTAATTTTCTGGTTCTTTTGTCTCGCAATTCGGGGACCAGCAGTGGATATAAAGGTTGAACATTCATGCACTATTGTCGTCAAGGGAGTGACAATATGTCTCGCTAGACAATTCAAACAGGCAATCCAGAAGAGAATGCACTTCTCAATAGCGCCTTTATGCATTTCCTGTGGACTGTCCATACAGGTAACTTAGCAAAGTATAAGCCATGTAAACAGCGTAGCTGCGGCAGATCTTTTATCCCTATCTTACCCTCACTCGTTGGCTATAAACAGTCTCTATAGTCTGAGTTTCTAAAAATTATTTATTAAGCTACTATATGTTGTTCCATTATAGCCACAATTGATTGCTTAATTTTTATACGTTCATAGATCTGCTAAGATGAACTAAAGTAGCACCTGCCGGTTCTCTAGATATTATACCTACTAAACCCAAAAGTGCAACTACGCCCCAGCACGTCGCGCGCATTCTGTCAGAACCTGCTAATTCTTAGAACACAGATCTAGCCATCTGCCATGGCCATTAATCGAATATAAGTCACTAACATACCTTTCAACTTTAAGTAGCTTCGAATAATATAATCTCTCTAAGAATTTGGTATGTAAAGGTGACCGACTAAGGGCTATTAATTCAGTATGCGGTATTGCTAACCATCTAGATACTATAACACAAATGCTGGAGACTCTAAACTCCGTGTGGATATGCCGTAAAACACCTACCATTACCATTCGCATGCGTCCCCAAGCCTTGGTCTTTTGACTAATGTGGATCTTGAAGCTGGATCCTTTTCGCTAGCGCAGTTTACTAAGCTCTAGGAGATTGTTAGCAGAGACTCATAATAAAAAACCTTGATAAGCTCTCTTATGTAACAACCTAAGAACTTGTGCGCACAGAGACAAGCCAAAAGTAAGCCTCGCCCACCCATAGTTCTAATATATTTACTAGTCCTATAGCATCTTGCTTCAGCGAAAGCACCAGCTTATCAATAAACTCTGTCTTTACAACCCTAGAGTGTTGCAAGCATCACAAACATAGTTAGAGCTTGTCAGAATTATCAAGGTAATGACGCAATCGGCAAGGTCGTAGACTGCAGCCATCGCCAATGACAATAATCTCGTGGTGCTTTTTGGGCCACTGAGTGATGCGAGGTTATTAGTACTCCCCAAGTTGATCAAAGAAGCAACACAGTGTACAGGACTTTGAGAGAAAATTATGCATCTAATACTGAAGAACTCTGTGAATACTTGAGTGTTTTATCTTATCTCTTTTGTGCGATGTTTTCTTAGAGCCTGTAATATCAGAACTATGCTTATTCCGCAGTATATTGTTGTAGAAAGTGTTCAAATTCCACACAATATCGATCCCAGGATCATAAAAAAAATGCGGGGTCGTTAGTGAGTTAGCCTTACTTTGCTTTTCTTAATGCGGCTTTTGTTAATGCGAGAGTGCCTTTCTACCCCACCTTGACCAATCATGCATTGGAACTAGAGGATTACTAAAAGTATCAAATCCAGCTTCTTTCATGTATTGCCCATGCATGAAACCAGCAGCGGCCAATGGAAGCTAGTAACCGTACTCAACGGCTCCCGCATCTTACAAATGGTCCGCAGGCGCGGACAAATGACGTCGTCGGCATTACTCGGCCTATTGATAGGAGAGGGGAAAACGTAAATACATTATGTCTGCCACCTTTTTTCATTGCTTCGGTGAATGAATGTTTACTTTTACTAATATCACATTACAATTGCATTTGAAGAAATAATGGCAGATAAAAAGCCACAAGTGGAAACCACCAATCGTCCGGATGAGTGGAGGATTGAGCAGGGATTATCCGGAGCGAGCCTCCCTGTCCTTGACATGACTGGCCCTGAGACGCTTCACATACCTCCCCAAGTATTTGGCGAGCTGACCAAGGATGAAGAAGCTATCAAGGCCGTTGGTGATCGTGACAAGCTATTTGCTCGCGAGAGGAAGGGCTGGGTAGGGTAAGTGAGAATAATTAAGGTTCATATTGAAGCGATTCGTTAAAGGCATTTGTAGATTTGTAGAGTGGGAAAACCATCCTGACAAGAAATTGGCGGCACACAAAATCCTGACTGCGCAAACATTTCCACCAAATCCAGAGTTCCAGCTAGGCCCTATTCCAGGAACGAACCCTGTCCTTCCTGGAACTCACTGGAAGATGTGGCATCATGCTGTCGGTGGCGAACTCACTCAAATCCCAGACGACTCCTGGGACATTGTTTTGAAAGAGAAGCATCCTGATATGCTTCACCTGTTGCAATTCCCATACAATGGAGAGCCACCTAAGCGACTCGTTACTGCTAAAGAGATCACACCAAATTCATTGCATTTTGTCAGAAACCATGGCGGGATCCCGATTATTGACAAAGCCGACTATAGCTTCATGATAGACGGCCTTGTCAAGACACCACGTTCGTTCACTTTAGACGAGCTCATGGATCAAACAAAATTCCCTCGCATCGAGAAAGTGGCGACTATACAATGTTCCGGCACTAGACGCATTGAACAGATTCTGAAGTATCCTGGTCAAGGCGACGAAGTTCCACAGGCGCCTTGGGCGGAAGGTGCGATTAGTACCGCTAGCTACGTGGGTGTCAGCCTCAAGAAGGTCATCAAGGCATGTGGTGGATTGATCGATGGCGGAAAGCACCTTGAGTTCTATGGTGCTGATACCTACTTCAAAGATGACAAAGTCATGAATTATCTTGTCAGCGTCCCATGGTCGAAGGTCAAGGCAAACGAAGTCCTCTTAGCATGGGAGATGAACGGAGAGCCACTCCCTCGCATTCATGGCTACCCTCTCCGGCTTGTTGTCTTGGGCTATATTGGTGCAAGAAGCGTGAAGTGGGTATATCGGATTAAAGCCATCGATAAGCCATCCCGGGCGCCGGTGCAAAGCCAAGAGTATCTCTATTTTCCCCAGCAAGTGGGCAAGCATAACCTGAAATTGACAGACGGGATACAAATTCAAGAAATGCCAGTCAGTTCGGCAATCATGTCACCATGGACAAAGCAAGTGGTCATCCACAACGGCAAAATACGATGCAAGGGTTGGGCTTACTCTGGCGGCGGTCGATGGCCAGAACGCGTCGAGCTTTCGGCGGACGGCGGGTTTAACTGGTACACAGTCCCTGTCGAAAATATGTCCAAGAAGCGCAAGTGGACCTGGCGTACCTATGAGTTCGACCTCCCGTGTGACGTTGAAGGTTGGGTTGAGATTGTGTGTCGATGTTGGGATAACGCACTGAACACACAGCCTCCTGACGTCCGAACTGCTTGGAACTGGGGCTTGCATGTCACTAGCTCCTGCCATCGTATCTCCGTATATAGCGTCAACAAGTCTAGACCCTTAACCAAGACCCGCCTTGAAGAGTTCGACAAAGCCAACATTCCTTTCGCGTCCATCACAGTACCGCTCGCGTTTCCAAGTCAGAAATGGGAGGCCTACGAGAAGTATTGGGCGGATCATGATCCGCGCGACGCTGATGAATTCTAAGTCCATTGGTACGCGATGAGTATTCTTCTCCATATATGTACTTATTCGGCACAGAAGAACTATCGAATATCAAGAGTTTTCATTAGCTGTGATCCAGACGCACTGTTTGAAATGTCTAAGTTTTAACAAATTGATAATTGTTGTACAAGTCTGAGTCTAAGATATACTGGTGAGCCTCAGGGGAAGTCTGGCCGAAATGCCGCGGACCATCCGTTTCGACTCTTAGAAAGCTCTAAGTTCTAGATCCTAGGAAATTTGTCTGACAATAAGCCCTTTGCTTACGCATCTATCCTCTTATATTTTATTCCTCATTAGCAATTCAAACAATGACAACAAAAAGAAGCGCTAGCATTAACACTTCAATACTTCCAGCTAGTGCTCATAGGAATCATGGCCTTGAATGCCGAGCGATCGTAGCATAGTGGAGTGACCGTCTAAATTGAAGAAGAAGCTCAAGGGAATACATTTTAGTAATAGTGAAAGGTACGACCTGGCGGTTCCGAATGGCCAGCGATCGGTAAAAGTATCTGGCACCATGAAGCATATTCATAAAGCATCGACTCTATGGCTGATTGCGCATACTACAGCTGCGTTTTCTTGATACTTTTTTGCTCTTCCTAACCTTCTATAAGGTCCCGACCTCAATGTCTTTGCTTGTTCTGACTTTGACGATTTTACATAGAATATAACTAATCCTTAAGGTTCTGCGAAATGACAATACGACCGCCAAGCTATATTATAGGAAAGTAGTGCAGAAACGTGCCACGCTTAGTAGTAGTGGTAGGAGCATTGTGTATCGCGCCTTGTTGTACTTCAACTCGAGTTGAATGGTTGGTATATTGAGCAGCGCTCTGACCTGGCTCTCGAGTACCTACGCTCCCGGATCAAGCCTAGCTTTAAAGGATACTACTACAGCCCGCGCCCTCGTTGTGGAAGTAAGCTTTCCAGGTTTATGAATGCCCAGGCCACAGCAGCTCGTATTAACATAACCCGTTTCCGACGATCGCGAATCGCAACTTCAATCGAGGTTTTTCTAGGTCCTCTGTTTGTGCAATTGCTTAGATATCGGAACTCGTGATCGGAACTGTGGAATATCCCACAGAAAGAGCTTCCACACCCAGGCGTTGAACGGGAAAATGCATATCGATCGGTGTTTTTTGAGTCACCATGGAACATTGATACGGCTCAGTAGCGCTTACTTAGTTTCGAGAATGCAAAAATCCCTTTGTTCAACAAGCTCCGTTAGTAACAGTAGAGAAAGTAGTTAAAGGATGATAAGGTATTTACGGTGAAGACATGAGATCTTAGCTGGTTGGGCAGAATATAAATACTTGCTTCGCTACCACTTATTGGAACACAGCAACTCTCACTACGCATTTGCATTCACTATCCTCCTGTTTATTATAGCACAAGTGTAAAATCCGAATATACATCATGAAGTTTGTTACTATCATCACTGCTATCATGAGTGTTGCGGCGGCTACAGCTATCTCAGCTGAACTTCAAGAGCGTCAATGTATTCCTAATGGATGTAAGTATTTAAGCCCTGCAAAATTTCTCTATTCACTAACAATATAGTAAAATGTGATCCTGTAAATAATCGTTGCTGCAGCAATCATTGCGAGGGTACTAGATTCTCCACGCAACTCAAGCGTGTTACTAACAATCCAAATAGCTGTCCCGTGTGGAAGCAATAATGATGTCTGCCAGCCTATTACCACAGGATGCAAACAAAAATCCTCAGGCTCTAGTTAGTGGGGGTGGGGACTGAGTCTAATAGGTAAGAAAGTTGTTTCCTTATGCTTAGCTCGATTAAACTCATTCTTATAATAGAAACTTGGTAATGTCTCACTCTCGTGCCTAGCACTCAAGGGCGTTTAGGCACTGCTCTGATTTTAGTAAAGCCTTCTTTGAAGAATATCTGATAGTTAGGTAATAAGTTCAGCACGCCCTATCTAAAAATCTATCTAAAGAAATCCAGCATCTTTCCTGTCCAACAGTTATGCTCCTTGAAATTGTTCTACCATGCGATGCATTCTGAGACGTTGTTTTTGATTGAATGTTGTTACCTAGCGTGATTACTTAGCTGGTCCGCTTCGCGCTATTTTTACTTATGCTCGAAGTGCATCAAAGATCACTGAGAGTTCAAAAGTCATCGTGGCTGTTTCTGTTTTGATTTCGCATGAGATGGAAATTTAGGGTACTAACTGAATACTTCATGGGGGGTTTAAGATAGTTACAAGTTGTACACATAGTAAGTAGTCAGGCTGGAACTTGTGGCATAGGTGATTTTGCGATGGTTAACTATTCTTAGCGCCAAACATGTCCAGGTGCAAAAATCGAGGAATTTCACAGCTCCATAGGGTTCAAGTACTTGTATTAAATAGTTACGCTATAAATTGTGTGAGAATCTATAGTAAAGAAGAATATCTTTTCAAAATTCTAGCAGCGGGTGAAAATTTCAACAACTGACAAAGACAATATAGTCACGTCTAAGTGGAAAAGCAAACCCTTTAGGTAATAGTCACAGCCTCTGGGAATCGTCTGGCCACCTCTGTAAATCCTTTCTGTCCGCGAGACTTCAGGGTAAAATCCAGAAAAGCAACAATATGAGCAACCGTAAGCTGCATCATCCGTTTCCCTTCAATCGTACCTAGCAGATCACCGATGGCCGGCACCTGCGCGCTTTCAAGTCCCAACGCGTTCATCAATGTCGGAAGGTCGGAGAACGAATAGTGCGCCGATTTGCGGACTTCAATTTCTTTCTTCCAGCTTCGCAGTTTTGGCCATATCGTCTTCCAGGAGGGGTCTGTTTCTTGCGTCTTGTTGGCATGACCGATCAGCATGAAGGGCTTGTCAATGCCCTTATCGAGGACTGGGCCAAACATGGTTCCATCGAGATTGATGCCGCCATGCGCAGAAGGGATTTGCGGTACCGCTGCTCCTGCAGCAGCACCTCCAAGAGAATGACCTAGAACAGCTATTTGAGGGAATTTTTGAAGTACTGTATGGATTGGGAATAGTTTCTTAGAAACATGGCTTTTGCGTAGGCTGTTGAGGGCAAACGAGATGTCATCTGCACGGGTGGCGACTGTCTGATTGATCTTGTCGTCAGGAATATCAACACCGGTAATGATGGTTCCGTTAGGATACTCGACAATATCAGCGTCGTATGGGTGATCGATAGAAACAACTAGATAGCCTGAAGATGCGATGCTTTGCAGCATTATGCTATACAGATACCTGCTGGTACCTAGCGCACTAGAGAACAGCACAAGTGGGAGAGCTGGTGTGGGACATAGATCTTGGGCTGTTGATATGTCGCATGCTTCGAATTCGAAAGACGGGAATATTCCGTTGGGGAGACCGTAGACTGAGAACTTCTTATCCATGAAAGCGGCTGTCCGGGGCGGCATATAAGGTTTGGTTCCTTTGTTCGTGCAATTCAGGACAGGATAAAAGCTTGAAACCATGATCGAGCGGCTTCGTCCGTCGTCGATATAAGGATCCTGGCGATCTGTGTCAGTCAAGAGAATGGACGCGCTCCCAATTGTTATGTTGTCTTGGCCGACATGTCTGATGGTTGTTTTTGCCGCAGAAAGCAGAGGAAGGATTGCCATGTAGGCTAAGATCGAGGCAGGGAAGGTGTACATGGTGAATAGCGCAAAGGGATCTTAGAGGTAAGCTGCAAGATGAACTTGTTTGCATGAGCCTGCTTGTTGGAGAGAATGGTCGCTTTATAGAACCGTCTCCATGCACTTTCAGTGAATGCCACTGACTCGTAGCAGCGCTCTTTCATTTCCACTTAGAGGCAAGTCGACAGAAGACTCCGCTGTAAAGAAGACGTCCATGTCTTAACATTACTCGTGTCCGACAAAATGAAGATAGTTTGGTCTTCTCAAGCTGACGATTGGTTGGGGGGAGATCCGCGTTGGGAAGGTAAGGCGAATATGGAGAGCGCTCTAATATTTCCCAATCAAGGAAAGCGCGCGTGCAGAGCCTCGTTGGCTGCGCCTCTCCAGGCAGAGTCAAAACAAATCGACGCCGCAAGTGCGCTCTTTCATTCCCACATTCGAAGAAGGCTGATGTTTGTACTTGGCAAGCACGAGAAGAAAATTCTTTCTTTCCGTTATCAAGGCAATCTGAGCATAGGGCACAAATGAGGTCTAGTGTAGGGCCTTTCGATGGCCGCCGCGCGCGAAAGTCGAGATGTGAAGCATGTGCCAAGCGGAAGATCAAGGTGAGTCCACTGGTGTCGTCAACTTCCCGTGCTGACGTGAAATGAGTGCTGCGGCGGTACTCCCTGTGACTATTGCAAGCGAACAAAGCAGCCATGCGTGTTCTCCACCCGTCGTCCAGTGGCGCTCGTCTTTGTTGAACAGAGCCCCAGTAGTAAGACTCAGCCAATAATGGACCTCGATCGCGATTTGGCCTACTTCTTCAACTCTTTCTTGCCCATGAACATCCTCACCAAGAACAACTCATCATGGCAGAGTGAATTGCAGCTTTGGTTGCACCAATCGCCTGCGTTGAGCAGTGCAGTCTCTGCTATTGCTGCACTTCATCGTTGTCAGCATGAAAAATTGTTGCTGAACACAGCAGGGGCGAGGGAGAACCAAGTTCACGCTCTGAATTCATACAGTCAGGCTGTGAAAAATGTTAGGATTGCTATCACGTCAAACTCATTCGCGGGCCCTGCTCTATTATGGTCAACATTCTTCCTGGCTTTATTTGAGGTGTGTCGAGGCAAATGTCGAGATAGAGTTGCCATCATGCTAACTCCAGACAGTTGATGCGGGACAGCAGTGGCACGGACTGGCTATCACACTTCCTGAATGGCACATGTGCCATCCTCCGTTTGCAGCACCCAGCACATCTGCTGTTGACGAATGCAGGTGCTAGCCACAGGCGCAGTTTCTTTTTCACAACTCGCATCTTCGAGATTGCCCGGGCTTTGATATATTCGCAACCTACCTTTCTGAGTGAGCCTGAGTGGACTAATGCGCTGTCACAGTGGTGGAGTTGCGAAGAGGGCCAAAGGCTGTGGCATCCCAAAGAGGTCTTGTTTGATATGCTACCGCATTTCTGTGACTTGAGCCTACGCACACTTCGCTTTGCTCAAACTGAAGAAACATACCTACAGTCCAGCTTGCATTGCATAGAGGCTCAAGGGCTTGCTGAGGAGGGTATTGAGTTGCAGCAAGGGTTGCAGCAATGGTGGATATGTGCGGAAGCATGGGGAAAAGATACTTCCGAGGTGGACGCTGATCTTATCGTTGCAAAAGCATACTATCACGCCATGAACATTTATCTCTCGGGCTCGTATGACTACCACAAACATTGGAACCAGCCTGGCTCACCACCGGCTCCAATACTGAACAGATCGAGCATCGAAACGCACATGAACGAGATCCTTCGGTTGGGTCAGGAATTGCTTGACCATGGTCTTGCTGGCCTTTTACTTTTCATCCCACTTCGGATAGCGGGAGCCCGTGTCTCTCACAAAAAAGATCAAGATCTTATTCTCCAACTACTCAAAACTATATCGCAAAGAGGATACGCTGTCGCAAATGCGATCCGTGTTGACCTTATTGAATTGTGGGCGCGAAAGATGACCACAAACTGAACATCTCTAGATAACCTTTTCGTGTGAATGGTGGTTTGTTTAGAGCAAAATCGGACGTTCGTTTTAGACACCTCTGTGAGAGAACACGTTCTTCCGAATGGCTGAGGTCAACCATGAAAATACTACCCAGATATCGGAGATTCCATACGTCTCCTATAGTGCCCGTCAAACTACAGAACACGCGGTTTGATTGAGGAGATGACCAACGCCGTCAGCTACCCGGATGGGTCACACTAAGTAAAACAAAAAGATAATGACACTTATCGCTCTAGCGGTTTCTTCATATAAACTATGTTTTCTTTCATGCGCTTTTCTCCCCTACATCTGTTAGAATACGATTGAATACTACTTTTTTTCAAGTCCCGAGGTGGGTGGCTACTAGTGAAAATGAATATGGCCAAGGCAACTCATACCACTTAAGTGGAAAACGGAAACTTTAGCCAACGTCTCCCTCTTTCTACTTTTTGCATAAAATATGGCCTATAGCCCTTATTTGACAAGCAGCTTATGCATAGGGTGTTTGATTGCTGCTTCCCGGGTACACTTTGGTGCAAAAGCGCTACAAAAACAATACATGGGTGAACATATTACTCATTAATGGGAGGGCAAAAATGCTAACGTGAACAATTTACTTAAGGACAGTTATATGCTAGCTAGCAGACTAATTTTTATATGGTTTTGTATATGTAGTACTGCGTAGACTTGAGTCGGCCGGGAATGCATATCTGAAGCAGCATATTTGTAAACGACTAACGGCATGTTCCGTCCTCTTCACAATGACTTGTGCGGCAAACGTCGTGACAACTCGGAAGTTTTATACTTCCGAAGGTTGTATCTGACATGTCCGACGTGTCGGGTGTATCGGCTGGCTTGAGCGGTTCAGGTGTGGCGCTGGTGTTGGACGGTGTGCATGCAATAAGGCACGCGCATAGCAAACGCCCTATTGGACTATCGCAGCTAGTGTCCTTTGGAAAGAGGTGTTAGACTGAAGTTCAAACATGAAGATGGGGTCGAAATTAGGACTTCATACTACGACAACACTGGATGAGTCAATTGGTTGACTAGGGGCGGCAAGGACTATGCTTGCGAACGCAAGCGTAAGGGAGAGGGAAATAAATCTCATTTTGATTGACGAAGTTCAAATTTGAATGGTTTTGGAAAACTCTTAGATAGAAAACAAAAGAGAGTTGATTTGGGGATTAAGGCACAGGGAGAAGGATTTCCCGTTATATATATATGCACGGAATTGGACAACTACGCACATACACAGACGGGAAGCTTGGATACTCTGACGTGAGACCGTAACCCTAACCTGGGTGGTGAGTCTACTCGCCTACTAGCCTTATTACATTTAAGTCTATGCAAGTCCCTCTTTTCCTTCTTGTTATAATATATAAAAGTTGAATAAATTGCAAAAGTTCCAGTCGACGGAGTTATCGAGATGCAAGAAGTGGGCCTTTGATGCATTCTTGCCGGTACTGTCTAAACAACTCGCAATAGAGCTAGTTGGCAGAGTCATTCGCGAACATGGCAGATTTAAGGACGTGCACTGTGTCTTGGAGCTCTATTGGCTAAATCTCTGGTATGGAATTATTATCGGTATAATATGGAAACTTTATGCGCTGCTTGAAACAAGCAATGCGGCTCGCAGTATCGTACCGGTCTGGCCTGAACAGATTGCTGAACAAATCATTCATATGCCTCGTTGTAGTAATAAGGTTCAGTCAAGTCCCATCACCCTAAAAACACCGATCGGCAGCACTCTATATAACCGGTGGGAGCATCCAGGATGAGACCCTTGCTTTGCGAATTTACAGCATTCGTTATTTCTATTAATAAATACGCTTTATAGGTGGAAGGCTGGCGGCTTCGCGCTTAGTTAAGGTGTTTATGATTACGGCTCTTGTCCTGAACTCTACAGGCACATCCAAACCCTCTTAATGAGTAAGACGATGCCATATCTGTGTCTCATAATCGCTCTTCTTGAAGTTAAAATCGAAGTCCCTTGGACCTATTTAGAGATTGAGCTCCTCTCTTAGTCGGAATAAGAAGACTCGGTGGGAGTGGTATCACAGCCATGTTAAGAACAGAACTAACTAGATGACAAGAGGGAGGAGCAAGGCGGGAATGAGGAACGGGTAACATACGATTATAATATATCATTTAAGCCACTAAATCGGGCGAGAGAAATGAGAAACGACGCTACGAATATGACCACTGTCCTGCGTAGTCTGAACGGCAATATTGAAAGATTGAACCACAAATATCAACAGGCCTTACTAAGTTTTGTGATACCTACTCCTTCGTGGATTCTCATCTTCGCAAGGCAAATATGGTCTCTAATGATTCATGTTTCTGCTTAAAGCTATGAAGTCATCCTAGATCTTCCATGCAGCGTCGTTAGCACTTACTGCTAGCGCTGCACCAAAGCGCGACCTACTAAGGGACACTGCTCCAATTGATTTGCAAAAACGACAGGTATGTAAAGACGATCTCGGTTCGTCCTCGCACGCACCTAAACAGAATTTGGGAGTCATCACATATTACTCTTTGTGTTGTAAGCTGACTGAGGAATACTCGTGCGCTTGCCCATGTTCGGGGAACGAACCGACGTGATCGATTGGAATGCGTGGATAGATGTTATGAGAATATTGTTACTTCAGCAGAGTCTTTCTCCAATTAGGGACCTATATTTCAGAGAATCACTAGCATATTCTTTGTTAGTAAAATATCCCCTCTTGGTAACAGGCTAATTACGTGACCCTACGTGACCCTGTGCGCCCGCGCGGATCGTTTCCTCCAGCCAGGGGTACTTGATCGCCCTACAACTTCATCCCTCTTGTTACATGTGATATATGGGACACGTTTCTCGCCAATTAATTGCAAGATCATCAATAGGCTAGTGCTAAAAGAGTCGTTTCGAAAGTTTACTGGTGACTAAATTAGATATCTATAGCTGCCTACCCTAGGATAACGATTCTACGTATTTGCGGTTCAAAGTTCTTTTCCTTTTAGTTCAGACTCTGTCCACGACCATAATTCCTTAGCTACATCTTCATCTAACACATCTCTCCTCCCCTTAAATTCTTTGCCAACTGGGTAGTACATCCCACCATTTGCAATTGTTTCACGTGACACCGTGCATGCCCACAATTGATTCAATGTCCCTGTTGGTATATCGACAGACGCTGCGTTTCCTAAAAGCCGCAAAAGCCACTTCATGATGGGGTTTGACATTGGGCCGTCCATAATACCTGTGCGAACAACTCCTGGGTGGACTGCGATTGTTGTGATGGCAGGGTTGGTTTTTGCCAGGATTCGAGCGAAATACATTTCGGCGAGCTTTGATTGTCCATAACGAGTCATTGTGTTGATCCGTTCAAGTGTAGTTTTGACCTCGGAGAGAATCAGACCCTCTTTAGGCGAAAGGGTATGCAACGCCGAACTCACAAAGACAACGCGCACGTCGTTGCCTGGACCTAAAGCTGTTTTCTCCAAACAAGGCAAAAGCAGTCTTGTGAGAAGGACTGGCCCCATATAGTTGGTGCCGAATTGGATCTCGTAGCCATCTTCCGTAAGACCCGGTGGGCACGCAAAGATGCCGGCATTGTTGACAAGGATGTCGAGACGGTCGCCCTCTGACAAGAACACACGTACAGCTTTAGCTATAGAGGAGAAAGATGCAAGATCTATCTCAAGAAAAACAATGTTTGCCTCTGGTATCTCCTTCTTAATGTCGGCGATGGCGGCCTGTGCTTTTTCTTGATTTCGAGCTCCGAGGTAGATCCTGGCTGGGCTGTGTTTTGCAAGCTGAGTAACGGTTTCCTTCCCCAGGCCGTTGTTCCCTCCGGTAACGAGAATAACTTTCCCTGATAGGTCAGGTATCTGCTCATCGGGATTGAAGACTTTTTGTTGATTGAAGATCATTTTTCTGTTGGTGCGGAATGTATCAAGGCTGTCTGAGGATGATTCAATGAATGAAACTGATGAACAATAGCTAAGGTATCTTTCAATCTTCGCGGGAAATGCTCACGCAGTTATAGCTTCAGTCAATCTGAGCAAAAGCACACTAGACAAGGCTCGCATTGGAGATGAGTATTAATCACCTTCGTGACTAGTGTGTAAGCCGCGTTTACCGTGTATCAGCACGTCCATTCGCATGCAAAGACAGGTGGAGGCGCATATGAACAATTCACAATTACTAGCATCGTAATAGGCGAGTCTCGCGAATCTCGCGACTATCGGACAACCGAAATACTCTAGGATCTGCAAGATTTGTCAGCTACCGGTATCTCGGTGTTCAATTTTAAACTAGGGTACCTGGTTAGCTTTTGACCGAAATACAATAACTCTTATGCATACGTCTCCCTCTTTGCTGCCAGGTATCGCAAATTTCGTAATTAGATAAGAACAATAAACACTATACCTTTGCAGCTTGATTGCTCATCACCAGGTGGGAGCTTGTAAATGCCCATGCCATCCCTGTACTCGATATCCGTGTTACTATCCAAGCCTGAGACAAAGCGGCATTTGAAATCTTCATTGTCTATTGTAACAACGAAACAGAATGAAGCAACTGGAGATGTAAAATCAAGTGCTTCAGCCATATCTGTTCTTTCGGTGATTGGTGATGTATCGTTTGATATATGAAGGATGTGCTAGCCCGTTCAATATAAGGAATAGAAGGCACGCATTGCACGGAACTGAGATAGCTAACTTGTTGCTATGAGGAATGGGGTGAAGCTTACTCAAATATGTCTTCGATAATAACAATATCGACTGCTTCTGGAAGACAGGTGTGGAAAGAGCAAGAATTATTGGTAAAGCACGAATTCTGCCTTGCCATTGCAGTGCTGCCAATCCTCATTGTTGGGATTCAAAGGAGACTATATAGGCTATGACGAATACTAAGAGGCATATGATACCTACGTTCCTCGGTGCATTTTCTAGTCCTTGATCTAATTAATGTTGAGAAGCAGGTAGTGCATACTTCTGTTAGTGCATTCACGTGCTTGATCTTCCGTCAAATTACTTATCTCTCTAGCAACAACATGGCGATGGTCTATGGGATGGTAGGGCGATGTTAGAAGGAACATCAAGTATGACAAGTGTGTAATTCATAGAAACTGTATGATCAATAGCTCGCTATCTCATATATACTGGAGCATGGAAATAAGAGGATGATAAGTGCGTGAGCCCGTCGCATTGGATGCCGATGGCAATCGCTATTCAGCTAGCATGTTTAGCGGTAAACACGCGGCCAGAGGCGCTGCTGAATCAACTCGAATACAGGCGGCTTTTGCTACACATTGAAGGTTTCGCTCGTTTATGTGGCCCGCCGAACACTAAAGTCGCTTCTTAACACCAATACTATGAGGCACAACAACACCACCCATGTAGCTTGAATCAATAGAATCATGGCACACTCAGAATTTCGAATCTAGAAGTTCAATGTATTCCACGAGAAATGACCAAACATAGAGCATTGCGAAGTTAACTCCAAGACGTAACTAGGTCCTGAGTGCAAGGGGCTGGGCTCTAAAAGATTGCGCGTGAATATCAGAAGAATGACACTAGGTACGTTCTCGGAGACGATTACTGGTGCACTTAATTATAGCAAGTACATACGCTGCCTTGTACATTGGATAGGGAAACGCACAAGATCGGCAGTCGAAATAGGTTAAAAGTGATGTCGTGAGAGTTGTAGGATGCGAAGTAGATGCGCCAATGGGCTGCATCGGCGCTTTCGGCGAGAGTGCGCACCGATGCATGACCCCGCCGGAGCAGAGTTAGGAACAGGAAAAGTCGAAAACCCCACAAGACATTCTGAAAGGCTTAAGACCACGGGCCAGGTCTTGTTCCGGTGATCACTGACGAATAGGTAGGCAACCAAACTGTGGGGCGATAAGTTTGAACCCTGAGGTTCCACAAAAGTATCCACAGACCAGAGCTCCAACGGCTGAAATGGGGTTATTTCTGAGGGGAAAGATAAGACCTCGGATGATACCCTGATCGCTGATAACAGCGTTTACGAGCGGTCAGTTATGGGAACAAAGTCACCTCACATTCTTTGCTTCATGTTGCGCAAACTCTCTCCGCTCAGTCAAAGCCTATTGGAAAGCACAGTGATATCGTGGAGACACGATGGGAGAACCGGAGAAACAGGACGTGGTCGCGACCACCACGTTACAGAAAGGCGATGAATATTCAATGACTGCCGACGAGAAGCGGCTGGCCGAGATGGGTATAAATCGCTCGATACATGAACATTGAAACAAACCACTAAGAAACTATAGGCCACGTCCAGGAATTAGAACGGCATTTCTCAAAACTATCGTTGATAGGACTCGCCTCCACCACGACCATATCATGGACAGGACTTGGTTTGGGCATTGTTACCGAGATCAATGCTGGAGGGCCCGGTGCAATCATCTATGGATTCATTTTAGTCACCATCTTGCAATGCTTCCTTGGTGCTTCGCTCGCGGAGTTTGTGTCAAGCTATCCCACTGAAGGAGGAAGTAAGTTGCGCGGTGAATATGATTGAGATTTTTGCTCAACGCTAGCATTACTCTAGCTCACAATATTTTCGCATATATTCTGACAAGATTTCTAGTGTACCACTGGATCGCCGCAGTCGCGCCTCGAAACCAGGCTCTTTTCCTCAGTTTTCTAACGGGCTGGTTCACAGTCTGCGGCTGTAGGTTGTCCTCGCATATCATCTACTCGACATGTGCCTGATTTATTTCATTCTAGGGATCTTCACCACAGCATCAACCAACTTGATCTATGCTCAAACATTAGGCGCTCTGATAGCCCTTTACCACCCTGACATGACTGTAAAGACATGGGAAATATTCGTCATCTACCAAGGGTTGAACTTGATGACCGCTTCAGTTGTACTTTTTGGCAACAAGGTCATTCCAAGCCTAAACAAATTCTCCCTGTTCTATCTACAAATCGGATGGCTTGTTGTCCTTACCACCGTTGTAGCATGTGCGCCAACATACCAGAGCCCCGAGTTTGTCTTCCGCACCTGGATAAACAACACAGGCTGGGAAAACAACGTGATTGCTTTTGCTGTCGGCTTGGTCAATCCTTTATACAGTCTTGGTGGACTTGATGGCGGTGAGTACCTGTGTACATGTTTATTTAGATTCCGAATTGACAAGATTCAGTAACGCACATCACTGAAGAAATGCCAAATGTAAGTCTGCACATGACAACCTTCCATTAAATTGAGTAAGCAAGGCTGAACATATCGCTAGCCCTCGCGTAACGCGCCATTAGCCATCATGATAACGCTCATCATTGCATTTTGTACCGGCATTAGCTACTTGATTGCGTTGATGTTCAGCGTCCAAGACTACAGCGCACTCGCAACCACGAACACTGGTCTTCCTTTGGCAGAGCTCTTCCGTCAAGCGACACAATCTGCGGGGGGTGCATTCGGCCTTACATTCATACTCTTCATCGCACTGGGCCCGTGTGTCATATCCTCTCAACTTTCCACTTCCAGAGTCCTTTGGGCCTTTGCTCGAGATGGGGCTATTCCTTGGTCAGCGACATGGGCACGCGTTAGCTCACGCTTTGGCATACCATTCAATTCGCAGCTCTTGGTGGCAGCCGCGAATGCAGCGCTGGGGTGTCTTTACCTTGGCAGTTCGACCGCTTTCAACGCCATGCTAGGATCTGCAGTCACTGTTAATAACATCGCCTATTACATACCCATATTGACAAACCTACTGACCGGTAGGCGAAACATGTACAAGGGTGTCTTTCACATGGGGAGCTTCGGTTTTGTGGTTAACATTGTGACCATATGCTGGCTTACGTTCGCCATCATTTTCTTTAGCTTTCCTTATTCCATGCCTGTTCAGGTCGCGAGTATGAACTACACTTGTGTTGTAGTTGGCTCCCTGCCCATTTTAATAGTTACCTGGTGGTTCTGGATTCGAAAGACCTATAAAGAGAAGATGTCGCGAACAAATAGATGGGAATGATTTCAAAACAAGAAAATCTGAAGAGGGTTGAACATGGGAACTCTGCTACCGAGGCTCAGAGTTGGTATTCGGGGCTTGAGATACTCTCGCATGCAACAGACGAGGTTTTCAAAGCTTCAAAGCTCTGATGACAAGTATAGGGATATCTTTTTGCCCCAGGGAGGCTGATAGCATGGCGATCAATATATGCTTTACTACATACTATTTTGAGTAGATGGGATGGCTATAAACGGTAATCAGGAATTCTACAGTGATTGCGAAAATGACATGTGGCAAAGACGAAGCTCCGATCATGAACACTCATGGCTGGCTACTGCTTGGAGCGTGCGAGGATAGGAAGAAGAAGACAGATGCCAGTCCTTAGAATTGTCGCGTTCATGACTTTAACTGTTTGTAACTATCTGTTCGGCGTATAGTGTATCAGATGATTGTTCTTAGAAAAGAATGTGAGGTCACAAGCCAACCTGCCGGGATTGGGTATCAGCAAAAGAGCCATATTCATATTATATCAAAATGTCTATAGTAGGACATACCGTTGCTATGAGGAGTTTTGAGATGTGCGCCCATGTGGCCTTATCTTGGCATGACGCAGCGCCTCGGTCGGACGCCCGAAAATAATTTGGCGGGGCAGAGGGTACAAGGAATACATGCTGCGCAACATACTCTGCTGCTTTGTAGCACCGCCACGTCAGTCGTACGCCACTACTACATCAGCAGTGACCAGAGCTTCTCACTTCGCTGTCTTCAAAATAGGACGAAAACGCAAAGCCCACCGCCAGCAGGCGCAGCAGGATAAGCTGTGGCGCAACGGGGAGAAAGGTCGCAAAGGCAAAGGCAAAGACAAAGGCAAACACGGCAAGATGGGACAAGACGAGTCGAGAGTAGTCGATCCGGATGCGCCGCCGCAGACACTCAAGGCGCGTACTGTGGACGCTCTCGCGCAGTACATCAAGGCTGGCAATGCCCAAAAAATCGTCGTCATGGTAAGTGTAGACTGGACGCGACGCGACGCGACGCAGGCTTGTCCAGAAGACGCTCGCTCACCATGAAGAAAAGACAGGAGCAGGCATTAGTACCTCAGCAGGCATACCAGACTTCCGATCGCCCGATACAGGTCTCTACGCAAACCTCGCGCGCCTGAACCTGCCCTACCCTGAAGCCGTCTTCGACATTGGCTTCTTTCGCAACAACCCAGAGCCATTCTATGCCCTCGCACAGGAACTCTATCCTGGTAAATTCAGACCGACCATAACGCACTCATTCATAAATCTGCTGCATCAGAAGGGGCTCCTACTCAAGCTCTTCACCCAGAATATTGACTGTCTTGAGCGTGAGGCAGGAGTCCCGGGTGATAAAATCATAGAGGCGCATGGCAGTTTTGCGACGTACGATATCGTCTAGCATACAGACCGAGAGCTATATACTAACGCGTCTTAGGCAACGCTGCATCGAGTGCAAAAAGCCATATCCCGACGAGCGCATGAAAGAAGCCATCCACAACAAGTCGGTACCGCACTGCATCGACATCTCCTGCAACGGCCTCGTCAAACCCGACATTGTCTTCTTCGGCGAGCAACTTCCTTCTGCCTTCTTTGAGAACCGCGATCTCCCTGCCGAGGCTGACCTTTGCATAGTCATGGGCACATCACTCTCCGTCCATCCTTTCGCGTCGTTACCACAGCTCTGCGAAAACAAGACACCACGGCTGCTCATAAACTCGGAAAGAGTTGGCGACCTGGGTACGAGGGCAGATGACGTGTTGTTACTAGAAGACTGCGATAGCGGTGTGAGGAAGCTGGCTGAAGCGTGCGGATGGCTAGATGATCTAGAAGCGCTTTGGGCTACAACGGCACTCACTGACGATCCGGCAGTGCCGAAGGAACAAGTGAAAAAGAGCCGAGACGAACTCTTAGAAGACGAGATCGAGAAGCTTACCAGAGATGTTGATGACAATTTAAGCCTGAGCAAAGCTCAGCATGAGTGGCTTAAAAACCACGTGGATAATAAATTGGCAAGAAAAGAAGAAGATGAATCAGCGGACCAAGGGGGTGAGAAGTCTGGTCTACAGCCGCCAACCGATCCAAACTCAAAGATACTGGCGCCAGTGGCGAGTCCCAGGGATACGAACTCAGATCCTGGGGGTGGGCTGGGACATGTTTTTCCACATATCAAGAAGCCCTCGCTCTAATTGATCGTACGAATGGATAAATGATGCTACATGTGGATTTTTTGTGTTAGAAATAAAAGGATATAACTATAGAATCATTGGTAATGGACGATATTCAGCCTGGAACTCGAGCAGCCACCGCACAGCTGATATGTTAGGTGCGAAGACAATTCAATTGTGACATCGGTGCATATATTGGCCGCGTTTAGTAGTTTGTTGTTTGCCGATCATCTGCATGTTATGGTCAGTTTCTTTTAGCCCCAATCCTACAGTAGCATAAGGAAGACACGTAATCTTGAAACTTACAGTTTGCACCCATTGCCTTTCTCAACTTGAGCGTCACAGCCTCAGCATCCAAATCCTTCTTGTCACCCGTCTGGATCTCGACGGCATACGTCCTGATAACCTGCTTGACCTGTCCACTCTGGAAGCTCATTTTGGCTTTGCGCATGACTTTTGTATGGGGGCCTATCACACCGAATGATATCAACGTTTCCATCTTGCTAGTAAAAAGTCTTGAAGTTGAGGATTCGGAAGCAGGGTTGACCGTCAAGATCGAGTTCGAAGAAAACGAAATGTTATAATAGACACATACCTTGCCATACCACAAAAGCAAACTTGACGCGTTCACTGTACTCGTCGTTTCCCAGCTTCATTCGCACATATGCATACGCTGCCTCGTCGTCTTCGAGACTCTCTGTCATCTCAGCAATCTCGCCTGTACCTGTGGCTGCCAGCTTCAGGTTGTCTGAAGTAGCGGAAGCATACTGCCCTAGCATATTAGCGCTTTGAATAAAAAATATGTCTCGGAAGAAATGGAGCAGGGCTTGCTAAGGGTGTCTCGTGACAAGCTTCCCAGAGCATTGGAGGAACAGAGACGAGGTTTGAAGGTACTCTGCATCAGCTGGTCCTGCCAAACGCGTAGCATAATAAATACAGCAGTTGGTTCGGGGTTGGAAAGCTTGTCACGTACCTTCAGGATGAGCCACGTCGTGTCCGATTTGTCCGACCGCACATCTTCGTATGCCTGTGCGATATCAGGGTCGTTGAGAATATCAGCTGCAGGCGGCATCGTCACTAGGCTATATACCAATCTGAGGAGGTTTTGACTATGCGATCGAGGGAGACCTGAGCAAAAGAAGCCGTGTTCGACAGGGATAGGAAAGGTCACGAAGGGGGAAAAGGATGAGGAAGTTGGGGATCCAGGGTCGCGAAGCTAACTACGGCTAGTGCGGGGCTTTAGGCTTGACTTAGTGGGGGGACAATTCAGCCAATGAGACGGCGGGAGGTGGAGGTTCCTGGGTCCTTTTGAGCCGCTGGCGGTGTGGGGTGTACAATGTGTCTTTTGTCCAGCTCACCAACCATCGTACACCTTAGGAAGCAGCGGAATCTGCATGCTGAATAGCCGTTATCGAAGAGTTTGAGCTATCATTGATCTACTAGTCATATGAAAGCATGTCAGTGTCTAGGTGACCGATTCAGGTCATGGCACTACCCGTGCCCCAGCAGTGCAAAACATGTAATCAATGGTGTAGCATTCCAAGCTCGCTTTGCGGTGAAAAGGGCCGGTTCCCGCAGAAGGGAACACGATGGTTCTTGTTGAAATTCTAGACTACATCTCGCAGGAACATTTGCTGGCATCAGTCGTTCGGTCAGTCCATGCTTGGGTTTGACGTGGCTGACAACGTGACGCCGTTGCACGTTAGTGCCTTTCCCCATGCATCTGGGGTAGAGCTCTATTATCAGGAACAAAAGATTGGAAGAACTGTATTATTCCCATAGGTGCAAATAAAATGAAGAGACCAAGGGCGAGTACACGGCGTGCGTGGACGGTTGAAACGAGGTTGAACAAGCCTCTCCGACGTGTGCTGTGATACTGGGTCGGAATTCATATTATAACCAGTTGAGAGTGAGGACGCATGCATGCCGAAGTTGACGTGCGTTGGTATATAGCTTGCCGATCGCGAGTACACACTTACTACTATCGTCCATGTGGTTGGCTTGTTAGCGAGCATTGTTCTTGCGCCGGGCTGGCAGATGGAAGCAGTCATCACGTGAGGCCGCGACAAGCCGTCTATGGCTTCGGCGGGTTGCAGTAAGTAGAGTAGAGTAGATGCAGGAAAATAAGTCGAGACTGAAAAAAACCAGCGAAGCAGAAGCGAGGAGGCAGGGAAATAATGATGAAATCAATTGCCATTGGCGTATTTGGAGGCGGGAGGGGGCGGCAAGGTCCCAGCCAGGTACGAGGCTCGAAAGGAGCAGGTGCTATGGGCGCACGCGCAACCCCGCGGAGCTTTTGTTGATGGTCCGCATTGCCCATCGCATTGCGCCAACATGACAACTGATGATTACAGAGCTACCAAATACCAGGGGGATGCCAGCTTGTTGTGATGAGATATTTCCGAGAATTGGCAGAGACATGGTGTTGTGTCGACCGCGCGTTGGTTGCTGTTGCTGTTGCTGTTGCTGTTGCTGTTGCTGTTGTTGTTGTTGTTCATGGTGGTGTTGAGTCGGCGTGGGCAGCCTCCCTATTATTGGGCCCAGCCACCACTATACATCCATGGGAAACCGCGGAATTGCATCATTTCGTCGTAGTCGGTCAGCCCAACGCCGTCTCAAATCTCCAGGCGTAGCCCTGCTTTCTTTTTGCATCCTCTCCCCGAAACCAAATTCCCCACCTCTGGCCAATTTGCATCTCCCTCCTTGTCGCTCTCTGCTACCGCCGTGCAATCGCTGGCTGATCTACATCCCCCCACAACCAACGCCGGCTTCTCCGGTCAACTACACCCACACAAACTCGTGTTCCCCCAGACAACCAAACACATCCCGAGTGCAGCACGACAAACCTCGCACCACCAATTCTCACAATGCCGGCCTTTCGCCAGCACTTGGACGCCGTCGCGGCGCAAATAGACAGAATAGCTCCCCGTGACGCCATCCTCACGCCCCGGCAGCCTCTCGTGGACGCGCCTGCAATCGCCTTCGATGCGCCCAACGCAGCACTACTGGCCAAGCGGCAGAACGTGATATATACACAACAAGGCATAATACCTACCTACTACGATCTCTCTGGGCCAGAGCCTGGCACCGTTGTCGGTATTGTCCTTGGTAGTGTTGCTGGCTTTCTCCTCATATGTTGGTTGCTGCAAACACTCGTCAATGGCTCGCGATCGGCCGGCACCACGACCGCAATGGCTGGAGAGGAGGAAATTGTAGTGCGCAGACCGCGGCGCAACTCACATGGTGGTCGGTCATCACGCCGCCGCTCCGAAGTACGCGAAGTTAGTAGGAGCCCGCGGACGTCCGGCGCCCGGTCGCAGATCATTGTCGAAGAGAGACGGCAGCCAGTAAGGGCAAGGAGCATCGTTGTTGAAGACAGACATCGCGTGCCTGGCGATAATGTAGTCGAGGTCATCGAAGAACACGAGGATTATCGTGAGCGAAGAGGAAGCCGAAGAAGTGGCCCTGGCTATCGGTGAGTAGCAAAAGGTCTACTTCAAGCTGCATGGTGTATACTAACATGCCCAGATAAGCCGATACTAGCTAGCATGCCTTGCTTTCTCCCTTGCCTAGATATAACCTCCTACCACGGATTGTATCATATGCAATCGCCTCCTTCCGACACACCACTAATACCCAGCAAATACGTCTTTTCATTTCGCTCTTCTTACTCTCATATCCCTCGGTCAGTTGTTGCTGGGTTCTTTCTGGTCTTATACCATAATACGGCCATTCTCCTGGCTTTAGGCGTTTTGGTAGCAAGGTCGGCATGTAGTGCATAACGAGTTTGGAATGACGAGGTATATATGAGCCACGCGTTACGTTTAGTCATGTACGTCTCTAGTTTGGATGCTTTGAGAAAAGACAGTCGAATTCACTCCATGTTTGTAATTGTATAGTCGGCGATGCGCAAACAAACATCCGAACATCACACGTGAACACGATTCCAGACATGCTAAAACAGCAAAATACTAGACCAGAGCATCCATGCGGGTCGAGATTAGGTATAACCGGGGTACTCGTGCCACTCGGAAAATAAAACGCAGTCTTGAGGATGACTTACTTTTTCAAGCTCTGCCGATGTGCATGTACAAGTTCAGGAGAGGTCACGCTTGCGAGATACTATTGCAGTGAGGCATCAGATGAACGTGTCGCATGTTACGAATGCTCTCTATCTTGTGTGAGATGTGAGAAGGATTATCCTTACATCTTCTTTAGGATCTGTGGGTAGGACGACTATTCAACTACTAGCTTCCCCATAAGGCGTACTTGACATGCGCCTACCCTCTTTCAGTTAGCTCTGGACTTTCCCTAGCCTGTGCCTTTGACACATCTCAATTGCCCGGCTCCCCATGTCCCCCTCAATCATTACCCCGCCGTTATACCAGAACTACTGTTACCATGGATAAAGAATCTAGGATCTGTACGGGTGATCTAGGCTTGTTTTTCTCCTACCAAGAAAGCCACGTCGAAATGGACCAAATGCTTGACGATGGTAGTTTCGCTGACCTATCCGAAGCGTTGAAAGCGGTGAACGCTGCACCGTCCTATTTCAACGACCAATATATTACGGAACAAACATTTCGAGTTTCTTCAAACAACTCAACTGCCTCCTCGTCGCCTTTTACGCCAGGAACTTCTGTCTTAAGACCCAAGCTCGGCAGTCGTTTTTCGAGAGAAGTCATCCGAACTTTGAAAGATTGGCTTGCAGTTCATCATCAACATCCATATCCAAACGAGAATGAGATGCTTGCCCTGCAAAATAGAACTGGGCTTAATAAAGCCCAACTGACTAACTGGTTTGCAAACGCGCGAAGAAGGGGGAAAGTGCAAAGCGTGCGTCCAGGATCACCCCAAGCCCGTGAAAAGCCCACATCGCCCATAGACATAATTCACAGGCCAGGCACTCCAGCGATAAGAAATTCTCATGGTTACAAAGATCCGATGCAGCGTTGGGTAGAGTCGCCGCCTGAACATGAACCTGCCGCTGCAAGTGATATTGCTCGCGCCATGGCTTCTACCTCTCGTGAGTTCTTCTCAAACGCGAGCACCCACTTTACGGCTGCTGCTTGATGTGACTAGTGCTTATTTAAACTAGGTGAAGATGTTACAGGAGATATTGACCACGTCCAATCGTGGCAATCGCCGTATGCAAGATCGTCGGCAAGTAGTACCAGAACGTCGCAGTCGAGTGAGTTCTCAGGCCACTGCTCTTCAGGCTCCCAGACGTCACTAAAGATGCGCCGTGCGCCACGCAAGAAACGAGGGAGCAGGCGGCGTCGGCTGGAGAAAGAAACTGTCACAACGCCATTGCTCATGCCCTACCAGTGTACATTCTGTACAGAGGTGTTTAGAACCAAGTACGATTGGCAACGGCACGAGAAATCACTTCATCTGCCACTTGAAAGATGGATATGTGGGCTTTATGGCCCTCGCTCTACCAAAGAGACCACTGATGAGCCATGCTGTGTCTTCTGTGGAGCTGTCACACCAGACGATGCGCATGTTGAAGCTCATCATTACTCGGCGTGTCAAGAACGCAACCTTCGCGAAAGGACATTCCACCGAAAAGATCACCTAGTTCAGCATTTGCGATTAGTTCATGGTGTTGAGTTTTCAGAGTGGTCAATGGCTTCCTGGATGCTGCCTATACCTGACGTTCGGTCAAGATGCGGATTCTGCGGCATAACGATGAAGACTTGGCTAGAAAGAACTGATCATCTCGCAGATCACTTCAAGTCTGGCACAACCATGGCCAGTTGGCAAGGAGACTGGGGCTTTGATAGTTTTATCGAGCCTTTGCTAGAGACAGCAATGCCCCCAGGTAGAAAGAATACCCATCTTACCACGGCTTATCTTTAGACGTCAACTAACGGCTGGGCAGATCTTATTGAATGGGAAAGAGGCACATTGATACCTATGAAAGGAAGCGATCCATCGTGGGGCACGCCGCCCAACGCTTATGAGCTGCTCAAGGTCGAGACGGAGTTCTTCATTCAGCGATATTTTGATGAAAATGGACACCTGCCTGATAATGATGCTATCCAACTCGAGGCTTGTCGCATCATCTTTGCTGCCGAGACGACCTCTGGCACAAACTCACAGGGAACGGAAAAACGGCATAGAGTTTCTTGGCTGCGAGATCTTGTCATGTCATCTCCAGCATTGACTGAGCGTGCTAGGTTCCAGCCTGTGCGATCAGCTCGTGAGAGCAGGCATTTCCCGTTGAGGATCAATGCTAAAGGTCATCTATTCGAGCATTGCCCTATGGAGGCGCGGCTTATCAGTTTCGTCATGGACCAAACGGCGGCGGGCCTTGTGCCTCATGATGCACAGCTGCATAACGAAGCATGCCAGATTGTGAGGCAGATGGAACAAGAGACGACTACACCCTCCGACGTATTTGCCAACTGGGTCGTAAAGGGCATCTACTCAGCAGCAAATTGGCTTGCGAATTTCAAGCAACGAGCAGCGATACTTGATGTATCTAGCACTACCGGTGCTCTCTCAAGTAACGTAACTGATACTTGGTGCGCCCCTTTGTGGGCACAGCCACTTCATACAAATGCTTTGGAATTGGGACTAGACACAACGGATCCACCCCAGGAGACGTATGACTTCTTCAAGTCATTGCCGGCGTTCTTAGATGGTCCCCCCGCTATACCTTCATCAACCACTCAGTCTGACAGTTACGGCCGAGTTCGAACGCTGCTCCCCGATGATGCCAACTTTTACCGTATCTTCGACAGCGATATGAGACGCTGGGCCGCTTCCACGCTTTCGCCCAAGAACCCGAATTGCCATATGCCATCTGACGAAGAGATACAACACCAGGCGCGTTGGATCATGTACGATAGCGACGACCAATGGAACCAGACTCCTGCAGATTTCCCGGTTTGGTTGTCGCGATTCAAGAAAGAAGTTGGTATCACGACAGATTTCGAAGTCGTTGACCCCAAGGAGTTGGTAACGCCAGGGAAATGAACATACCTCGATGTCTTCAAGGAGAATGAAGTCATTAATTCCAATCGCGATAGCCGGATAACAAAGATGATACTGATATTTTGTGGTCATTTTATGGACGAGACCTTTGAACCGAGACTCAAACCTCACCTAATTTGGGAGTTGATGCGCACTAGATATGCCAGAGAGGTGACTAGGGGTTGTAGCATGTTAGTCTGAGTGGGTACGCGGGCTTGAGTCTTCAGCCCTCGGAATCCTGAACCGCCCCTATTTTCGGCATTCTATGTCGCCTTCACTCTATTCCTATATCCGAAGATTAGAATATTACTGTCTTCCTGCCTTCGTCCCCTCCAAGAACAGTGTGGAAACCGGATGCCCTCAAATGCGGAGTAGTATCCAAGCCGATAACTGTTCAGATCCGATTCGTTATAAGTCTGCGCACAGACGCAATGTCGGTAGTACAAAGAGTGCATGGAAGAGTGGACGGCTTGCGATGCTTGCGACCATCTCCTAATTACGTAGCGTCGCTTGGCAATGACTAGTCCGCATTACCCCAGAGGCTCTTTCTCCACACTCCATACTGCTCCATTCAAATCGCCAGCCCAAGAGGGTAAACCTTGCCCATACTTGTCTGCAAAAGTAGTAGATCTTTGACTGATAGGAGAGGATTTCCACAGCACATGTACCTCATCTCGTATTTTGACGGCCATATGCATTCAACTGCTTTCTAACAAGAGTGCAAGATTCACAGCACAGCGGCTCTCACTGGGGTTGGCCTGAGCTTTACCCAAAACAGGATGCCACCCGACAAGCGGGAACTTTTTGCGATGAGCGACGCAAGCATATAGTAAAATGAATTCCAGGAGGTGGCTGTTTAGGCAAATAGAACGGCTGTCGGCTTTACCGTTACGAGACCATAGCATTCATTGGTTGATCGGCGCCTCCCTTTCGTTGCACATCTCCACATACGGGAGAATTACGTCCGAAGCAGTTTGTATAAGAGTCTTTGCTCCCCATGGGGGACTGCAACTGTTTGGCAGTCCTAGAATTCCGGCCAAATGTCGTTGACAAAACAGACGGAGTGTTTGGCGGTCCTGTCGCACGTGATACTGGGAATAAGAACATCTATTTGTGGTATAGATTTCTGTCACGCCATGGTATGTTCTGAATGTTGCTGACATTCAACCCACGCTCACAAGTCCCCCGCCATTCGACTCCGCGATTACGCACGTGAAAGCTGAGCTGACCATCACAGTAATATCTGGAGACATGCCGTATGGGGCACTCCACCTCTGTACGATAGCTGTCATTCCACACTGTCGTACCTGTTTCCTGGTACCCCCTCGGTCTCCCGAACATTATCCGGCCTCAAAATTTGCTCCAGGGGCCACGTCCTGGATATCGGCACTGCTCACGATACTCGCCCCGCCATGCGCTCACTAGACTCCACCACGGCCCTCTTTTTCTTGAAATCTTCAGGGACCTTGATCGAGATTTTCCTGAATTGTGAAGCGATGCAGGACGCTAGCGCTGCAACCTCGGAGTCGGAGATGAAGTTTTCATCATACGTCGGCCAAGACCGGCGCACGTCAGGACAACCACGAAACGCAGTGGCACACTCACAACGAAGCTGATGGGCTTTCCAGGAAATCCATGTTTCGCGGGTGCAGTAACAATCCCCGCCATTGTCGGACGTACCCTATTGTGTGCCGTGGAACACACAGTACACCTTTCTAGGACTGCTGACCATGGGCAAGGACACTAATCGAGACATGATGCGAAGAAATCGGCAGTTACACCTGATGCAGTAGTTTGACTACATGAGTCGCATAAAACGCATATCTTTCAGTCGAACCACTTTTTGGTGCACTCCTGGGCTTCCGAATCCGACCACCCAGCATTCAACAAAGCCTTGAGGCTCTGCGGCAACCATCCGTGCCGCCACGTCCGTGCACGCAGTTCGCCTGCACCACGTTATGTCATCGGAGCCACTTGTTCGCCTTGTCGACATCGCAGACGCGTCTATACCCTGGTACAAACTGCAAATTCAATCGCCTAATCTGTCCATTGGTCGAATGTCGGATGTACGACGGTCATTCATATGCGTACATGCATGGTCGCGAGGACTTCATGGTTCTTCTGACCCTCGCTGTTCCTCCTGTCTACAAAGTTACGGTAGATGTTTAATTACTATTCCGTCTTTCTTGTTACTTAAAGAGTGCCGCGGGATTCAATGACCGTATCATTCGGGCGCTAATTGCAAACGAAAAAAAAACATTGTTCAGGTGCAACAACGTCGGTGGGCCGATCAAAACGCTATCAACGTCCGTGCGTTATGGCGTGCAACTGCTGTCCGATGTTGAGCGGTTCAGAAATTTCGCAGTCGGCAGACCTCCGCCTAAGGTGCTCTTGTGAGAGGTTGCCCCATGGTCAGCTCCAACCTGACATTGCGATGTCATCATTCGCCCCGTCCTCCCCGGGCTCGTGCGAGCATGTCCCCTTTCCCCTCCATGCTTAGGGCTTCTGGAAAAAGTTGGTCTTGTGGACATGCGGATGAAACTGGCACTGGGTCTCCACTGCCAATAGACCCTATGTGGAAACCCCGTCTCCGCGTAGTTTCGCTATATATACGGTACAACGTCCCCCTCGAAATCCACACTGGTCTCCTCTTCTCCAGCTTCTCTCCAGCTCAGCCTCCGTGAGAAGTACACCCCACGCTGCGGACCAGCTAATTCCTAGTCTACCACATTTCCCTTATATATCTTTAATCAATCATCGCCCGCCAGGATGGTCTTGTCGCGTTTCTTCAATAAAAAGACTGCGGCTGATGGAGTGCCAGGAAAGGGCACTCCTGAAAGCGGCACTCCTGCTGGCACACCAGCCAGAGGCAACTCCGATGTTGCACAGCATGCAGCCATTGAGCCAAAAGGCCGAGTACCTGCTATTGCTGTTATTCTTGGTGCCGTTGCTAGTATCGGTGGCTTCATGTTCGGCTACGAGTCTGGACAAATTTCCGGTTTCCTTGCGATGGATGATTTCAAGGAACGTTTTGGCGAAGACGGCAAATTCTCTGCTGTGCGCCAAGGTGCCATTGTCGGTCTTCTGGCGTAAGTTTTAGCTCTGATGATGAAGTGAATACTTCTAACCATTAACCAGTGTCGGTACCCTCTTTGGATGCTTAGGCTCAGCTCCCCTTGCTGACACCTTCGGTCGTCGTCTTACCATCTCCGGTTCCGCCTTCTTCTACATCATCGGTGTGATCATTGAAATCACCAGCAAGAACGTCTGGGTACAGTTTGCAATGGGTCGATTTACCGCTGGTCTCGGTATCGGAGCTCTTTCGACCGTCGTGCCCATGTACCAATCCGAGTCTATTCCCAAGCGAATTCGCGGCGCTACCGTTTCCTCTTACCAACTCTTCATCACCCTTGGTATCTGGACCGCGTACATGGTCAACTACGGCACTGAGAAGAGCTACATCAACAGCGCCCAATGGCGTATTCCCAACGGTCTTTCCGCTCTCTGGGCTATTCTTCTTGGTACCACCATCTTGCTCCTGCCAGAGTCCCCTCGCTACGCATACCGCAAAGGCAACGTTGAGGATGCTCGCGCAAACATGGCCCGCTTGAACGGTGTCGACCCTCACAGCCCCTTTATCGATGCTGAGATTGCCGAAATTCAGGAGAAACTTGAGGCTGAAGCAGCTGGTGGCGACCACCCATGGCACGAAATCTTTACCGGCCCTCGCATGCTGTACCGTACTCTACTCGGAATGGTTCTCCAGGCCGGTCAGCAACTTACCGGCGCCAACTACTTCTTTTACTACGGCACAACTATTTTCGCCGCGACCGGTCTCAGCAATTCGTACGTCACCTCCATCATTCTCGGAACCGTCAACGTCGTTGCCACCATCGCTGGCCTCTGGATTGTCGAGAATGTCGGCCGCCGCAAGGCTATGATGGCCGGTGCTGCCTGGATGGCTGCTTGCCTCTTCATCTATTCCTTTATTGGCCACTACCAGCTTGACCACAACAACCCTCTCAGTACACCCCAAGCTGGAAACATCATGATTGTTTTCACCTGCCTTTTCATCGCAGCTTTCGCTACCACTTGGGGACCTCTTGTCTGGGCTATTGTCGGCGAGCTGTACCCTGCTCGCTACCGTGCTACTTGCATGGGTCTCGCTACTGCATCCAACTGGCTCTTCAACTTCATCATTTCCTTCTGCTCCACTCTGATTACCGACCGTATCGACTACTTCTACGGTCTCGTCTTCGCCGTCTCCCTCGTCATCCTCTTCTTCGTCGTGTATTTCTTCATGATCGAGACCAAGGGCCGCTCTCTCGAGGAAATTGATACCATGTACGTCTTGCACGTCAATCCTATCACTAGCAGCAAGTGGGACGCATCAACTCTACAGAAAGATGGTCTTGTTGACACGGACCGCCTGCACATGGGTCCTGGTGGCCGTACTTTCAGCAAGGCAGAACAGAGTGGTACCCACGGCGGTATCCTGGAGCCTGCGGAGAGGAATGAGATCCAGGTGTAAACAGTTTGAACCTTGGACATTAAGTGTTGCATTTTAATGGCGCTTGAGTGTTTTGTATATGCTTGATTAGCCCATAGAGGCTCTGGTGGGATTGGCATGGAAGAAATAATATGATACTTTTGTAATGATTTCGATGTGGGTTGAATGAACCAGGCTTTTTAGGCATTTTTAGCAGCATCAAATAAAATGACATGATTTAAGAGAAAAAAACAACCCATCTTCCAATGTTGTGTAATGTTTAAGCAAGTATTTCCTAGTGAACAGGGAGACAGGAACCTAGAAGCGAAAGTCACAGTCAGGGAAGATTGTTGTAATGATCTAGTATGAAATATCAAAAGTTTCTATATTCGATAAGAACTCACAACGCAATCAATTGCTCTCTGGTGAAACCCGAGCTGCTGAGACTAGACGTTTTGCAAACATTACCTAAGACTGCAGCTTCTGAAAAAACTTGAACGCATAATTGAATTATTCCAGGTATGTCTTGCTTTCACTGTTCCTGTATCGCCCAACTTACCTTCAGGACCTCGGATCCTTGGCCCCAATATCCTTACTCTCCTGCGCCCATCTCTCCCTTCCCTCTCCTGGCTTCACCACTTTGTCTTGAGCAGACTCAGCCTCAGGTTCCGCAGCCCACTTCTTGAGTACATCCAATCCCACGCTATTCAATGCCTTGATGTGTGTAGATTCCAGCTTGACCTTGGGAACCTCTCTGATTCCCTTTTCCGCTGCATTTTTCCACATGGAAGCTTCGAGGCAGAAGCGTTGGCCGGGGCCTACGCCGGCTTTTCGCAGGTCTGTTCCGTTGGAGGAGGAGAAGTCAAGGAAAGCGTTTGTTAGGATCGCGGCGACGGGATTGCTGCTGTCGCACATTCCTGCGTGGATGGAGGAGGGTAGGGAAGATGAGCCATTTCTTTCTGAGGAGTGCTTGTGCAGTGGCGCGTTGAGAACTATGAGGTGTCAGGTTGGAATTGAAGTGGTTTACGTGATGACGCACCATTCTTTTGCTTGACGTCAATAAATCCTTGCTCATTCTTTCCTGACATCTTAGCTGTCTAGTTATCCGATATTAATTGTTTTAGGAAGCTGAAGTCGAGTTCCGTGGAGCTTAGGGTGAATTGTAATGCAATCAAGTTCGAATATAGATTCAACACGAATTGGTGTGAGATGCTACAGCTGAAATTTAAACAAAACTTGAGCTCATTCAAATCATCCATGTATTCTACGTCTAACTACCTTTGCAAAATGCACTTCGTAAGAATGATGCTTTCATGACTTCCCTTGGCTCGTATCTTGACGTCAGTGACTGGAAAAAACGTTGAGAAGCCATTCCCACGCTTTGAATTATATGTGGGACATTGCACACGCAGAAAATCAAGTATCTTGAGTTACTGGCCCTCTAAAGCTCACTTTGTATGTGTCGTCGCAAACCTGGAGAAGAAGCAGTGGTATCAACGTCTGGGAGTGTATTGCGCTAGTTCCAATACGTACTAGCATGTATTTCCCTAACTTCGCCCTCTTCGACGAGCACTCCATATATCTTTACCGCCACACACCACACATGTGACACCCGATACCATGACAGTAGAAAAGCCGTGCACGCTATACCTCTTGACACACCGCCACCTGTCCATTCACATCGCCTCACACCAACTGCGCAACACGCCTTGGCGCGTCCATCCCATACTAGTAGGTGTTAACAAGTCGGTGATTGGCAAACACCGACATGCCGACCAGACTTGCACAGCACAGCCCCATCACGCACACATGGCCGGTTCATATCACGATGCAATAATCGGGCCATGAGGCTGTAGAGCCACGTCGGACAGAACCAACGAAGCGTACACGCGTTCACGTGTTCTTTTGCCGTCATTGATACCACACCATGTGTCGGAAGCGCCGATTTGAGCCAATGAAGCCGAAGAAAAAGAGTCGCTGGTATCTGGAAAGTAGAGTATTGCTCGAGTCAGCGTCGCGTTCGCCCTGTTACTTTCACCGATGCATGCAAAGAGAGATACCCGATTTGACTCAAAGGTTACGCCCATGCTGCCTGGCTCAAACCCCCCTATGTTCTCTTTAGGCAAATGAGCTACGTATGAGCATGCAGATCTGCCAAAACTTTAAGTATTGCTCATAAATGCTGTGGCGAGTCAGCAGAACGATTCGCAACCAAGATGAGTGATGATAGTAACGAAGCTAATTCCCAGTTTCCCTCCTTGGTTTTTCTCTCCCACGAGTGCTAGGAAGCCAGCTAGTATAGCATGTAACCATGAGAATACGACACCGGTCTCTTTACCTAATGTCACAACCTAGTCTCATTTATCAGCGGCTTACAAACCAAAAATATGGGAGTATGCACAAGGTCAATGCCTGCTTTTGTCCTTGCTGCTCAAAAATGAGGCAAAAGAAACGGCGCGGTGCTAGACTCCGAGGGAAAAAGTATGCTTGTGTACTTTACGCACTACGCTCAGCGCTGGTGAGAAATGTAACGTGCAGAACCTCTGTCCCTGGAGGAGGAAGAAGCAAACATGTAAACGGCGGCCACGCAACGTTCTTACTTCTTTTTTCCCTTCCAATATCCACGGCTTGGTCCCCCTCCATTCTATGTAGAAATTAACAAGTAAGCGATCTACGGATGTATAGAGTAACAACTACTTAACGACGGTGCAAGTCAATACGTAGTAATATAATTGTGGTTTATGATGGAAATGTGGCAATGACGGTCATTGCATCAGTAGAAAGCAAGGCTAACACGGATTTTTCTCATGGCCAAACTGTCAGAATGGTCACGAGGGATTTTGCGTCTTTAGTATCAATTGTCCGCCACCCTTGCTGACTATGGGTTGACCTCGTTGACTTGACCGCTGCTGCAGGTTAATCTAGCAGGACCTTGAGATGTACCGAGATGCGGGGTGTGGAAGAGCAAAAGGGAGAATTCCAGATGAGGGGTAGGTTGCACGCATAAGCATTAGTATGAGATATTTTTCTTCTTTTCGCTCTCGGCATGCACAATCGCTTGTGAGAAAGCACCGGACGAAGCTGCATGCTGCTTGCATATGTATGTAGTAGGCATGTATTGATGTCTGCTGCCCCGCTGTAGGTACTAGGCACATATTGTAGTGCGTCATCACAATGCACCTCTCCCGCCATCTACGGAATACCCAAAGAAAAAAGCACCTAGCTTCATGCAATGCAATGCAATCTGCATCTTTTCATCTTTATAATACAATGTCCGCGTGCATGGAGAATTCAAGAGCGTTAGTAGCCGAAACGCTATTGCTAACCCTGCAGCCGTTGGCGAATCTCGGCAACGACATTCCGGATGCGAGGCTCCTTGACTTTTTGCTCGGCACGGGTGACGGCATCGCCTATTTGAAGAATATCGCGGCCAGCCTCGCAAAAGTCGGGGCCAAGACACAGCAACGTACCAGTAGCCACAAGCGCACGGTAAACAGCTTCGGAGTCGGTAGCTGTGGTGAGAACCTTTGATAGATCGTCAAGGAGCGATAGCGCCCGGTCCGCATTATTCTCGTAATTCAGAAGCACCGAATAGTTAATGTATAGCGTAGTGAGCGCAATGATCAAGTTGCGGTTGGTAGAGGTGAGGAACGGCGACACCAAAGGATGTATGTTGTCAAACTCCTGGCTCGCAAGAAGTCTACCCTTCTCAGTCTGGAGCAGGTTGCTGAGACACCGTATTGCCATCATAGTGTTGTTCGGTAGAGAGGACCCAGTGAAGACACCTGATTCAATAAGGGCTGGTAGTAGGTTTTGCTCAGGTGACACAAGGAAAGCAGCTGGCTCCTCGAAGGCGAGGACTAGCCGCAGCAGATCGAGGGCGGGCAACCGCTTTTCTGCTGGCCATTGGGTCGCTGCTTTCAGGAGAAGCTCGACACCAGTGATGTCTATTCCCTTGCCGTTTCCCTTCTCAAGCGCACTGACAGTGGCACTGAGTTGCTCAATATCCGAAGGGTTCAGCGAGATGCCCTTTTGGCCATCATCAACTAGAGCTTGGTTGAACTCTGTGAGCTTTTTGAAGATAATTTTATGGTTTCCGGCCGTAATGGGAAGGTAATCCTTTTGCGGAAGTATTTTGGGTGGCGATGGTGCGGGCTGTGGTTGCGCGGGGACCTGATTAGCGTCTCCCGGGCGGTAGCGTGCATCTGAACCCCAGGGATCCGCGCCCTGCGCGCTACTTTGGCCTAGCGTTGCACCCTGTGTGTTTTGAATAATGAAGTTTGCGACTTGATCCAAGTAGGTGAGTGGTAGTTCGTTGTCTTCGATGAACTTGCGTGCAGCCTCATAATGGTTCTGGTTGAGATTGTATGGCAGTTTCAGTGGTGGCTTGCCATCTTCAATGTCAACGTCAAAGACATAGTCGTACTCTTTGCCGGCATGAGATATCTTGCGTCCACCGCTCCCAGCCGAATCAACTACAGTGCCAACATTCACCCATTGATTGGCGGCAGCTGACCACTGATATGCTGAAACATTCCCGTTCATCTCCTTGATCATCTGTACTTGGCCTTCCTTTGTGCCGGATCGCTGGGTAAGAAACTCGGGCCCGGGCAGCTGTTCCTTGTTGATGTTGCCTACAGTTTGTTGTGGAATTGCTGACCCTTTGACATCATCGAGGAACTGCTGGATCTCGGTTTCTGTGGCATAACGAGATTGGTCGCGGGTGAAGACACGTGCGAGTTTATCACTCGCACCTGTGACGATGTCCCCATTCTCTTTACACACGGCCACTGACCATACCGAGATGGCTGGGTGGGTAATAGTCTGTATACACTGGTTGTTTTCCCACACACGCACAGTCCGATCTTCACCGGCACTTACGATCCCACCGTTGGGGAGGACGGCAAGTGAGTAGATGAAGTTTTCATGGCCATGTAACTCCGCCACCTGCTTTCCAGTAATGGTCCATAGGCGGATGACGGCGTCATTACCTGCGGAGGCGAATTGAGCTCCCGAAGGGTGATCCGAAGGTAGTCGACAGAGAGCGCGTACGACTTCTGGCGCTTGGATCGAACGCACTGGCGATGTGCCGCCCGAGATGTTGTAGACGCGAATTTGATTGTCGGCGCATCCGGTGATGATGGTGTTCTCATCAAAGGCAAGAACAGCCCACACCGAGGCAGTGTGACCCTGCAGCACGGTAGACTCACCCCACTTGCCAACCTCCCACAAGCGGGCCTCCATGTCCCAGCTGCCACTCACGATATACCGACCATCTTCACTAACGTCGAGAGCGCAGACATTGTTGCCATGTCCTATCAGCAGGGCGTCGGCATCGGAATCGAGGGTCTTGGTGGGTGAGCGTACGTCGATGATTTGGTCTTTGCCGCCGGAAACGACGAGACCGTCGGGAAAGGAAGACGAGGGGGGAACAATGGCGAGCGAGTTGACAAACTCCTTGCCATGTGCCTTGATGGAGCTGTCCCAAACGGGTGGATTGGTTGATTGCTGTGTCCAAGCGCGTACTGTGAAGTCTCTCGAGGCGGAGAAGATGGAGGCGGGCGACGCGAAAGCTACACTTCGGACCTAGGGAGAGGGTTAGTGTGTCTGTGTGTAGGACGTGCACAGCCTAGGCTGGACTCACGTCGTCTTCATGGCCACGCAGGGTGGCTGATAGCTTGAAATCGGCCATGATAGAGCTGGGGCGGGGTTGCTCGAAGGGTGGGGGAGCTGGGCAACGGGGGCGAGGGTGGAAAGAAACAGGCGCTGGTCTGTCACGAAGCCTGTGCCTGCAACCAGGAAACACATGCGAATCCGAAGTACACACACACACACACAAAGACAACGGCACGTAGGGGTTGCGTTTCTGCGTGTCTGCGGTCAAGACCAACTGCTCGGCCATTGGCGTCCTCCTACTGGCGACGTCAGCCTTTGGCGAGGCGGCCGGCCCACTCACTCACCCTTCCCCCCGGTCACCCGTCGCCTGTCGCCGCTTCCCTCTCCCGCCCTTCTACTTTATGTTCGGCCGGCCTTGGCTTGGCAAACAACACACTTAACTCAACACCACACTTGACTCTGATCATCAACCACCAAATATTAATCCGTTAGACCATCGGTACTTTAATTCATTTACGGCTGAAGCCTGCTCGCACTCGTGCTGTTTCTCCGTGGCCTACCAATTGCGCACGCCTTTTTCTTCTCCTTCTCAGCTTGCCCTGATCGCCTAGCACCATCTAGACTGGCGATAGCGTTGCCACCACTGTATCCGATCAGATCATATCGCATCATATCTCTGTTCCGTTGGCTTGGGCGTGGCTTGCGGCTTGCGACACGTGGCCAATGCTCTGTCTGGACCTCTTCCGCGTGAAGTCTCGAACAGCAGTGCTTGGAGATGATGCAAGCGTCTACCAAGCTTGTACTTACAATACACATGCACTCAGTGACCATGCTCACGCTTGCTGCATCTCCGCTCCGAGCCTGCCATTGATCTGTTGCAAGTGGCATTGACCAACAGCACCCCAAGTCCTACTTGCAGACAGAAATGCATGTTGAATAGGGCAGCAGAGTCGACATGGGCATAATTTCTTCGTCTCCTGTTCATGGCAGGATGCAGCAACGTTTGAACTCCCCTTGGAGATGCACAAGTTGCAGCTGCACCAGCTGGGTCGCTGTGGCGCATCTCCAAAGAGGCACAATGCAGTATGGTGGAATGAGTCCAAAAGCTTCCTCTCTCTGCCATCTCCCATCGACTCCGCCACCCCGGTTCTTTGGCTCCACGGCCTCCATCGCGGAGGACGGCAATCGTGTTTCACCGACTGCAAGGAGTCAGTCAGTACCAGGGAGGCTTTGGTGCGCAAAGCAAATGATTGTGCATCGTCTTGCGCGTATTCCAGGTCATTTGCCTCTTGTCATGGTGCTCTGCCGCTCGTTTGGCCAGCCTCCATGTCCCCTGGGCCTTGCATGCGCTCATGCCGCCCTCAGACGTCGCCCTCAGCATGGTACTGCAGCCACTAGACCATTAGGCTTTCGTGTGACATTCCTGACCCTGCTGTTCCAGATGCACTTGTAGCAAGGTCGTCCAGTCTGGTTCTAGCCAGGAAACGCTACGCCAAAGCCAAGCCACTCGGTTCATCTGGCGAAGCGTTGCGTGTCAGCTCAAATTTTGGGCCGCTGATAGAACAGAGGGACACCCTGTGACTTGCCTGGAACCGGTCCATGGACCAATCCATGTAATCCAAATGGGCGCGCCCTCCGCGACTGACGCCAGCGTGCCATTGCTGCGAGCTGGTAGGGCAAAGCCTACAAGAGAGCCTTTGTCCCGCCCTGGTGCCATCACCATCCTTCTCGCACTTGTGATTTGCAATTCTCCATAATTACCACGACAGATTTTAGCCGACCCACCCCTACCAGCCTCGTCCACCGCTCTTCACGGTCCGACAAGTTAGGTGCCTTTGGTTCATCAGCCTTACCATACACTCGGGCCCGCACGGCGCTTCCGTGAGATCACCGCCGACCCCTACGTACCCCTACGCACTGTTGCGTAGCAAACTAGGATTAAACCCGTCATAACAGTGCGGCCGTTGCTCTGCACTGTTTTCTTTTGCTTTTAAGCCAGGGTCCTGGGTGTACAAACATCTGCTTCAAATAGCCTCCTTCCGCCAGTCCGAGTCGACAAACACATACCAAGCAATCACACACACTCTACTCACACAATGGACGCCCCAATGATCGAACTCAAGTCTGCATTAGCCTCGTAAGTTGTCCCTTATCGTTTATTCAACCCTAGCTAAGTCTTTTCAGACTGTTTCAATGTGGCCAATACTCAGATCTGACCATCGTTTGTGGAGCCAAAAGATACCAAGTACACCGTATACTTCTCGCAACCAGATCGACCTTTTTCGAGGGCGCATGTCGAGGCGGCTTCAGAGAGGCAGAGAGTGGAGTCATTGACCTGAGCGAAGATGACGCGGAGGCTGTAGAACACATGATCCACTGTAAGCACCTAAACAGCCATGGCAATCTCATGAGTTATGCTGACCCTGCGCAGACTTTTATCACATGGACTACCTAAGCAAAAAGCCACTTTCGCGCCGCTCTTCACAACGATCAAATCGACCAACATCCCTACGACAAAGGCAAACACCATCACGGAAATTCATTCTTGACCCTAGCGACGACCCGTTATTAGCCCTTGTAGCGGCTGCCGCACCAGTGACCCCTCCATCTAACGAGCCAACATTCCAGAATGTTGATGCATCCGCTAAGCTTGCCGCCACCCCGATGGTCGACCAAATTCTTGAAGATGACGATCTTGAGAGCATAGAATCCGAGCCAGAATCGGAAATTCAGTCCGCCCATCTTGTCGCACATGCCAAAGTGTACGCAATCGCTGAGAAGTACGTACCGCCTTCCCTCACACTTTTCTACCATACTTGTTTTTTTCCTTTTTCTATCCTGATCCCTGCCTCGCGGGGTGGCTTTCTTCTGCATCTGCAGAGTTGGTTCCCGTGATGCTGTGCATTGCACGGCGTTTCCAAACGCCGACCACCCCCGCCATTTGCGTCACCAACATGAACACAACGCCAATCAACGCTTTTGCTACCTTTTCCCTCACACCATGCACACCTCCTTTCTATTTTTCCTTTTCTCTCCAAGAGTACAGGATAGGCCAATGATGGCTGTTTGTAAAAGTCAAAATGCCGTCTCGAAACCGAACGCGTCAGCGTTTTTCTTGCCTCTCCAATCACTCAGCCGCCACTGATGACAAACACGGGCTAACAATCTCTTGCAGATATGGCATCGCTGGCCTGAAGACACTTGCACGCAGCAAGTTTGTTGATCAGATCAACTTGCATCTCGCTAGTCCCGAGTTTCCAGAGGCGTGCCAAGAGGCCTACGAATCCACTTTCCACTCAGACCGCGGCCTACGGGATGTTATCATTCAGGTCTTCCGTGCAAACCCCAGCCTCTCGCTACGGCCTGACGTTGAGATGATGGTACGAGAAACGCCAGGGCTTGCATTTGAGCTCTTTCGAATGGCCAGTGGCCTCCCCGTTTCCTCGTGAGATACCTATGGAATGTCTGCCTCCATAAATCCGAAACCCACAAGTTACTCCACGACCTTGTTGGTCTGTGCCATTACCCGTATTGCAGAAACATGCATACAATTGGTGTCTCCTTCACCCCGTTAGTGTTCCTCTGCAGTAAGCAACGCGCGTCCATCTCTTTGCGGCCCATCCTTAGGCCAAGGACAATATCCTGCGACTGCACACCACGACGCGTTACAATGCTAGTTGGTGTCCCAAGCCACCCTTTTTCACAACAGCGTTCGGCAACCAACGTGAAGTGGGGGTGCTGCACGTCTCACAAATTACACCGGCCTGTGCATGCACCCTCAGAGCCATATCTGGTTCGATGCAGCCAATCATGTGTGAAGATGATTGATCATCGACCGGGCCTGACAGTTTATATTTCTTTTGCTTACTCTTTTCTTTCTTTTGAGCGTTCCTGGTAATTCTAGCGATATCACTAAGCGAATTGAGCTTCTTTGGCTCACCAATCTCAACTTCACTTACCTTGCGTGCCCCAACTTCTCATCTTGACCGTTGAGTGCTTTTTTGCATCAGATTAATTGCAGAACTGCAGCACAAATGGATAGCGAGTAGCCTTCCATGGCAGAAGAGCTCGCAACGTGTCGAGTTTTCCTAAGTGCGGACGATGCATTTGTGTAACTTTGGCCAGGACTACTACTGTACTCTTAGCAGTTGATGGCTAGTATTGCAACAACAGTCGAATGACTTGAATACTCTTCGGGGGGTATACTACTATCCTCCTGAATACCTCTCTTCGCCTAGCAGAACTGGATACGGCGTCAGATCCTAAGCTGAGTGCGGGGGTGGGACGCCTAACAGTAACGTTGTTTTTTCTGACGCAGGGACGGATCTGCAAGCCTCTCCGCGGTCCGGCCCTTACATTCTTGTACTTCATACTGCAATCGCATACCAAATTGATCTACAGCTGGAAAACGCCACACATCAGAGGCGTAGACCTCGACACTTCACTTTTATTTTTCGCATTTCTATCAGGCTTTCCCATTCCCACCCCCTCTTCTCTCTTCACCTTCGCTTAGCACAATGAGGCGTCCCTCTACAACTGAGCTGTAGTACAGCCGAGCAGGGACTTGAGACATGGCAATTGTGCCAATTCAAAGGATCCACATTTCCCCACAGTCATGTCAGTGCTTTAAATGCATTTATGGTCTGTGATAGGGTCTACTTGGTTACAGCTTTAAGGTGGCCCCGCCTAGCGCGCGCAAGGTACTACAGTACGATATACAAAGAACATCAGTCATCCTTTAGACCGGATGCCTCAAACTCAAGGCTGAATATTCTCGGTGTTTTATTTCTTTTCTTTTTTCTGGTTCGTTCATACTTAGCTCGTTCTTGGTACGTAGTAATGTTTATGTACAACGATCATTTCGTGGCATTGATCCAAATCACGGCCAAGTTTACTCAAAACAGCCATTGAAGAGAATATGCAAAGAAGACGAGAGATGGGAAGCGAGATACATAACAGTAGTCTCAGGATGAGAAAGAGGCATGGAAGGAGAGAATGAGAGACGGGCATGGCGTCAAGTAAACGAAGGAATTTTAAGGAGAGATGGTATCTCGCCGTGAAGAAAACGTCATCCAATACATCACAATCATTTACCTGTTTACCTGCCTACCTCTGAAAACTCCGAGCATCTCAATCGTCCTCATGACGTTTTTTTCAGTCTCCTCGCTCTCGCTTTCTAGTCCAATGCGGTTCTCGCTGCTGCTCTCACCAACGCGGCTTTGGTCGAGGAAAACGGTTCCCTAGGTGTGTGTCTTCTCTTCTTCATTTCAAGTCCTCGTCAATCTCACTCTTGCTAACTCTAGATGGATAGGAGGTCATGAAGGTTCCAGAGGGCGCTGACCATGCGCAATACCGCAACTGCGCTGAGCACCCCCTGGAAGACGACTGCAGCATCTACAGCGACACTTCGTTCGCCTCAGCCGACGAGTCACTCGTCTCCCGCCGCGAGACCATTTGAGGTGTACCTGCCGTTTTTTGCCCGCAAGGCGCAGACGTGACACTACGAGTCTGCTCTCGGTTGCACCAAGAATTATTCCCGGAAGGCTTGCGGTACCCCTGGTGGCGGCAAGTGGTGCTGGACTGCTACTGGTGACAGTGACGGTGGTAGTGTTTGGGTCCAGTGCGCTACCTACAATGATTGCAATGCTAATGCAAAGTGCAGTAAGGGCTACGTCACGAGCCAGTCCTTTGGCTACGGATCCTAAATGGTGGATATGGTGAACCGAAACCCAAGTGGCAAGATGAAGTCATTGGTTTCGGAAATTTGGTGACTGGTCGACTTTTCTCGGTAGAGCGTACGGTGAAGGGGTTTAGAAATGACAAGTGCGATTGGACAAGTCTATGGTCGCTTTTAAGGATCAGCTTAGATAACACCTTGGTAATAGCAATGCCATACTTTATCGGTAGGAGCCATGTCTCTCACTCGATGTATCATGTTGGCTTTGCTTCTCGCTTGTTTGAACGTAAGAAGCTGGTGTGCGAGCTCTACCAAGAATTATGAGTATATGTCAACGAAGCGGAAATCTTTGTGTAATCGTTGAGACATCGTGTTGTTAAACCGATTTGTCCATTCTGGAGGCAATGAAACAGGCAGGGGTTTCAGAAAATGATATTCAAGGCTTCCAATCGATAGTACATCTCAAATGGCCCAAAGTTCCAACATCGGAGGCGGGCCGGGCGCCTCTGGTCGTTCTTTTTTTCGCTCGTTTCGCACTGTGATGACGATACCACCGACTGTGAAATACAATGGACATAACTACCGAGCCATGTGTAAAGGGATCCAAGAGTTCGATCATATGGAGCATCCAATTGATGTCTTGTTAAAAAAATAAGACGCTCTGAGGTGTCCAACATTTCTTGTGATAATTATGGCTGTTCAGAAAAATGATGGCGGTTCGCATTTCGATGATGTAAAATCGATAGTCGCCGTAACACGATATCGGCCCAGTATTTCAAAATGTATTGCGGGTGGATCGGCTTTGCACGGTTGTTCTTTCGTAGCGTATACGTTGTCGACACTCGCCCCCGTCCTTCAAGAGAATTGTACCAGCCGAGTATCTCGAAAATGGATCCTTGCTGCAGCCCGATGTCCTGGAAATAGCTCGTTACATAGCAAAGCTCTAGAGTTCTCTGTGATCCAGGCCGATCCAACTCTTTCTCTCTCAATCAAAGTTCCATCTTCGTATGCTTCCAACTCATCGTAGTTGCGCTCGTATAGTCGGAGAATCAGATTGTAAGATCCGGTGAAACTGCTTCCGATAGATAAAGGAGATGGTTTGGTGACGGACTCGAAGATTTCTTTAGAAAATTTGGGGAAATGGCTTGGGGTCTTCGCTGTTATCAGACGGTGATGACATTGGGGACCCGACGGTGGCCCACCACGCTAGTGTGGTTCGCGCTTACACCCTGCATAAGAAACTCTCCGCAACCCGAACACTCTTCCCGGTAGTCAATAAGTAATGCATAATTTTTTCCTCCTATAGTAGCTTGATGATGACATCTGTAATATTTGGTAGCTTTCGATGACTCAGTTGTTAAGTAATGTAATGATTAGTGGCACATCCTGAGTGCTAAGACGCATCAGTCGTGCTAGAACAAACTAGGTTCGCTTTAACTTTTGACACTGCGTTCCCTTCCTGCCAACATAGGAAATACGACGCTTATGCTTAGATCAACTTGATGCTAGTCAATGTTGTTTCTAACGTCATTCAATATTAGAAGAAGGTGAAGAAAATCGAAGCTGCATGGCAAGATACATTCTCGGTGTCCTTACTTAGCATAACCACAAACTATTGAAGATCACATTTGTATATTCAAAGCTACGGCATTTTATCCATCTTCCCTACTTATCAAATACAAACGAATGTGTAGTCCTTCTAGCAACACTGTACCAATCACAGCACTACTGGTCGCACTCGTACTGTGTAGCACAGTCCGTGCATACCCCGTTGTGAATCTCACAACAGATAGAACTGCGCATTATACAATTAGCTCTCAATTCCGTCCTTTGTCCTATCCCCCCCCCAAAAAAAAAGGTGGGAAGGAGAAGTTGATCAGGAAGAGGTTCAAGCTCGACATACCAGTTAATCTGACAATTGGCGAGACATCCCTGGCTGCCACAGAAGCCGCAGCCAGAGAGGCATGCAGAAACGCAGGTTGCACGTTTCTCGAGGACGATGGAGTCTGCCGTAGCGTCTCTGGTTAGAAGCGATTTCATGCCATTGGGCATGTTGGATATGTCGCGGGGAAGGAGATCCGGGCTCACGATGGCATTTGGGGCTGCGGTTGCGAGCGGGGAGAATGTGAGAGCGAGGGTGAGGGCGATGGTGGTGAGGAACTGCATTTTGAGAGGTGATTTTTTGAAAAATCTTCTTGTTTACTAAGGTGAGATGGTTTGAAGGGGATGGTTGAGGTTGAGTTCTGGGATGTGTGAGGAGGCTTCTGAGTATCGCATGTCTTTTATATTCGACTTTGAGCTATATATTGGATATATTCGAAGCATTAGGTGGCTGCCTGATGGTCTGCCTGATCTTACATACCTCTTGATGAGGTGCTGATCTACGTTGTGTTGTTGACTCGTTTTAATATCTTGCAATCACAGCTCAATGTTATACGAGCGGTTTGTTGGAAGTTTCAGATGATACATATTAAATGTTGCACGCCTTATTTTACAAAGACCTTAAAAACTGCTATACGTTAAAATGATTGATGTGACAAAAACAAGTAAAATCTGTACTATAAACTTATCAGAGCATAGCTTTTATCGTGGTTGCATATTACCATGGATCTAACTCAGTCGTTCATGGAATTAGGATGGCACAATAGGAAGTTGCAATGCAAACTAGTCAGATACATACGTACGGCATGTGCCAACCAAGCGAAAATATATTACCCGCTCATAGGAGCGTTAGGCAACAGACAGCATTTCGATTGTGAACCAACATTCCAATCAGCTGGGGTTTGATGTATGGATCTGCATGTAAGGCAAACGACAGCCTTTCGACTGTAAACGAACAGTCCAATCAGATAAGGCTTAGTATCTAGGTCTATATGTAATACCAACATTTGTAGCAGTCATTGATACATTTTGCCTGAATACTCATGTTGCCACCTGCATACTAATCTTGCAATTCAGCAATAATGTACCCCTCTTTCAGTCCAGGGCGGAAACAATAAGCACTAGGAATTTTTGGGGTCTGTTTCAGTCATAAGTACACTTTCTAAGTTTCTTCAGTGTGTGCTAACTCTGGGTTTTGGACTTAGCTTACCTGGCATGTTGCTGGGCCGTAGTTACTATTTGGTTCAGACGATTAGGGCGACTATCACAAACCATTGCTTCATTTTCAGAACGAGTTTCATTCATCATGTTAAAATGTAGCGATGATTTCACAAAACTCGAACACAACATCTTGTAATTTCGAAATGTTAGTCATTAATCTGGATAGAGATGGTTTTCGGATAGCTGATGCTCATAGGAAATCAAGCAATTTCATCAACATCAATTACATGTACTCGAGCCTTTTTTCACAAATAAATCATTAATGGAGTACAGATTTCACTTTGTGCAGTATGAATACTATGAAGCACCAATATAAGAATTGTAATCAAAGCTACAGAGCTCTGATAAGCAACTACCCGCAAATACTAAACTGTATCCCTACAATCACTACAACAACTAGACTGCAAGACGAGAGAGGGCTAGCGCCCCTTAAACACGAACGTGCTCGACATGAGGAGTCTTCTCGGAACCGAGGTTGTCAAGATGCTCGCTGTGGACGCCCTTCTCGATGGCGTGCATGTCAACGTGGGGAACAGCATCGTCGCCGTCGAAGATGCGCGAGATTTCTTCAAGAGTGGGTCCCTGAAGTACATAGTTAGCAACGGCTTCATGTGGCAAAAGATGCATATACATACCTTGGTTTCTGGGTAGACAAAGTAGACGAAGACGAGCTCGACGAAGATCCACAGAGTGTAGAAAAGCGCCAGATTCCAGTGCTTAGGGAGGTTGTCCCAAGCGACAGGGTTAGTCTGACCGCCGACAGCGAGGATGGCCTGGACGGTGATGTTCATGATCATAAGACCCTTGGCACGGAGTGCGTAGGGCAGAATCTCAAGAGCGTAGGCGACAAGCAGACCAGACCAAGCAAAGGCATAGCACACACCAAAGAGCCACACAAAAGGAATTTGTGCGTATCCGGCACCCTTGTTTGTCTCGCCTGAGTTCTCGTATACGGCGCAGGTGATGGTCCAGCACACGAACGACATCATCATACCAGTGGTTGCGCCCAGGAAGAGGGGACGACGTCCGACCTTGTCAATCAAGGTAGCGGCATATGTGGATACGACGAGAGACAAAATACGTTCACCACCAGTCAGCTATATCGTGGGTTAGTAGAGACCTTTTTGGCAAGAATTGCAGCTGGACTTACAGCCATCTTTTGATCCTGGCTAGTAATTCCAGCACCAGTGTAGACCAAGTTGATGTAGTTGGAGAAGAGGGCGTTACCGGAGTACTGGGAAATGATACCAAGGGAGATGAGAATGGCCAACCTCCATCGGTTACCCTTGGTCTTTACGAAGTCGATGTAGCTGGAGTTAGTTTTGGCATCGGCCTCCATTCGGATGGCTTCCCTCATCTCGGTGTATTCAAAGTTGACGGTTACATTATCACGGTCACCCTCGGCATGGTAGTATGCAAGAGTGTTCAGCGCTTCCTCGTAGCGTTCCTTGGAGATCAACCAACGTGGGCCTTTGTCTCATGTTAGCTTGATGTACAAATGGATATTCATGACCATGTTACTTACTTTCAGGGACCCACCAGATGAACATGAGCTGGAGAAGCGATGGAAGACCCTGAAGAAGGGTAATGGAGCGCCAGGACCAATGGTTGTCGGCTTGGGATGTGCCCCATGCAATCCACGCAACAAAGAGAGCACCCAAGTTCCAGAGACAGTTGTAGACAGCAGTGAAGATACCACGATGTTGGGGATGGCAAATCTCGGTGAGAAGAATAGGCGAGCACATCTGAGCGAACGAGTTACCGAAACCTAGGATGAAACGACCGACCATGTAGAGTTGCCAGCTAGTGGAGAAAGTTGAGACGAGAGCACCTGCAATCATGATGGAGCAGCCGACAGCGATTGGGATTTTACGTCCGGTCCATTGGGTAAGGTAAGGGACAAGGAAGAAACTGACGATGGAACCAATGTTGTACATGTTGTTCATTAGACCAAGGCGGTTACCGGTGGGGTTGTCGAAGTATTCAGTCCACTTGTTCATCTGCTGCGAGGAGTTCATCATCATACTAGAATTTAGGATTAGCCGGAGGATATGTTGTCAAGCTGAATTGTACTCACCCATCGTAACCAGTAGTGGCAGAGGCAATGCAAAGAACTGAGCTGTGCCAGAAGAGTTTGCGCATGTTGGGGTGCTTGTACCAGATGACCTTTTCGAATTGAGGTGCATCCTCGCGGACAGCGCTGTTGCCCTTGGGGGCGCTCATTCCCATGGCGACCATGTTGGGCAAACGACGAGTTGAGACGACGAAGAGTCAAGAAGGCCGAAGGTAACGAAGGAGGGTCGTACACCGAGTTTGCAGATGGCCGTGAGGAACAATCTGAATGGCCGTGGGGCGACGAGTACCGTACTTATATCTGACGCGCGAGTACCAGAGGCGATCCCGGGAGTGGGGACGGGACGACTAGGACATGGAGATTATCCCTGACGGTTCGACGGACATGGATGCCGCAGTGTGCAGGACGGGTGCTTGACAGCAAGTGTGGAGAGCGCCAGTAAGATTATACCAAGAAAGCTGGATTGAGCCAGCCGTGGGCACGAGGGCCGCAGCGCCGTAGCCGAGAATCTGTGTGTAAGTTCTTCGTGTGGACGCTAGTTGTTGGCTTGGTGCTAGTGTTTCCAACGTCGTCCCCTGCCAGATGGGGTGGCCCCATGGGGTGTCTGGAGGCGTTCGAGAAGGCCACAACGTGCCAGGGCGGCGAAGTAGATGGTTGCATGGGGCCAAAGAGTAGTATAGAGAGACAAGAGTTGATGCAAGGACACCAAGCCGTACTTGGCCTTTGTGAAGTGCTTCGATTCAACGGCCAAAGAATTAATACGAACTGAAGGGCGACATGTCCCACTGTGGCCGTTGCTGTCACTTAGTGTGTACATAGACTACAGACCAGGCACAGTCGATCGTCGGTAGATGGCTCAGAATCGCAAAAGACGGTGGGCTTGGTCTGCCACAAGCGATTAGGACTTTTCCCCACGGCAAATCACATGCGAAGGCTCTACGGCAGCGGCAAGATGGAAATGGGCATTTTGCCTCGTTTCGTTGTTCCACCCGTGCTGGGCTTGGCCAGGCCAGAGGCTTATCATGCCGAGTCTTGGATGGGTAGGACTAGGTGGTGAAGACAACAGGCGACTCGTCCCGCGGATAATTTTGCTTAGCATCCGCCGCTCACCTCTTTCCTGGTTGCCTCGAGTCTGAGGTGAGCCAACCACATTGTAGTCTCGCGACAAGCTCTTCTGGTTGCGGAATGTCACAAGCTGCCAAGATGGATAAATGGGCCTGCACCCCGAAGGCGGAATCTGGAGCTTGGAGACCAAGGGCCAGTGGATGCCATGAGCACAAACTGCTGTCTAGTTTCGATTCCATGGACAGCCTCAGACAAGCCCAGGCGGCTATTGTTGGAAATTATGAATCATCTGGCAAGACGAGCATCCATCTGAATAGGCCGCCATCCTCTTCAGACGGTGGTGTGGTGTGGTGTGGTGTGGTGCGGTGGGCTGGGTTGGGGCAAAGCTTGGGTCGCCGTCACCTGGCTTGACCAAGCCCAGCTCGCCGGGCTGCAGCCGACAACAACAGCTGTCTACTGCACATGGCCGCCGCATCGTTCAACACCACAACTCGACTCGGAAATTCTGCGATGCGGGCACTCGTGCATGTCCATGCTCTATAGATTAGGTCGAGGCTGAACCCAGGCGCCGAGCTGTTGGATTTAAGTTAATTGTTTCCTGGGGAAGCGAGGCATTTTGTGGGGTCGGACAATCTACAGCATCGCTAACTGCCGCACACCCCGCGCCCTTTGGTTTGTTAGCCGCATTGTCCTCGACTTCAATCTTGACGTCCAACGAGTCTTGTGTTGATGCAAATTGCGAATGCACCGTTTGAGGTCAGCGCGGTGAAAGTTAACGCGACCAAGAAAGCCCGGATGCTTGACCGGCTGTACGTTGTCTGCCAATCCACGCCAACTCTTGGACGGCCTTGGCACAATCAACCTATGGACCAGCGGGGCCGTAGCCTGAGGACGCTCTGATTTATCCGAGCAAGAGTCTCGTGGCTTGATACCGTTAGACGCCAAGTAAGCCTCCCAAATCTGCAGCGGAGACTGACCCACAGAGACGGAACGTCCTTGTTGAGTATGTACTGACAGGGAGGCATACTTGACAGATGAGCAGCTTTGCCCCAACCAGTCGACTCTACCGTGCCACTTTTCCACTGCATATTCCAGGCGCCATACACCAGGCTTGCCGCCCGCTTTTCTGGTGCCATGCAGACGACAAGGTCCAATCAAACTATCATTCGCCACATTCCTTTCAAAAGCACAAGCTTATTGCACTAGTGTTGGCATCATGTAAGTATAGTATCGAGCAATGGCAAAAAAACAAAATTCAACCACTAGAATACCACGACTATTGCTAGTCGTTAACACTTTATCCACGACAACGCAATGGTGACGGACACTATTGTTTGCCACCATTCCTTGGTGCCAGACAAACTAGATCATCTCTCTTGGACTTTAAATCTTCAGACGGAAGCCGGCAGCTTTGCTCAATGTGGCTGATAATAAGTATCCAAGTATAGACATGCTGCTTACAGGTAATCACGTAAAGACAAAAACAACATCATAGTGTACTCACATACATGGTGCTCACCAGACCCCAACCAGGACCCACACGAGAGCATGCAGCATGGAGCGACGGCAATCTGGCATCATGATCAGCTCATGGCTTTACCCTTGGAGTGGGGCTCTTTAAGCTTCTTGACTTCTTGGTATTGAAATACTGACTTACTTGTGTACCCGAGCCTTGCTTTTCCATCGCAACACGGGCCTAGAGTCAGCCCAGCGTTCGCAAGCGGCTGGCCTTCGTGTTTCTGACGGAAAGACTATCCGCCGGATAACAATCCGTCAATCAACGCCACCAGGCTAAGTTTGTGGCGTAGGACTATTGTTAAACAACGTCTAACCCGGAATGCGTGACTGACTCCCATGTGTGCAATGCTGGCGACAGCTCGTAGCGGCTTTGTGGAGAAGCTAGGCTACATCTGTGGACTTGGAATTCGCAGAGGGTGGCTCTGTTCTATTGGAAAATGTCTAATAGATCAGCTGTGATGCCTACTTACATGCTTTGGCGGCACACAAAAGTTTGTAGTCAAACAAAGCTAGTATGGGGGCCAAAATAATAGCCTAATACTGAAGCATGTGCACACTTTTATACTACTGAGTGAAACTTGAAAAATTAGGCTATCACATAGCAACAATGTGACCACCATACGCTGGACTACATTTCCTGATTGCAGGCTTCATAGCGATACCATGCGCCTTCAATGGATGTTACCAGAACACGTGTCGATTGTCGATGGCCAAGAAAGCGACGCCTTTGGACTCTTCTCTATGACTAATAGTCGGAAGTGTACTTTGCCATGATCCCGGTCTCTTACTGTCAATCATTATAATTCCTTCGTAGCAAGTAAACAGCATGGCGGAATCCTAGGTATCCCTGCTGCACCGGTACGCAGGCCCGTAGTTATTCTGGACTAACTGACATTCTGGAAGCTCTAAATCGTTCTTCGACGATCTACATATCCTTCCTGGGTGCCAACTAAGACGCCCCCAACCGGTTCCCTAAAACTTGGTCGTAATCACATGAGTTATCTTAACACTATTGTTACATGCCCCAACCCAGTCATCACTCTGCTCGCCCAACCAGCCGAGGATAGCGCCGGGTGCTGGGAACCACCAACTGATAACTACCAAACTGCAACGAGATACAAGTTTAAATCAGAAAGTACCACGTCAATCACCACTCTGGGTACTACGCACAACAGCATGCTTGCAGCTATCCACTGATCTGTTGTCAGAGTTCAGCCGTGCTGAGTTCCCCAAACATTCGGTACACAAGAACCGGGGATGCCTCGTATATTCCCTGCCAACACGGGCATGCTCGGTATTACTATCACCTCCACCAATTTGCAGTAATTATCCTGATTAGGGGCCACCAAAACAGTCGCATATGGATCGCATCACACACACATTCTTCCAACAATCATCTTCTTGCTTACTGTGTAGAGTGCAGTGTAGTCTTGCATAATAGCTGGGGCAAATCCACCGCAATGCAGTACGTAGGCTGTAGCGTCGACTACAGTCTATCAAGAATCTACCACAGTAGTTGATAAACTCCAATCATGCGCATTCTTTCACATACGACCATCGGCAAAGTGCAGCACTGGCTCTCATTGGATCTCCATACGTTAAGCCATTGACCGGCGGATTAGTATTCAGGTGGGCGACCACTGACGAATCCCAGCTGTTGTATGTTTTTTTGGTACATGAAATTTTCAATCCCGATTTTTGTTTTTCTGATTGCTGTCGTACGTTGATGCTTTTTTGAAATTCTGAGCACTTCATATGAAGATCAATCGTACAAGAAAGAGAGACCAAGCTGATTGTAGTAGTGGGGTTCGCTCGGAGATACTACATAGCACAAAGGAACGGCTAACACCCCGCATTCCCCGCCATGCGTCGCGGAACGAAAAAAGCGAGCATGTACAACTGCCGAGTATGACATTGTGTATTTCAGTACTGCTTGGCTTCGACAATATAAATGCATCTCAAGCTCACAAATATTCTGCAGCAGTGTCTTCATGATATTTGTACAACTGAATTAACATGGCACTAGACGCCCTCGCTCACCTACCGCCTTATCTATGGCTTTCTCTCATAGTCGCGGTACCTCTTGTAGCGCTGCTTCATGACGTATGGATATGGCTGCGGATGCCTCCAGGCCCAACACCTCTCCCATTCTTAGGCAACAAGCTGCAACTTCCTAAATCGAAGCCATGGATCCAGTTCCAGGAATGGTCGAAGATTTATGGCCCGATGTTTACCATATGGATCGGACGTAAACCCACCATCGTCATATCGGACCCCGACATTGCCGTGGAGCTAATGGAGAAACGAAGCGCGAAATATTCGTCTCGGCCTCGCATGGTGGCTATGGGCGAGATATTGTGGGACAATGCAAGCATACTGGTGCAGCCTTACGGCAAGGAATGGAGTGTGCGAAGAAAACTGCTTCACCAGGCCTTGACACCCAAGGCACTGAGGCTGTACAAACCTGTGCAAACGGCAGAGGCATCACGGCTGTGCTCTCAATTGTTAGAAAGCCCTGCAAGTTGGGAGAAATTGCTTGAGCGTTTTACCTCCAGCATCGTCTTCTGTGTTGCATATGGGCACCGTATTGATTCGCTCAATGCCCACGTCATCCACCAACGCTTCAAATTCATGCACGTCGCTGCATCGCTCAATGTGCCTGGAAAATACCTCGTCGAGTCGTTTCCAATCTTGAAACACATTCCTGATATGTTGGCGCCTTGGAAAGCAGATATAAAGAGCCGGGGGCGAGAAGAAGCTGCTGCGAACATGGCATTAGTCGAAACTGTTCGCTCTGATCTTGCTAAAGCAAAGAGCCAAGGGAAAGACATCCCAGACTCGCTGTGCAAGCTACTCTTGGAGCTTCGCAAGCAAGAGGATATACCGCTTTCCGACCGCGACTTTTCCTACATCCCAGCGTCCCTGTTCGGTGCTGGATCCGACACCACAGCTTCGACCCTCTGCACTGCTTTTCTTGCTCTCATCACACACCCTGAAACCCTACGCGCAGCCCATAAGGAACTAGATGAATTCATCGGCCCTAATCGCACCCCAACATTCGAAGACGAACCACATCTCCCATACATCCGTGCTCTAGTCAAGGAAGTCTTACGCTGGCGTCCCGTCGCAGTCCTTGGGGGCACACCGCACGCCTCTACAGAAGACGATTACTACAACGGGCACTACATCCCGTCCGGCACCACCGTCATCGGCAATTCGTGGGCTATTAATTTGAACGACGAGTATTATCCAAACCCACACCACTTTGACCCTAAGCGTTTCCTTGATGAGACACTTGCCCAGCGCGCAAAAGACCCCACACGTGTTTCTGGGAAGCCGCATCCTGCAAAAACAGGCCACTCGTCGTTTGGCTGGGGCCGGAGAATTTGTCCTGGGGCCCATTTGGCGGAAAACAGTCTCTTTATTGCCTTGGCCAAGATACTGTGGGCGTTTGATATCTTGCCTAAGCCGGGTGTGCGGTACGATATTTTCAATTACACAGAGGGCTTCAATATTCGGCCTCGGAAGTTTGAATGCGAAATCAGGGTTAGGAGTGAGGGTCATCGGGAGGTGCTGCTGAGGGAGTTGAAAGATGCGGAACATGTGCTTGAGAAGTTTACACCGTTTGATGAGTGAAGAAGCATGTTGGATAATAGTCACTATTCTATGGTATAGGAAATCCAGACTTGATATAGTATTGAACAATCGTAGCATCTTGATTCGTCACCATGGCATCCAAACTAGAGCTAACTATACTATGTATCCGCAAGACCTAAATCTCACATGCCTAAAACAAGCAAACAACGCCCCAAAACTCAATGTCGCCTTGGACAGAGATAAAACCCAGTGTTATAAACTCCATCGCCATGCAGTAAAAAAAATCTCGTAAAAGAAGAACAAAAAAAAATCATCACGCCCCAAATGCAACAGCAACACCAACCGCCAGCACAACCGCCAACAAATTCCCCCTCTCCATAACCCCGGATCCCGTACTCTGCACCAACGCCTCATCGCTCACACTCTTCCTGCCGACAATCGACCCCACAACCCCATTCGCACGATCAACATTGTCAATCGCGGGGCCCATGTTGAAAAAGTCGACGAGCACGAAATTCGCAGGCTTCCCATACACACCCGTGCACTCATCCAGCGCAACGCCCATAGCCCCGAATCCCGTTGCTCCATTCGTAACATTCGCATACGTCTCGTTGGGAGACTGGATACCGAAGATCTGGTTCTGGTACAGGAAGTGGTTCTGGAGGAACATGCGGCCGGACTGGGCTGCTGCGTCGGGAGATCCGAGGCCTGTGGGGCGGTTTGGGGTGCAGGAGTAGTTGGAGGGGTCGACGTTTTCAAAGTCGTTTTCGAAGATGAAGGTGAATTCGTCCATGAGGTAGGGGTATTGGGTTGAGGCGCCTTCGGAGAGCGAGGCGACGAAGGTTATGAGGCGCGTGTTATTGCCGATGAGGGCGTCAAGCGTGGGCCAGGTTTGGGGGAGCATGGAGGTAGAAGGTGGGGTGTAGGCAAGCTTGTCGATGCCTGAGGAACTGAATATCGTGCCTAGGTCGGAGGTGGAGGCGCCGTCGGAGTTTACAAGGAGGACGGTTACGACGTCGTTTGGGTTGGCGTCCATCCAGGTTTTGATCTCGCCGAGCCAGTCTTCGAGTGTGCCGGCGTCGAGCAGGTTGCAGCTGCTGTGGCAGAGATGCCATTGTGCCAAGCCAGTGTCATTGGACTTGTGGAGTTGGGCGCTGAGTAACCGTACACCAGCGTCAAGCTGAACGGTGGTGTTGTAGTATTGGTTTCCCGATGTGGAGAAGGATGTCTCTTCGTTTCGGAGAAAAGGTGAGTCGTGTGCGCCGAGAAAGGTGATGTTGTTATATGGCCGGCTGCATAGGTCTGGCGAGTTGTTGCAGGCATTCTGGGCAGAGGCCGATGTGTAGAACATGGACAGCATGGCCGAGGCCTGCAGTAATATGCTTCTTGAGAACATGATGATTGGTGTGTGCAAGTGTGTTCCAAATCTTACGTAGAGCTCAGCTCAAATATTTGTAGGTCGTTGTATTGTTCGTTGTCAATCGGAGATTCGTAAAGTTGTAGATACCCAAACCAGATAAACTGTCTATCCGTTGCCCGTGCAAAAGTCTTGTATGTAGATGTCGTTGAAAGAAGAAAGTTAAAAAGGCGTTAATGGATTATATGTCAAAGGAAGCTGGGGTAACGTTGACTACTATAACGTTACGTAGCTTGTCTCAGCCCAGCCACCCAAGGCTACATGCAATAATTATGGAAACGGCTGAGCACTTGGGTACGAGGAGAAAAAAGAGTGGCGCTGTTGGGGCCTCCACTAATCGTAGAGAAAGACATGCATTAGTGGAGCCTCACTAGCCTTTGACAAGACGTCCGGTCCTTCCAAGTTGCCTGCACAGCCTACAAAGGCCGCGAGTGCGAAGCGGTTTCATGCGTCGTCAGCGCCGGGCCATTCGAAAGGGCGCTGACGCTCAAACGCCACCGAAACGAACGCTGCTGCATACTGACCGGTGACTGAGATTCTTGCCATCTTCCCACATGCGGCTTTCTCAACTCGGAAAGCGGAATATTGCCGTTCAGTGAAAACAAAAAAAAGGCTAAAATATCCAAGAGCATTACGTGGCGCAAGGCTGGGAGTGATGTCAAAGACAATGGAGGATAATGGCAGCCATCTATTGTTGGAGTGGCGCGCGCTACAGTGCCGAGTGCCGTGACTCGTGCGTTCGGCAACCTTGTCTCCCGGCACCGTCGATCTTCCGTCCTGTCACCCTGTCCCCGTTGCCGTGATGGACACTGATACTTAGGGTTCCGCATCGCAACTTTAATTCAAGGTAGTAGATCTACCGACGACAGTAGCGAAGCTTGTATCATGGAATCGCGCGAGGCCATTCCAGCTGTCCGTCGTCCAGGCCTATCTCTAAGCCTCCGCCACGTATGAGTAGGCTGGAAAAACAATCGTTGTCCTACCAACCTCTTAGCAACGGATCGTCAATATTATTCAGCCTCCATCTCCACAATATTCTCCAGTTTCCACGCGTCCTTATCCTCCACAGTCCAATCGCCCGCTGCCTCAAGGCGACCTCGTAACGTCACCACAACCACCGCCTTCAGCCATTTGTATTGTAGAGTACAGCACTCGCCATGGTGACCCTCCGCGCGCCGTCTTCGCTCACCGCGACCGAACCCTCTGCTTCAATCTCACCGCCCCAGTTGTCGTGGCTGTCAGGCTCGTGGAATGTAACGCACTCCACGCTACCCATGTGGAAAAAGAACCGCAATGTCCGCATCACATACACGCCTGTTGCATCCAGCACACCACCGCAGATTGATGATGTGGTCACATACCAGGGTCTGAATTCGGATGCGCTCAAGACGGTGCATGGCCTCGATAAGCCCTTTGATGTGCCCAACACCGCACCGCCAGCTGGTGCAGAAGGAGGAGCAGGCGACGTTGCTAGTCTGGGGTACAACTGGCGTGGCAAGGGATGGCTGGTAATTGCGACAAGCAAATGGGAGATACTAGGTTACAGCGACGAACAAGGCACCGGCAACAGCTGGGTCGTTACCTACTTTGCCAAGACTTTGTTTACGCCTGCAGGTATAGACTTTTACTCGCGGAAGGGCAGCCTGGCGCCCCAAACAATCGACGATATCAAGGCCGCGCTCGTTGGGCTTGGGGGTGATGTTGCCAAATTGGCAGGACAAATATTCCAGGTCAGAATGGATGAAGACACAAATGCCTAGGCTCACTGTAAAGGGGAACTGAGATACACACGTTCAAGGATGGAGCTAGATACCCAGGCATAGAGCCTCTACCCGAAACTTTACTAATATAATCCATCCATCTACATCAAACCACTTCAGAGGAACCTGCCCAAAGACTTGAAATTTATGGTAAAACACATTGAAACATGACAATCCTTCTGCCGCGGCTTTGAAAAAAATCTCGACCCCCGATTGCCTCGTCGCAACTGCCCCCTCCCTTAGTCAAGCAGGTTCATACAGGGAGTTTGACTGGCACTCTGTGCTGCAATATCCGCATAATTGTCTCTCAGCTGACCCTGGCCTGGTTGAATCTGCGGCTCAGCATCAAGGTCAATGAGCAAGTCGGTGTCTATCTCAACACTTTCTGCCTTAACTGGTGAAGTTGAGATGAGTCGGTTGCCAACAGACGGCCGCATAGGCTTTGGAGCAGATGCGTGAATACGCTCAAGGTACTCAGCCTCTTCTTGCTTCATCTCCGCCTGGATTCTCATGTCGTCCTCTTCAACACCACCGCCGTGTGCGTAAGCATCCCATTGCTCCGTGGTACCTTGTGGCAGCTGGGTCATTCCCGAACGCGAGGTGGAGGAAGCCATTCCGTGATTAGAATTTCTAGGAACATCAAGTTTGGTTTCGAGGCTCAAGTTCTGCATATTGGAGCGCGGTCCGCTAATGGAAGCAGCTCCTCTCGGTCCCACTTTCAAGACAGGCTTGATACCATCGCTTCGACGTTCGCACATGTGGCACCTGCATGGATCGCAACACTCGGCTGTAGAACGTTAGTAAAGGTGTCTTACATGCACTCGGAAAAGGCTTAAACGTACCAACGCAGGGATGACCACATCTCTCTACACGCCTAGCACACTTTTGTGTACAATTGATCCTGTCGTGCTCGAAGCTGGCAGAGGTTAGTTTGGATATTAGAGATATAGCAGAAAGGACACCTACGGGTGGCATGTGTACGGACAACGGTGTCCACAAGGCAATACCCCGTCACATTTGACGTCGCAACCGCCCTTGATGAGTTCAAAGTCACCAGGGTCTTCACACCACATCTTACGCCCGTGGTTGCTGCATACAAGGGGGAGATGGTACCCCACTCGTCGCTCCTGGCCAGCCTTGACCTTTGGCTTCTTGTTCTTGAACATGATTTCGACCACGCTGCCCCATATACTGCTCTGACTAGCCAGAAGCTCGGCATTCCCGAAGATGTAAAATCCACGTTTTGCTCGAGACAATGCCACGCATGCGCGATTCTCAGAGCTGAGAAAGCCGATGGAGTTCTTCTTGTTAGAGCGAACTAGGGAGAGTAGTACAATGTCATTCTCCTCGCCTTGGTAGCTGTCGACAGTGACGACTTGGATGCCCCGATAAACTCCCAAGTTTGGGTGGTTTCTTATACGTTGAGTTATCTGCCTTCTTTGGCCGTTGTAGAACGTCAAGATTGTGGTCTTGGTGGCATCAACACCATTGAGAATCAAGTAATCGAGAAATCGAACCACCATATCCGCTTCCCATGCATTGAATGAAGACATATAGGCGTCACGGTCCTCTGGCCATGCGTGACAGAAGAAGAAACTGTTGTTTCCGCCCATTCCTTCAACTGGTGGACGATGGCCAGTGTTTTCCACATTTGGGTGGTCTTTCAGCTTGTCTTCGTAGATTGGACATAAGAGACGTCGTATTTCTGGTATCATGCGACGCTGGCGCGTCAAAGTGTCGAATGCAACATTGTTCCGAACCAGGCGCTCGAAAAGCGACAAGTTTAAAAAGTATGGCTCGTCTTCAAAGGCCCGTACCTGAGTGTGAGGACGCAGCTGCTGGTGATCGCCGACCAAGATTAAGTGCTCGAGGCTAGGTAAGCAGGCTGCAGTCACAGGCGCTTCAAGGGTCTCGGCCGCCTCTTCTACGATACACAAGCGCGGATGAAGGCTGGATAGGAGAGCCCGGTACTTTGCGAGACCTGTAGTTGTACATCCAATAATACGTGCACCGCGCAGGATACGTGCGTTCTCTTCGAACACTCCGATCTTGCGTTGTACAACATTGTCATGGTAGGTCTTTGCAATCTTGCGAATTTCCGTTGTAATTATCCGCTTCACTTCCCGCTTGAAAAAGTTGTAGATCGCACCTCGGTCAGCCGTACGGATCTTGTAAAGGTCATCCGTCTTGCGCAAGATGTGCCGAATGTCAGTATTACTCAAAGAGGTACCAGTACCCTTGAAGTTGTCGCTGATTTCAATGACAGGTCCACGAAGAGCTTCGATATCGTCATCATCCTGTGCTACCGCTTCTGCCTCAAGTTCCTGCAATTGCTCAATTTCAAAATCCTCTTCTTCATAGCCCCATTCAAGATCCTCAGGGAGAGTTGGTCTATCGCATGGCGCAAGACATTTGCCAAGCCATTGTTCCATGAGAATGCCTGGATGGTTGGAGGGCGAGATCCCTATAGCATCTTGTGAGTCCAACTCCAGCGATTCGGCCTGCTTCTGAGTGATCAGCTCAAACTTCAAGAGTAAATTGTGATCAAGCGGTTCTTTGTTGGCTTCAATAGGAGCGAGCAATTTCTGGCATTCGGTTGCTAAACTTCTGATCTTGCCGGATGCTTTCTTCTTGATACCGCTACCAGTCCCTTTTTGCTGTGGTGTCCTTGATTTGACTTCGAACAGTGTCTGCTTTTTTATATCGTTGTCCTTGCTCCTTCCTCCTAGCCGTATGTAATTTGGTTCGAATATGGATGTGTGTCGTAATAGTTGGTCGAGAGCGTGATTCGTCTGCGCGGTCACGATGATAGGTGCGTCTTCCTTGCGCAAATTATCGCGAGCGATTTGCAGAGCGATAACGGATACAAACGTCTTCCCTGTACCAGGAGGACCTTGTACGATAGCCAACTCGCTTGTGAGCATACGCTTCAGTGCTCTGTTCTGCGATTCGTCAAGGGAATGTGAAGACGTTGTGGGCCACTTCTCGAGCACATTGATATTCTCATAGTCTTCAGCATCCTCCATGCTGGCAAGACTGCTAAGATTCGTATATGGGTTGTGCTGGACGTAAGCTGGAGGGTCTACCTCCTTCTGAGCGTCCACAAGGTATTTTGATAACATGAATGGCTCCCTCATCAGTTGTTGCAAAGCCAACAGCGTATGCCTATTTGCCTCGAAGAAGCTGGCTCTAGACTCTACCATGATCCATTTGCGCATGGGGTCAATCTCTTGATCTTCGGGTCGAGCAAAGAACAAGTCGATCGCGGGCGGGTTTTGTTCCAATGCACTGATGGGACGCGCTGCGACAATGGCAAGAACACACTGTGTCTGGAAGGCATCATCTGTGGGAGACAATGCGACAAGTGATCCAGTGATGAGCCGCTTCGACTGGCCCCATCTATAGTATGTTAGCTGTGAATACACTCTGGTCGTTCCGTAACTCACCTGACATGCTTCTTGGCCCGTCCAAGTGAGAATGCAACTCTTGTCGCCAGTCCTCTGGGAGAGAATACAAGCGACTTGATGTAGACAGAGTCATAGATGCCGATGCTTTGGTTCTGATACTCTGCTTCGTCTTTAAAAGGCTCGGCGCGGACCTCATCAATAGCCTCCCGCAGAGGACGAATAGTGTCTTCGCGCAGGAGCTCATACAAGGTTCTTAAGTAGTCTTCTTTGTCATAGTATGCACCCTCTACCTTGTGTGGGCGAACGTGGTCGTCTAGTTCGATGAGTGATTCGCTGTTGGTGAAGCCGGACGTGTCACGTAGGACTTCCGAAGAGTTTGGAATCTCCGGTTGCTGAAGCCATGCCCCACCGACAACTGGCCTCTTAGCGCGCTGGAAATACCCGTAAATCTCGTTGTTGTTACGGGTTGTGCCAGATATGGGAATGTTCTCGTCGAGTAGAGAACTCTCTGGGAGGGAGTGAGAGTCCATCTCCGCTTCTAACATATGATCAGCACGGGTTCTCCTAATTGTAAGATGCTGAGAATCTAGGTGGCTCTTGGGTTAGAAGTAGGGGGAATACAACAACTGGCATGCGTTTTTGGGGTTGTTTGAAAGAGAACGAACTCACCACTCACTGCCATTTCGCCCAGGCTTGCATAGACATTGCCAGAATTTATGTTGGGACCTCTGCAAGAAGCCGTGCTGCGACTTCCCGAGTGGCTGACACGGTTTGACCTTTTCCCAGAGCGGCGTACCATGTTTGTCTAGCAGCTGTCTGGCTGTATGGACAAGCCAAGGACTTTGTTGAACAAGACGGCGATACACGGCAGTTGAAGCTGTTTGGGGTTGATGATGCTCACGCTCACTGCCTCTGGAATTTAAGATACAGCTGTGGAGTGTTGTTTGCCATGACCTTGTCCGCAGACTAGGAAGGCGCAGCGTCGTCGCAGCAAACAGAACACGTCACGTGATATGCGAGACATATGAGACGTGCGAGTGCAATAGCTGTACGAAGCATGGGGCGGCTGATTTTGTGGAAATTTTGGGCTACAAACACGATGAAGTAGAAATACGCCGCATAGTCAGACTTCTTCAAAATCAGTGTCATAAACAAGATGGGTGATAGCAAGGGAGTTGACAAGCGGCGTGAAGGGACAAACAAAACGGAGTTCAGTACACTTTGGTGACTACTAGAAAACTCTGTTACTAAAAGCAGTTGCCCGTTTCTTACTTGAACAGTCTCTTGCTTCAACACACTGGGGGCTGTTGAAAAGAAGATTAATGGGAGCATAGATGACTTAACGTTCAGGTTCTCAGGTCCTGAAGGACCATCTTCGGACGATGAGTATTGCTCTGGAAGGCAAACAGGCACAGACATGCGGATGGCTACAGGATTGACCAAAGGGTGCAAGCTGTACATGTCAAGCATATTGGCGAATGTTTGTATATGACCACCCCCATCTCAGTTGAATGTGGAGCATCACAGGCAATGAGACGCGGATTGCAGTGCTGCGTGTAAAAGATTTCTGGTGTCAGCGACGATGGGTTCTGGGTCTGGATGCATGGCATGAGTGGGCTGATATGTATTTGGCTGATTTGATTAGCAAACACTAGCAGACGGCAGTGGTGCGAACACCTGGATTGCATCTTTGGCGCAGCACCGTATGGGGATGGTTGCTTGTCGCTAGACGCATTTCTGGCTGCGGGAAGCGGGTCGTGCTCTAGAAACTTCCTGCCTGTGCCATTCAAACCCTGGATGCCATGACCGACACATGCAGCAATAGAAATTATGTATGTTTGCATTACAGTATACTAGACCTGGCTTTTCTGGTAGACAGGATAACAAGCAAGTAACTTGTTCAAAACCAGCCTGGACGGCGCAACAGCAGTCCGAGGAGAATTCGTGTCCGCATAACGTCATCCCGCATACAATGCCGGACAGGACAGGGGCCAGGGCAAAGCCAAGTACACATGTCAGCACGTTAGTTGGGTCGGGGCAATATCAACGAGCGATTAATACCATGCATATGGCTTGGTGTAGAATGCGCACGTCTACAGTAGAATGGTAGAGAAGGTCCTTGCAGCTGGGCCCTTGACGTCGAGACCAGGAAATGCTCGACGCGGGACATGCGGGTCGAGGCGGAGATGCCGTCGCACGCTCGCTGTTGGGCATGAAGATCTCACCGGGCGGAGGATTCAGCGAGGGCAGAGAGGGGCGAGGCCTGGGGCATGTCGATCGGGCCGCTTCAAGTTGGGCCTGGGTTTGGATCGAGGTGGTGTTCCTGGGGCCGTCGTTCGACATCAGGTAGCGACTGGGGGCAGCGGCTCCAGGTGCCTGACATGTGTCCGGACGTGTGGGACATGGCTGGTTCGGTGTAGTGCGAACGCGCGGTACCGACTCGAAGTAGTGGCAGCTTTTCTTTGCATTTGTGCTTGTGCTGGCTGGGCTGGCTGGGCTGAGCGTGACTGACGACACCTGACAGGCCCCGTCTCAGACAGCACGGCGTGCACTCAGCACCACGGCTGCAAAATCTCTTCTGCTCACCCTCACCCTTAACCTCGCCGGCGAGGCCCTTCCAGCCGGCAGTGCACATGGCGGGCGGGCTGGTGCGAGCTGGGCCAAAAGGGCAGCGTCTGCCGCTACGATTGGGCACAAAGGGCAGGATGCATCCTGGTGATCAGGGAGGGTGGTTTGGCGTAGCGTGGAGGTTACGTCATGGGCATTTTGAGCGCGCGCCCGACCTTGGTCTTGTTACCCACCCCACTACATGCATGCCCACCACGCACTCCAACTGGGCCGGCCTTCTCGATAACGTCAGGCCACGGCACAGCCTATTCTTCATTACCTTGCCCGCCCTCTTCTTTTCTTCCCACCCGCCCCAGTCTCCTTTTCCCAGCTCATCCGCACTCAGTCGCGCGTGAGAAAGAGAGAGAGAGAGCGTGGCTCACCACCCCGCCATAGCCACACTCAACACTCACCACCACTGCTATTACTTTGACTACTTACAACCCCCCCCCCTTCTATATTCCTCCCCTGAAGTCGCTTGCTTGCTGCTCACCGGCGCAATGTCGCGACGCTACCCCACCGCAGAGCTCTATGAAGAGCGAGAGCGCGACTTCTACCGCAACGGCAACCGCAGTGACCGCAACTATGATGAGCTCGACTTCGAGTTGCGCCGCAGTGGTGTAGGCGGCGATCCCCGCCGCAGCATGCCTGATTTCCTGCGCGAAGACTACAATCGCCCAACCGCTGGTCCGCTGGTAATGCGAGGCCGTGACGACGACAGCTTCTCCAGGTCCGGACCCCGCAGTGCTCGTGGTTTTGACGATGACGTACGCTCGACTCGGAGCCGTCCCCCACCTCCAGCCTCGTCAGTGCGCGAGGTTGAGCGCGACGACATCACAATCCGACGCCGCGAGCAGTCGCGCGGACCCCCCGAGCGTGATGATATCGTCTTCCGCCGTGGTGATGGGCCCCCGGTCCGATCCGTCAGCCGACCTGCCCCACGTCAGGTGGATGATGACGAAGTGCGTTTCCGAGGCCGTACTAACGACGACATCGACATCCGCGCTTCTCGCAGCGAGATCAGTCGCCATGGCCGCGACGTGTCTGCTGAGCGAGGCTCTATCCGCTTCCAGGAAAAAGATGGCAACTTTGAGATTCGCGCAAACCGCCGAGAATTCAGCCGTGATGGTAGAGACACCAGCAGAGAACGGAGTTCCTTGACAATCCGGGGCCGCGAAAGGAGTCTTCCACCTCCAGCACGCAACCGCGGCGAGCTGGTTGCTCGGGAGCGCGAGGAGTTTGTCATCCGTCGCCCCCGCGCAGAATCCCCGCCCCAGAACAACCGCGAAGTCATAAGAGACGAGATCATCATCAGACGCAAAGAAGAGCGCGCTCCTACCCCCTCGCCTTCTCCATCTCCGCCTCCCCCACCTCCGCCGCCAGCTCCAGAACCAGAAATCCGCCCTCCCATCATTCAGGAGATCATCACCCACCACAGGCACATTGACCACGGTAAGTTGTGCACCTGCAAGATCCAGGTTGGTACTGACTGTTTTGTAGGTGTCGTCAGAGCACGCTCCCCAACACCCCCTCCACCACCGGCGCCTCCGTCTCCTCCCCCACCACTAAACGAGACACTCGAGATCGAGATCAACCGCAGAGAGTATGTATGCCATCTGGATACCACACACATCTACTAACATACGTCTAGAAGCCACAGCCGTGGGCGCGGAAGGAGCGCCTTCGAGGAGCTTGACATTGACATCAACCTTAATCATCAGCATGTATGTCATTCAGATTCTTGTATCGGCTAAGAGCACACCACTGACTGTGACAACCAGGGCGCCGTCAAGCAACGCAAGAAGGACATGTGGACCGAAATCACCAAGGATTTGGTCATCAGGGAGGCCATCGACTCGATGGGCTACGCGTGCGAGGAAACAGATGACTTCTTCTATGTGATGGAGTATCTCAGATACGTAAGTTGTAGAATAAGTAGAAGAGGTGATAAGTTGCTAATGCCACACAGGAGGATGTGCTGCACCTGGTAGAGATCTCGGATGAAATTCGCCGCAAGCGCAAGAGCCGCATCCGGGAGATTGAAATTGAGCGCAAATCTATCCACAACTCTAGGCCGACGTCGGGCTACGACGAGCGGTACTACGAAACTGATTTACACTTTGACAGCCGCCGCAGTCGATATCACTAGAATGTGGGTGTGAGGGCAGCTATTTGCATGATTTTCTTTGCTTGCCGGATCTGCGGGTTGAAGACTACTAGTCTTAAGCCAGTATTTGGGTCCACGACGATGCAGTCCACTTGTCTCGGCGAGTGGACTGCTCACTCGATCAAGGCGTTGTTGCAATGTCTCTGGGTTGCCGACACATGGCCTGGACGCTCCAGCACGCTTTGGTGGGAAAAGTCTCACTGTGACGCGGAACGACTTACAAGATTTCTACAGTCTGCAACGAGGATATAGCCTGTATGGACTAATGACTTGATGATTATGACGAGCATACCCGGGGTGAAGAAGGAAGAGAGGTTTCGTGTTTTCTTTGGGACTACGATGATGATGAAGATGGGGTTTCAATTATGGCGCGGAGCACTAGGGTCTATGAGCATGGATGAATGAATCGGGTACGGAGGTACATAATTCTATTTCTGCTTTGAATGAATTCACGACTTGTTGGTGTTAGCATGTATGTAAAGCTGTGTGCAGTGTTGTGTGAAGGTACTATGAATAGAAGCCCATTATTGCCAACTTGGTGGGAATGTGGGGGTCAGGTTATTTGGCGGGCGGCTTGCTTTTTTGGTGGAGGGGCAGTGGCAGTGCTGGATGCAGCGAGCGGCAAGGGGCTGGCGCGCACGATCAGACCACAGGTTCATTGAACAAAAAGGCCGTGGCTTGTCTGTCGCAAGGCCATCAACCCGAGTGGCTAGTATTCCACTCGCGGCCACTGCACCTCTATTCGTCGTCGCAATCCATGCATCATCATGCCGCCTCGCGGTGCTACTAAAAATATACACGCGTATCATTGTCTTGTCCTGTCCTGTCTCTTCCCTAACACCCAGGCCCAAAGGCAACCAACCAGCCAGTCGCATGAAGCCGCCCCCGCCCCTTTGCTTCATCCCATCCTACGGGCGCTTCGCACCACAGCAACAAAGCAGCAAGCAACATGGTACTGCATTGCCCACTTTTTTTGTGAGAAGAAATCTCAAGGCACACACACACACACATACAACCAATGCCCAGCGTAATCTGCCTACTTACCCGTTACCCACTGCCCTTAAGCGCCCGCGCTCAACCCCGACTTATCCGCCCGTCCACCCAATACAAGGCTGTAAACGCCCTCGTTTGACACCGTGCAGGCATGCTGACTAGGCTGGGGGGAGGGTCTTGTTTAACTCTACAGTGCTAACGCCGTGCATTCGTTGGCCATGCGTGCATTGCAACTGGCTCTGGACCCGCGTTTCAGGGTGCGAGAAAGTGTGTGTGCTGGATGTTGTTGTTGGCCCCCCCGGGAATTGAACCATGTGGGTTCGGAAGATGAATTGTCTTGTTTGGTTCCGCCGTGCGTGCGTGCATGCGTGTGTGTGTAAGTAAGTATGTGGTGGTACCTCGCGTACATATCTCTCTCTCCTCTCTCTTGTATGCCCTTTGTGTAAGGTTATTCGTGTATCCCGCCGCCCGCCACCCCCTCTTCTGCTGCCTCTTTTCTTTCCTTTTCCGAACTTTGATATTGATGTGGTGGTGGCTTGATTGAGAGATAACTACTACTACTACGTTTATTTTTTCTAAAGTTTACATCGCACGACGACGGCGAAGTCATTCCTCCTCTCCTCCTCTCATCCTCCTTTTTATTGCAGACGCCGGACGGACGGAGCGAAAGCGAAGCTGACGTCTCTTGCACAAGTCGATTTTTTTTGCTTTTTTTCTGTCAATACGAAGCCTAGTTCTTTATTTGGGCAGGACCTCCTCGTTTCGTTCTCCACCACTTGCTTCTGACGGGATATTATCTTGATTTTTTTCCTTCTTTTCTGGTTTTTGCCTTCATTCTCAGCTCTTCGTGCGCCAATTACGTCCTTCTTACCTCCTGCCTGGTTCCTGGGATCACTCGAATTTTCTTTTCCTTAGGCATATCTTTTACGCGCGCACGCCCCTGGTTCTTGCAAGAAGTATATCTTTTTTGTCGCACGTTACTCTGGGTTGCGGGCGCTATGATGGGTTCGCGACGAGAGATGATGGGTTCGCGACGAGAGATGATGGGTGTGGTACTTGCGCTGCTAGCATGTAAGTATTTAGTCTCTACTCTAGTCGACATGTGTAATATCATATTACTAGAGGAATGGGGTGACGTATTGGATCTTACCAATGGGTTTACTGACATGTTTGTATAGTCTTCTTGCCAATTGTAACGGCGCAAAGCACGACTCCCAACCTCACTGCAGCATCCACTTTTTACTTTGACCGCACAGAAACCCAGTTTTCAGTCAATATTGCGGACGACTCTGACGATATCTTCATCTATTTCGCCAGCCCAGCGTATTCGTGGGTCGGCGTTGGGTTTGGTCCCAAGATGCAAGGGAGTCTGATGTTCATCATGTATCCCAACAGCAAGGGCGACAGTACGTTTTCTCTTCATCTGCCTGGACCCTCAAGCTTTCAATCCCAGAGAAATATAACAAGCCGTACTAACCCCAAACCAGACGTCACTGTCTCCCCACGCATCGGCTCCTCAGGCGCAGAACCTACTTTCAACTCTTCAATTGACCTCTCCATCCTACCCGGCACCACTATCAACGACTCGATGCTCATCCTGAAGGCACGCTGCGGCAACTGCCGCGACTACATGAACACGAAAGCAGAGTCTCAACCTATGATTTACGCGTTCGGTAACGGCAAGAATCTCATGTCCAACTCGCGATCAGCAAACCTCGCGCGCCATTTTGGCTATGGCTCCTTCACTATGAACCTGCGCGCTGCCAATGGTCCTGGAGGAGTACCTGCAAAAAGCAACGCACGAAACGGCGTCGAGATGCAAGGAGAAATGACCCGCGACCACGACCGCGCGAACCTTGCTCACGCCATCATGGGCTGCCTTGCACTCTTTATCCTCTGGCCATTGAACTTGATTGCTGTAGCGGTATTCAAGAACATCAAGATCCACGTGATGTTCAGCGTAATCATTCTCGTATTCCTGATTGTCAGCTTTGCTCTGGGCGGGGTTGTCAGCGGACAATACAACCGCGTAAGTCTCTCTACCTGTGAGTATTCAAATGTAGTACACAAGTATACTAACCACCACCAGTCCAAAGCCTTCAACACCCCCCACCAAATCTTCGCCTTGATCGCCATCCTCCCCTTACTCTTAATGTCGCTTCTCCCTGCATTCAACCACATCAACGCCCGCCTCCGCAGCCTCCACACCCCCCTCGCCTCCACCTCGTTCGTGCTGCTCGTCCTCACCGGCGGCCTGGGCCTACAGCTCTCCTCGCAAACCCGCCCCATCATCCTCGTCTACACATCCCTCTCCCTCGGCATCTTCATGTTCCTGATCCTTATGCACACCTGCATTCACAGGCGGGGCTCCGCGTACGCGCGCGCGCTGACCCGCGGGTCCAACGACGACGCTATCATGCTCGCCAAAATGGACGAGTGCAGGAGTATTCCCAGCGCAGGTGGGTTTGGAAACCAGCCCCCGCCGCCGTATCCGCCGCCATATGGTAATGCGCACGTGAATGGTGCACAGCATCAGAGGAATGGGAGTCGCTCCATGTATGGGGGCGGCACGATGCCCGGACCCCAGTATCTGCTTAATATGCATCCTGGGGTGCCGGTGCAGGTTAGTCGGATGTGAGAAGGGGTTTGTGGGAGAATTTAGGGTCGAGGAAGAGACAGATTTACAATGATGATGATGATGATGATGATGATGATGTGATTTTTTTTGGTTTGCATTGCGAGGCTGGCATAGCATGGGGGGAGTTGCTTGTATGGTTCAATCACCCTCGTTTTTGATCTTTTTATTTTCTAGGTTGAAGCGGCTTTTGTTGTTGTTTTTACGAGCGAAAGATACCATGGTGTGTTTGTTGGGCGAGTTTGAATGTACATGTATATGATATTGGTTTCTACAAAATAGCATGGATTGGGTCAATGTGTGAGGGTTTTGTAGAGTAAATATACCTGTGGGTTTTCTTGTCCACTGAATCATATTTGATGATTTTCAAACAATGGAATCGATAGTGGCAGAATGCGCAATGTCGATCAAAAAGACTTGAATGGGAATCATACGGTGCTTTTTCAAAGTACAAGAGGTGTCGGGTTTTGGTTGCGTACTTATCATACAAGCACATGACCAAATCCTCCAAAGCCGATGCATACCTGCATCGATACCACACTGTTAATCTCTTACACACCTTCCCTTCCTCCATCGCTACTTTGCCCCAAGTCCCCTCTACACAACGCCCCGGCTCTGCGCCAACAAGCCCGACAACCAGGTCGCTGCATCACGATGCCCCATATCGCCGAAACGCTCCGTTTGACGGAAGACAATACCCCACCGCATAATTATAACCAAAAAATCACACTTTACTCGCAACCAAACAACAGGGTTTTGTAAATCTCAGGAACCACTGATTTGCAAAGCAACATGGCTGGTGTGTTGCGTTGTTCGCCTAATCAAGCAAAAACAGTCTCACGGGTAGGGGAAAAACAAAAAATGGATACAGTTGCCCAAGCCCCACAGTGAGTATTTCTGAGTGTGTTTCAATACGATAATCCGGCAAACAAGTCTGTTAATAGCCACAGCCTTAGCTTGGCAGGTTTTGCAGTGTTAAACGGCCGTTTGTTCGCGCGTCGGTCCGACGGATGCGTTTAAGCTTTGAGAGAGAGAAGCTGACTACCTAAGTATATGTGGTGGGCGACGAGGTGAATATGTTCGGCGGCAGAGATACGGGTGTCAGCTTCACAGGACATTGTACCGATTGGCGTAGGTGCATTGCCGGTACGGTTGTACACAGCGCCACGAGATGAGGGTACACGAGGCCATGACCGGAGAGCTGCGGATGTTCAAAGTCGAGAGATGGAATTGTTTGTGCTTGAATGGGTTACATGTGCAGCTGTTGAGCGGATCTCGATATCAACGTGTACAAAAAAGCAGTGACTTGCTTGCTTCTGGTGTTGTGCATTTGCCACATGTACCGCTCCGGGATGCGATGATCCCCGCTTCCGTTAGCGCATCGGGTTGGGGAGAGCCTGTGGCGCTGGACCGGGCTGGGCTGGGCATGAGGCCTTCCGTTCGCCGTGGAACGTCCGAAAACAAGACGACGGCGTAGCAAAACTGCCCCACGTATAGCTCTCCAAGGCGTGCAAATTGCGCAAAGATGCCAGAGTAAGAGGTGCTGCTTTGAATATATTGGCATGTTCAGGCACGTCGATAGGTGTTTCGCTGGCTGCTTCATCAGGTGTTTCACGAAGGGTGCGACACTCTGACAAGAGGTGGTCAGGGTCCATTGGTGTCGCACGTGACGATGACGCGGCGGATTGTCCTAAGGTTGCGCCATCTGAGGCACCGCCTTCCTCTGACCCCGAACTCCTTATTACCTTCAATTCTGCACCATCTTTCACTCTCTTGTCATTTGAATCTTGTCACCAATCAATCTCTACAATGTCTCCTAGCAAACTGGGCGTCTTTGCGAACTTGGCGCTGGCCGCCAGCGCCGTCCTCATCCCATCAACCATGAACTTGGACGAAGGCCACGCTTTGGAAGCGTTTGCGGTTAACCCCTTGCAGCGATCTGTTGCGCTTGAATGCCCAGGATGCGCTCTTGCAACTCTGGACGGGGATTCACTCAAGTGGAAGGAAGGCGCAGGCAACACATTCGTACGTTGTGCAACCTAGACACCAAAACGTGGCATACTAACCTTTGACCAGCGCCTAGACTTTGACGTCGGACCCCAGGATGAGGCTCTCAATCTTGACAGCGCGCAAATCTTTCCTCCTTCGGTTGGCATAGCCTTTGCGACATACCATCTTACCCAAATGGACCCTTCTTCGGATGACGGCCTGCGTCTACGCATTACAGGCTTTGAGTTTGACTTTAATGGCGCCGAGACCATTTCGGAAGAGGGTACTGAGCTTCTTCCGATGACGCTCAAGATTACATCAGTTGAAGACATGCCTATGGATCCTCCTGTGCTACAAATCAACATGCTAAAGAATGCCGAGGGCCGTCTTATGATTGCGTCGTTTAACAAGGCTGAGCCTAGCAGGGCTGGGCCTTCGGAGCAGGAATGCAACCGATGGCCTATGTACTGCAAGTGGAAGGGCATTATGGCCGACCGCCTCGAACAGCTCAAGCACATGGGTAAGCCCAAGCCTGGGTGCCACATGCGCATGCGCCCCCACAACCCCATGGAACATGAGACGATTGAGGGCAAGCCGCCACACCGCTTCCACCCCGGCAAGCCTCATGGTGAGGATCAACACCATCACGCACACCACCACCGCATTGCCATGTTTGCTCGTCGTGCCTTCTTCACCATTTTCGTTCCTATTCTCATTGGCGTGTTTGCTGGTACCTTGACATACCTAGTTGGTATGGCGCTAGGATGCCTGATTGCCATGACGGTTGCCAAGTTCCGTGGCCAGAGGTACCAGGCCATTGCTTTGCGTGAGGAGGATGTCGAGGACTTTGAAGATGGTGATGTTGAAGAGGGCCTGAAGATGGGAGAGCAGGATGAGAAGGAGGAATTTGCTGAGCTTCCAGCATACGATGCCCCTCCGGTGTATGATGAGGCTGCGGACAAGACTGTCAACGAGACAAAGTAAAATAGTCGGAAGGATGGACTGATATCACAGAATGGACGTGACGCGTTGATGTTGATGGACAGACTGCGACAGTGTTTTCGTTTGCTGATTTAACAGATTGGTAGAATAGCTAGAATGTGAAATGAGTCCCTTTGTCTTGAATCAGCGAACTTTTGAATCATGTGAAGTTGAGTTGAGTTGAGTGGTATGATGTTCAAATGCACGGTTTCTTGATCTTCCGCCTCAAGGGAACAGTGAAGAGTAGTCCGGTACAAAAGTCAGCTGGGCCATGCTACTACGTCACACTGGTTACGCGTAGTTGGGTTGGGTGAAGGCGCAGATCCGAGAGAGGGCGTGTCGTGCAAGTCACAGTCTGCCATTTCTGGAGACTGAAAACGGCGATATGGCAAGAAATCCAGATATTTATTGCGTCCAGAACCTTCATGTATGATTTTCAGGCGCTGCAGTGGTCTCTGGCGGGGCGCACACGCGATGCAGCAGCGGGGTGTTGGAGGAGTAAGGTGGACGCGTTGAGAATGAAGTTGGCGCACGGACCGCGCGCCCCCAGCCAGCAGTCGCAACTAGGAGGCGGGTGCGCCTGCCAGGTCAGGGCGCAATTCGAAGTGCTGCTTTCCAGGCCTTTTGATTTTGGTCGCAAATTGTGAGGGCGGCAACTCAGTCGCTTTTTGCTTCCATGTCCCCTCCTAACCCGGTTTAGCGCGGCCGCCTTTTGCGTGTGTGATCTCGAGGCAGCCGCCGCGCCCGTCCCTCGTCTATATAACCAGCCCGCCCACGCTCGCTGCACTCCTCTTCTTCCTCCCTTTTCGCATCCCCCCCAGCTTTTCCCATCTCCATCCACCAACCCCGCCCCATTCGCGTCTACTACCACAACCCATCACCTTCCAACTTACCAACCCTCTATCAACATGACTGGACGTAAGTACATTGATATCTCCCTTGTTTTTGCTACCCTCATCGCCTTTCGTGCGCGTTGCATCGTTGGTGTTGCATCGCTGCCTGCGCCTGGCCATGAGGCGCGCTTGGTGTTGAGGCTCAACGCGTCGCCCCACTATTGCGCCGCGCCTATCACCACCCACACACGCTCTACACATACAGTGTGCTAACATCTTTCCTCAGGCGGCAAAGGTGGCAAGGGCCTCGGCAAGGGCGGTGCCAAGCGTCACCGAAAGATTCTTCGTGACAACATCCAGGGTATCACCAAGCCCGCCATCCGTCGTCTCGCTCGTCGTGGTGGTGTCAAGCGTATTTCTGCCAGTAAGCATCACCCGCATCACTCTCTCACCGACCTCTCTCTAACATGCCCCCAGTGATCTATGAAGAGACCCGTGGTGTCCTCAAGACTTTCCTCGAGAGCGTCATCCGTGATGCCGTCACATACACTGAGCACGCCAAGCGCAAGACCGTCACCTCGCTCGACGTTGTCTACGCTCTTAAGCGCCAGGGCCGTACCCTCTACGGTTTCGGTGGTTAAATTTCTCGTCACACATTGTTTATGGATATGATCTGGTCACGGCTATTAGTCTCAACGGCGTTAAAATCATGGGTGGTATGGGAATGATCAATATATGAAGCTTCCGTCTTCATTTTGGCTAGTCAAAGCCAATGCAAACACGTTCAATGCACTCCATATCGCGAAATCGTGATGTTTCGTCTCGTCATTCAGTTACCGTGCTATGTTGCGCAGCGTCCTCCACCCAACTTGCCACGGCTTCTTCAACGGCCTTGCATATCCCCGTTACCCCAAACAGCCCACCCTCTACCCTGATACTCTCCAGACTCCACTTTTTCAGCTCTTCATTGACACTTTCGACCCCATCTTCGACGACCAAGACGTCATATCCCCTGTCGCTCGCCTCCCTCACCGTACTACTTACACATGCATCTGCCGTGACGCCACAGACCACCAGATTCTTCACACCCTTTACCCTCAGCGCAAGATCCAACTCGGTGTGCACAAAGGCACCACGGCCGGGCTTGTCGATCACCAACTCCCCCTCTACCGGCTTCAACTCGGCTATAATATCATGACCCTCCTCGCCTCTGACCAACAGCCGCCCCAGCGGCCCTCGACTCCCAATCTGCGCCCCATTGACCGCACTCCTATGCGCCTCTCTGCTGCTCACCGTCGCTAGATGACCCTCGTGTCCTTCGCGCGTGTGCACCACATGGAAGCCCGCTTTCCGGAAGGTGGATAGGAGCGAGGCCAAGCGCGGGATTAAATCGCTGAAGCGCGTGATAGAATAACCGGATGAAGCGAGGTAGCCACCTGGATGCAGAAAGTCGCGCTGCATGTCTATGAGGACCAGGGCGGTTGTGCTGGGATGGAGGGAGGATGTGTGTGGGAAGGGGTAGGGAGTGGTGCTGAGGATTTGTGTGGTCATTGTTGGAGAGATATCTTCGTATTCCGCACTCTAGAATCAGAAATTGTTGCGCTGTTGTTTTTAGCACTTTTGAACAGTTTTTGATTGAGGGCTTACGAGTACAGATTTGGATAGATCTAAATGTTTGAGATTGTGGAGTTCGCATGACTTGGAACTGCCTTGCTCCAGGCGAACCAAACGCTTACCACGCCTGTTTACCTAAACTGAAAGATTGAAGTACGGCACTTGTTGCTGCGAGGTACTGTGGGTCTGATACTTCATCCACTATTGGGGATCCGCAAGAATGGCAATGTAACATTCCTTGCATCTTCCGTCCATAAACTTTGATCAACGTCATGCCTCAACATACACACATCCCTCCATTTCCATCCCTTCCTCAAGTATGAGTACAAAAGCACAACCCCGAAATGTCTGAAGAAGAAAGAAAAAAAATAACCGCAAACACATGCCCTCGATACATCTGCCCTATCTTATCCCACTACGACCTCGCCCCACCTTGTCTACACGAACCCCGGTTTGCTCCTTCCTCCCTATCTCCACCAATCGCCACACACGCAGCTACTGCACGATAAGCCCCGTTTACAACAATCCAACCAACCAACCCCAATCCACGCATATCCCCCAATCTTTTCAATGGGGTCTCGAGATCTTTTGTTATCGGAAGGGAGTGGAGGAGAGGAGTCAATGACGCAGGGTCGGGGTAGTACCATATCTGCCTCGTTCGTATTATGGCTTATCTTGTGTTGCTCACAAGCCCCAATTGGGGGAGACTGCGAGATTTCTGTGGTTCAGGGTCGGAGATGCAGCAGGAGTTTTATAGTTATATATTCTGGGAGGTGGTGCCCTTGAATGTCTGGTTGCTGGATTAATCAGTTTCTTTCACACTTGTGATTTGATTTTACTTACTGCTTTTCTCGGGTAAGGGAGTAAGGAGTAGATATGGCGGATACGCTTGATGAGAAGAAGGTGCTGGATAGTACTGCCACCAGCGATGACGATGTGCTTGCACAGCTGGGATATACCCAGGGTGAGTATGCTTCAGATGGTGGTCTTGGGTAGTAGGCTAACGAGATGATAGAGTTGAAGCGTAGTTTCGGACTGCTGGGTATGGTTGGCTTCTCATTTAGTATCGTCACATCGTGGACTGCACTGTCTGGTGTTCTTACCATCGGCGTGGAATCGGGAGGACCGCCAGTTATGATATGGGGCTGGTTGTGTGTTTGCTTGGTTACGCTCGCAGTGGCGTATTCCATGGCTGAGATGTGTAGCGCGTAAGAAGTACATGCATCGTTTGAGGGATTTTGCTAATTTTTTTTAGATACCCTGTTGCTGGTGGCCAGTACAGTTGGGTTGCCATACTAGCCCCTTCGCGCTGGGCTAAATCAATGAGCTATCTTTGTGGATGGCAAGTGCGAATAGGGACTCGAGTTTCTGGGCTTGACTGACTTCTCCTAGGTTCATGTTAATCGGGATCATATGCATGGGTTCAGTTAACAACAACGTAGCTGCAAACTTCATACTCGGAACCGCCCAACTAAACTACGGGTTCACCATTGAACGTTGGCATACCGTCCTAGTCACGTATCTGATCACATGGATCGCAGCCACCTCAAACATCTACCTACCACATATCCTTAACAAGCTCTCCAAGGCCATTTTCATCTGGAACCTGACCTCGTTTGTCGTATGCTTCATCACCATCCTGGCCACGAACGATAAGAAACAGTCGGCAAGCTATGTATTCAGCGACTTCCAAAACTTTACCGGATGGAATGCGCCATACGCCACCTGCCTCGGCCTGCTGCAGTCGGCTTTTGGAATGTGCTGTTACGACGCACCATCGCATATGACTGAAGAGATCAAGGATGCGCGCAAGCAGGCGCCTCGCGCAATCGTCATGTCAGTATACATTGGTTTCTTTACCGGCTTCGCATGGCTCGTCGCGCTGTGTTTCTGTATTGGCGACCTCGAAGCAACGGGCAGCACGCCGACTGGAGTGCCAGTCATTGAAATCATGTTCCACTCTACAAACAGCATCGCAGGAACATCTACCCTGGCCTCAATGATAAGCGTAATCACTGTCGTATGTGCCAATTCGCTCATGGCGGAGGGATCGAGGGCTGTCTATGCGTTTGCTCGTGACAACGGTCTACCGTTTTCCAACGTGCTCAGCACTGTATCCGAGCGATCGGTTCCCGTGTACGCAGTCTTGCTCACAACCGTTGTGCAAATGACCTTCAACTCTATCTATTTTGGCACAACAACTGGGTTCAATACCATTATCGGCATTGCTACCCAAGGATTCTGTGAGTAAAAGTCTCCGTTTGGTTCAACTCTAGAAAAAAACTTGATATGCTCATGCCGTTCTCAATAGATCTATCATACCTAATGCCTCTTCTCTCCCGCATTCTGGCACACTTTACAGGCAAAAAGACACGTTTAGAAGGCCCATACTCGCTCGGAAGATGGGGCATCGTGCTCAACATCATCGGCTTCTTGTACCTCACCTTCGTATGTGTGGTTTCAAACTTGCCCACTGTTACGCCGGTGACGAGCGAGAATATGAATTACACGTCTGCTGCCACCGGCGCGGTGATGCTGCTTAGCCTGGTGTTTTGGGTCATGACGGGCAGGAAAAAGTTTACGGGGCCAGCGCATGGTGATTTGGTGGATACGAGTAGATTGGCTGCGTAGAGCATGCAGACAATGTAAAGCTGGGATGCTGAGCGGGAGATGAGCGTTTAGCGCCATGCTTGACCTTGCTCGATGCAGGTACCATGCTTGAAAAGAAAAAATGATGCAGCAAGACGGTGAAGGAAGGAAAAATGAAAAAAAAAAAGGAGGCTAGAAGCATGGTAGGGCTGCAGAATTCTCCCTTTTTAGCCAGTAGAAAAGTATATTTCCCAACAAGTTCGCCTGCGGTGTGGGAAAATAAAGTGCAGTATACTAGCGGTGAAGGGCATGGTTCCGAAGCTGACAGGTGGGATAGCAAGTAGGTTCGCAGACTATTCCCTGCAGATCTGTCGCGTACCTGAGCCTCCTTTACTAGGGTGAAAGGCGATCTCTTCACCGCACCGCACCGGGGTTGGATTCTCCCGAATACAACGGAAGACGGCTGATATTATGAATCAGCATTTGTGCAATATTGTTCAGAAATATGCTGAAACAATGAAGCGGATGGTACGGCATTATCTCACCAATTGTTCCTGATTTCCTCGCCTTGTTAGACTTGCCAGCACATTGAGCAGGGGAGTGTTCCCGCTAGTGTGGAGACTAGCGCCCGTGCTAGCGCCGGACCCGGTATCTTGGCGCATGCGACAATGCCAACAAAGAAGCTAGCCACCGCATAAAGACTTCAACGGCCAGGTTGCGGTGAGTAACCCAACTTGCGCAATGAACGAGGAATCAGATTATGATCGTATAGTAGAGCTGACGGGACAGAAGGAGGCTCTGGAGAGACATTATGCTGTGCTCAAGGATGAGTTGACAAAGGCAGAGAGCTCGCTGCGCGCCGCAAACGACGAGCTCAAGAGAAGTACAGATGCGTTGGACATTGAAAAGAACAAATCCAAAGGCCTCCATACGCTCATCAAGAAGCTCGAAAAGGACATTGATCACGAAAAAGCCGCCACCAAAGACGCTGAGGAACGCGTAGAAGAACTCTACTCCGATCTCAACCAGTCGCGCTTCGCCCACCGCTCTGCCCTCATCGACCGCGATGAGGCGCTCGCCGACCACCGGGACTTGAAGCTCCAACTCGAGGATCTGAAGGAACAATGGCAAGAGTCGGAGGAGAGGATTGCGGCCCTGGAGGCTGAGCTGGAAGAGGCACAAAAGGCCGTCTACCATGCCCAAGACATAGAGCACGACATAAGCGCACTGCGCGAGCAGATTGGCGAACAGGAGCGCACAATTATAGTCAAGGATGAGCGAATCAGTCACCTTGAAATGCAGGTGCAGAAGGAGAGACAGCGCAGCTATCACGCTGCCGACGCGATTGCCAGAGAAAACGCTGCCTCCCCCATTGACGAGGACCAGCACATTGGCGCTATTGGCGACTCGCTGGCTTCTGAGCTTTCGGCCATCGATGACGCAGAGTTTTACGAAATTGAATGGAACGACTACTCGCATATCCAGGAGACGCCTCTCACCTATGAGCCAATTGCGCCCGCCATTCAGCCGCCTTCAGCCATTCATACCCAGGAGTCTGTTAGCATCTCGCCGGTTGCTGCTCATGTATCCCGACTTACACTCGACGTGCGCGAAGCCGGTCGCCTGGAGCCTCGCGAACCCGCTCTAGATGCACCTTTTACTGTCAGCGTTAATGAGGGTACCAGCACAGAGCCCGTTGCTGCGGCAGTATCTAAACACACACTGATTGTGCGTGAGACGGCAAGCACTGGGCCCATTGAGCCCGCTCGCGCCCCTCTGTCGAGCATGTACACGAGCGAAATTGCCAGCTTTGCACCCCGAGCGCCTGCCCGCGTTGCGCCGAGCAGCTTGAAGCAGCACGAAATTGTCAGTATTGCACCACAAGAACCTGGAGTCGCGACATTAACGGTGAGTGTGAGGGAAGCTGGCAGCACGATCCCGACAGTGCGCCACATCTCCACCACGGACTGCTCGGCCCAGACCGACGTCACCCGACTCACAACCGAGTTCGCTGGCTACGCGTCTGTTAGCACGACTCCGAGCGCACCTGTCCGGGTCCGAACGGCTGAATCTCCTACTCAAACGGATTCGCCAGTGCTTCGAGACCAGCTCGTCGATTACGCGACTGTCAGCACAATTCCGATTGCAGCCGTTGAAGCCGTCGCTGCAGAACCAGTCGCATCGACGCTTTCTGGCCCTCATCTTGTTCTGGACATCGCTCCTGTTGCACCTACGGTGGTCGAGCGCAAATTCACCGCCTCCGTCACCAAAGGGACCCAAACCGTGCCCGAGAGCCCGACGGCAGGCACGCCCAACGAGTTTGTCTCTGTCGTGACGATGCATGAGGTTCACCCTGAAAACATTGTTGTACGAGTCAAGCCTAAAGTTCTCATGCTTAGCATGGGGGTACAGACGATTGCCGAGGCATCAAGTGTTGTCGATGACAAGGAAGAAGTAGAGCCACGTGCTCCACAGCCCATTGCTGCAACGGTACCCAAGACGACATTCGAAGCCGTCATGGACTGGGTGCCCACTCTGCTCAACCTCGCCCTGGTAGTCTTCTGCCTCTACCTCTACATGCGGCTCAACGGCTGGCAGCGCGCCAATGGTGTGGGTCTCGGCGGCGGGCGCGGTAACAGCGCTACCCGCAGCGGCGCATACGGCAATGGGCGGTATCTATTTGGCCTGTTCCCCGTGGGCATGAACGAGGGCGAGTCGTGGTGGAGCGAGAAGATTGCGCGTCACACGTCGTCTGCTGTGTCACGTTTTGAAGACTGGGCCGGACTCGCGTATGAACCGCTTTACTGAGCCCTTGTCGTTGAGATGCGGTGTCAGTTCCAGTCGCTCGTGTCCTTGCGGATTATCCTCGTCCTCGTTCCTCCCCATCCCCCTTTTTTTTCTTTTTTTTTTTGCGCAACGGGATACGCCAATTTCACGAACGACAACTTTTTACGAAGCGACATTGCGAGGGGATTTTTTTTTCTCTCTCCAACCAGACTACTTTTGGCCTTGGTTTTTGTTTTTATTCTTATTTTGCACGTTTTTTTCCACATAAAGCATCACACACACATCCAGAGTAAAAAGATACACTCCATTACCGCCGCCTTTGATACCCCCCTTTTTATTTTATTTTTAGTTTTTAGTTTTCACGATGAAATTGGCAAGATTACAGGAAAGATAGGCATGTGAATGGGAGATAGTTGGTAATGAAGTATGGGGGTAGTAGCAGTAGTGGTAATATCGTGGAAGGAGAGAGAAAGAGAGAGAGAGAGAGAGAGAGAGAGAGAGAGAGAGAGAGAGAAAAGGAAAATTGTATCGGGGTGAATGAATGGAAATGGAAATGGCCATGTGATATGAGAATGGGATAAATGTATATACGAGTCATGGGAATCTTTTTTCTTTATTTACGAAGATTGAATTTACGAGTCGATAGAGAGAAATTGAGTTTGGAAAGCAAAACACGAGGATCTTTTTTGATTGAGAGGTGGGAGTGGTCTTTATGAATTTTCTAGCTTGTTTGGTGACTGTGTATATTGGCTTCTTTATCTTTTGGGGTCCGTTTTATTGTATGTTTGTTTCCCATCGATTAGTAATGGAAAAGAGACGGGAATTGTCGTATATCGTTTTCCGCAACCTGAGTTGTTCTAAGCCAAGGAACAAAAAGAAAGGGACGATCAAGGGTGATTTAATTGGCAAAAAAAAAGGGCACGTCACGGGGAAAAGGGTTGATTGTTTGGGCTGCAAATGTGTCTGTGGAGATCTAGACTCGGGCAACTTAACAACCCTCATGTAACCTTATTTCATGCTTTTTGATTTTTTGAGTTTCGAAAAAGAAAGAAAAAAACGGGGAGTGAGTGGTTGGGTTGAAGTTAGTTTCCCATCCAAGACTTTGGGCGTCATACGTATACGGAATTGGATAGGAAAATGATTAAAAAAAAGGGCGTGTGTGCAGTAGTTAATCACGGGGAGGGCAAGTCCATACGAAGGTACAGTAGTATGGACATGGGGGTCACATAAGTATCACGGGAAGTCGCTCATTACCGGCAACAGACATGTTTCGGGCATTTGGTCTGGGGCAAAGAAGGGAGTAGAGTACGTCAGCCGGTCAGCAGAAATAACGAAGATGCTGCCGGCAAACGTCACTGTACGGCTGGGGCGGGCGCGTCTGCGTCCATGGAGGAGGGCCAGGGCAGTCTGGGGCACGAGGGTGGGTATGCGATCGGCCTTTTGGGCTCCAGTGTTCCGGGCTGCGGTAGATGTGAGTGTGTCCATGCTTGGGCTATGCTTTGTTTCCCATTGTGCCGATAAAAGCATGGACACATGTAGCAAGTATGTATATGTGTGTGTGTGGCGCCGATTGGGAGAAGGTAGGGCGATGGGTAGGCGATGGGGTACAGGCTGAGTACGTCTACTTATCAACGTCGGGCGGTTAGACATGTGCAGCAGAGGCAGGCGCATGTTGGTTTGCGGGTTGGGCGTATAGCAGTTATCAAGCAATCTATGTGCAGACAATTACCGTGGGACCCCGCATGCGTAGGAAGCAAAAGCTCTGGGTGGATTCGGGCCGGGGGGCGACAGGTTGATAGCATCAGAGCCCAAGTGCATGTCGAAGGTGAGTGCCGACATGGAAGCAGGAGCTCAGAGGTCCGGCCACGTGAGAGGTGGGTTGGGGGCGGTCGAGGTAGGGGAACAGAGAGGGTTTATGATTGCGGGAGTGGCTGGGGCAAGTGACTGCCAAGGGCGCAATGTGCGATGGCGCAGCCGTGGTGTGGTCTGGCCGAGTGCGTCCAAGAAGCAGCGAGTGAGGTGTAGTGGTAGTGGTAGTGGTTACAAATTGAAGATAGCGTGGTTGGGCAGGCAGGTGGGTCGATTCACAGGGTCGTCGGTTTGCTTGGGTCTTGTCTTTTTTTTTGGAGCGAGGGACCAACAGTGCATAGCCGGGAGCCTCCGCCGGTGGAGTGGTGAGAACGTGTATGTATGCACATACTATGTATGTACATGGTAAGTACGGATGTATGGAAGTACCGTGTCTGTCGTAGTGCGAGTAGTATGATGTACGAGGTAAGCAAGTAGGTAGATGGGATGCAGGACCAGCAGCGAAGAACCCTGGAGAGGTTCACGGGGGCGGACTCGACGGGCTGACGACAGGCGACGGGACGAAGGGGGTGTGACGTGGGTGGTTATGCGGTATGCGGGCTTGGGCAGCAGGGCAGCAGGGCAGTTGCGGTGACACAGAAACACGTGCTCTTTGGCCTGGCTGAGGCAGACGTCGGTACTGATGAGTGCAAGTGCAAGTGCAAGTGCAAGTGGGTGGGCGAGACTTGTCGACTAATAGCAAGCGGCCACGACGGAGGAGCGGAGGGATTGGGCCCAAGGCTCGCGGTGCGGGGGAGGCGTTCCTACTGGCAGAGTTGGGTCAGTGTGAGTGGTGTGCCTTATGTCGGTGAGGCCATAGGCTGCACTCGACTGGCGAGGGCATCGTAACACGTTGGAGCAGCACAGCAGCACCAGCACCAGCACCAGCATGCCAACGTCACCACCAGCCAACCCACACCAGCGGCTGGCACCGGCCTGACACTCTGCACAGGCACAGGCACAGGCACTGGCACTGGCACACGCAGCCAATGTCGATTGCATTTGCAAACCCACCGTAAAATCTGCCGCCGTCGGATGTGCCCGAACCAAACCCCCCCGTCCCCCGTCCCCACGCTGCTAGAGCGGTCGAGTCGTGTGTGGTGTCGGCCAATGGTGGCGCAGTGGGAAATGTCGAGGCGTCGCAGCGAGTGCCGTGTGCCTGTCAGTAATCTGCTCTAGTAGTCGTCGTCGTCGTCGTCGTCGTCGTCGTCGTCGTCGTAGTAGTAGTAGTAGCAGTAGTAGTTACTATTACTCGTACATGGACATACATACATACATACATACATACATACATACACACCCAGAAGAGCCGTATGAACCCAAGTAGTGTACACCGGCCACAGCGGGTCTGTGGTACATTTGCTCTGCTAGCTTGCTGACCGTCAGGCGCTGGCCCGTGGCAGTTGATGCCCAAGCGGCGCCATGGCAGGGCCTGTTGCCCGTCTCCACACCACTCGCTGCACCCTCGCCCTCGCCTTCGCCCACTCTGGCCCTTGCTACCCAAATCGCGCCAGACTCTCATGGCCGCCGTCTTTTGGCCCACGCGAATAATTACTTTGCCTGCCGTCGGTGCGCCCCTCTTCTTTTAGTCTTTTCCTTCTCTTTCTGCCTGCCTGCCCGCCCGCTTCGAGCTGCTTGACTGTTGCTACTGCTACTGCCACTGCTACTGCTGTTGCTTGCAACCACTACTGCTGCACCAGTCTGCCCTCTTCCCTCCCCTCTCCCACATCTACCTGCACCACCCCTACCCTACCAAGAATCCTTCCCTTCGCCTGCTTGCTGCCCGAAGAGCCCGTCCCCCTCTTCCCAGCCGACTGACGTGCATATCTGCGCCAGCTCCCAGCTGAGCCCATCTACTTCGGCCAATCACCCCGCACTCGCTGCGCCCAACCCTCACCTGCGGCTCTGCTCAAGCTCATCCTTCCTCGAGCCAACACACACACACACCCGCTCTCTCCCTCTTTCCTCTCAACAACGTAGCCTGCGAAAGTGCGCAATATCGCCTCTCGCATAGTCTCTAGTATCCCTCTAGGCACTCTCCTGTCGTGATCCCCGACAGCAAAACCTTACTTCCATCCTCTCCTGGCTAGGAACCTGGATCCCATCACCTTCGGTATCCCAAAACGGTCCCCGGCAGCCACGCCGTCAAAAGGTCCACTCCTGTCACAGGCTGCACGCCTCCCAGTGCCGGTATATTGGTCCAAACCCCCGCTCTTGCGTGCTGCATCTTCTTCCACCAACTCTTCTGGACATCCCTTGGTCTTGATAGCTCCTTACCCCCGGACTCTCACACCAGCCTGCATCGTCATCCCGACGTGACTAGTCTTCTGTCCAACCACCCTTCTGGAGCTCCTTCTTGGTCCCCTGGAGAGAAACAAAGGTCCCCTCCTGGTCTGTACTAGCTCCCTTAGCTTGGCCGCCCAACAGTTGGCATTGACAAAAGCGTCATCTTTCTTTTCATCACCTCCCCCACAGACACTCGTACCCACATCTCGCTGTCAACCATGTCGCGCGCAAATCAGTGGTTTGTGCCTGGTGAAGGCATCGCGCGAGAAGTAATCACGGCCGACATCCAGCGCTACCTGGGCCCAGATGCGCTCGTCAGGCCTGGCACAGGCACCGGAGAATACCAGGTCCGCAACTTTTGCCATGATGTCCACACTACGGAGCACTACTGACAAACTACGCAGGGCCAGCCCGGCTACTGGATAACGGCCTATCGAACCCTCACATCGGTATGTCTGACTGACTGGCGCTCCTCTCACTCATCACCTTCTTCTTCCACCCCCCCAAACACAACACTGACTGGTTCGCTACAGCAAATGATACAAGACTTGAAAATGGATTCCCAACGCTGGCAGCAGGAAAGACAGCCTGGCGAGACGGGCCGCGGAGGTAGCCACAGTCCACAAGTGCGCACTACAAAGGTATCAGCCGGCCCTAACGCTTCATTAGTGGCTTATCAGGACTCTCGCACACATGCTGCTCGCCAGCATTGGGGTCCGACAAAACCTTACGATCACGGCTCATCGCATGCCTCTGCCGATCCCTACGACCAGCCTCGCCAGTCGACAGCCTCGAGGACTCCCGCCTACGGCGCTGGCAGCTACTCCAGCGGTGACCCGCACTACACCACGACCCCCACATCCACCTATGGAAGCTCACACCCGGGTTACCAGCCCTCGCCCGCTGCCTCTGCCCCCAGGACATCGCCTGCGGACCCTTACTCGGCATACCCACAGCCAGGAGGACGTGACTACCCGGCGCAATCGCCCTACTCGTCGTATCCAGCCGCCACTCCTGATCCATACGGCCGCCAGGCGCCTTCCCAGTCCGCCCCGTACACTGCCTCAAGGTATTTTGGTTACTATGACGAGCCCTTTTTGGTCTATCGCTAAGCTCCCCCCGTAGTGCCACGGCAGCCGCTCCAGGCTACTACATCGCCTCGGATGGTCGGCGTAAGTACTATTCATGATTGCGCTCCACGCAACTAACATGTTTTGCCTAGAATACCCCCTGTCACAACAACCGCAGGCGTCACGCAACCCACAGTCTGGCACCTCTAGGTACAGTACCAGATAGACATAGCTTCCAAAAATCTTTCGGCCCTGTTGTTGTTGCCGCGTCCATCTGTCGAGCCCGGAGATACCCTTTTTTCCCACGCTGCTGGATGGTGCTCTGGAGTCTGGCTACCCCCCACCTAATATTTTAATGGACCATCTTCTGTCTTCTGGAAGCCCCCTTAGGGAGTTTAATCCATTTCCCCAACCAAAACAAAAACTACCCGGATAGAGAGCCGTTTTCCTAGGATCTGAAGTCATGAGCCATTCATCTGCCACACCCGGTTGGAAACTACCCATGGAAACTTGTCCATCAGGTTTTTTTATTTCCTTTGTATGTTTGATATTTATGTGTACGTTATCTGGGAAATTGGGCGTCGTCTCTCATTCCTCTTCGGATTTTTTTGACTTGCGGGGTGCGCAACCATTTTTATTGCCACGGAATCTTTCGACCCTTTCCAGCAGGACATTCATTGCAATGATGGCTATCGCTATCCTGGTAGTTGCATCTATTTCCGGATCCTGCTTTTCTTGCAATGTATATACCTGCGACCTGGACGTTGCGATATCGATGTTAACGAATGAACGGTTATTTACACATGCACAACGAGCATGCCAAATCCTGAATGCCAATGCCTTTTTCTCTGTTGAAAATGTTCGCCCTGTGTTTACTTGCTTCACGGACAGTATGGGTTGCCTTAAGCTTTTCGCCACAAGCCCTTTGCCACATGTTCATCACACGCTATAATGACTCGCATCGAGGGTGTGATGAATCTCGGATTTTATTTTCGCCCCGTTTGATCGGCCACGGGTTGCCACCGTCCTGCAGCTTCTGCTCGCAGCCTCCACGAGGCTGGCGGCATCCGGGCTGCTTCCACTTGATGATTGCAGATAAAGTACACACATTACAAGGGCAGTGGCCGAGGTATGCATGGCTGGCATCCATGCTAGTGCTGCCACGTGAACAGGGGCTCGCGAATAAGTGCACGTGACCAGAGGGCCTTTGACTACACTCTGCAACACGTGGAAGTCAACGGCGTGGCGACCGTGCAGCTTGGTGGAACAAAGAACTGGCTTCTTTTACCACGTTGAACGGGTCGGCCCTCGATCGACGATTTTATAGCGGTGCAGGTGCAAAAATGCTGTAGTCTGGGGAGCAAAACTGCCCATCCAAAGGGCAAATGGTCCGATGCTTGTGGTTGGTCATTTCGCTCCGTCACGTTTTGTCGGCACGAGTCATGGTTTGACATTCCTCTTTTGACTACGAACCCGCAACTTTGAACGAACTAGCCAACAATTATCCGGGCCCCATACCAGCACGATAGACCGCCATGCCGGTATAATCGTTATCTCGCCATATCAGATACCGAAACCCCTCTCTCTAAGTACCGCTTCGGATATGGCCTCGGATTCTGGTGCTTGGCCGCCTGGGTCTGCGCCGTACTCAAGTACGCGATGGGCCTGCTCTTTTGTGATGTGAGCATTCCTTGTTCGCTTTACATCGCTCGCCATGGTCGCCTTTTCCCGGCTGTCTGTTGCTTCGGCACTTCTAGCACAACATGTCTTCGCCGGGCGCAACTTGATCACACGCAATGAGACGCAAGATTTCACAACTAGTCTGCTGCAAGAGTCAATGGACTGGATGGACATGTACTATGACAATGAACGAGGATATCTGTTCGACTTGGACGCGGCTGCTATGGTGCACGATACGAGGTCGAGCGCTTGGTATGCCGCGGGTCTGCTCGCACGCAACGAGAACGACGATGTGGAGCAGGCGGTCAGAATTGTGACCAACATTATCCAGGGCCAATTCAAGAACGAGAGCGAGCAGTGGTACGGCGATTACCAAAAATATCCCGAGGAGCCCTATGTCGGTACGCCAGAATACCCAGCCTCAATCTACAACTCGTGGGACCCCAACTGGCGCGGCTTCATTGGCACCACGTTTGTCATTATGCTCGAGGAATTCCCGCATCTCCTCCCGCAGGACACGACGGCGTATATTCTCGAGAGTCTGTACAATACGACTATTGGTGATAGCTATCGCGTCGGTGGTGTCGATGATGACAATTTGTACCCTGCATACAGCAATCCGTCCATCATGCGCGCCTTTGTCTCTGGATACATTGGCCGACGCCTCAACGACGCAAACATGACGAGCGCTGGCGAAGCCTACGCCAAAGACATTATCGACCTGTTCACCCGCGATAACACACTCTCTGAATTCAACTCTGGCACCTACGCCGGCGTCTCGCTGTACGCGCTTACCCTATGGGCCAAGTACCTCGATCCCGCTGACAGCATCATGGGCGAGTACGGCCCCCGCATGATCCGCGATACATGGGCTATTCTCGGCCAACTCTACAACGCAAACTTGAAAAACGTCGCCGGGCCCTGGGATCGTGCGTACGGCTTCGACATGAACCGGTACTTGAGCATCCTAGCCCTGCACATGTGGACATTAGTAGGAAAAGAGAAAGCGCCAATCCACAAGAAACCCTGGGTCATGGGTCATAAAAACGACTTTGCCATCGGGCCCCTCGTCGCTATCCTCGCCCCGTTCCACAACGCTCTCGTGCCCAATACTACGCTCTCTTCCCTCACCACCTTTCCGGCTACGCACTCCGTTTCCACCTCCGCGTTCTCGCCCCCATACGATACCTACCCGCGCAACATCTCCGCATGGCTCTCCCCCTCGCTAACCATCGGCGCAACCTCCTTTTCCGAAAACGTAATCGGCGGGCCAAGCATCAACCAGAACTCCTTCAACCCAGCCGTCGTCCAGTGGGCGCGGTCTGAGCAGGAGAAAGACGGCGTGGGCTGGATTACCTTGTATGCGCAGACGAAAGCGCTACAGGCTGTTGTTGGTCCGGGGAGTTTGGAACTCACGTATCCCAATGGTGCGGGGGGCGAGACTGGGTTTTCGTTTCTCGTCGCGCCGAACGGGTGGGCGGGTAAGAGGGATGTTCGCAGTTGGGAGGATGTGCAAGGGATCAAGGTGAAGAATGTGACTGGCACGGTGAATTTGGAGTATGCGGTTACGTTTAACGGGATGTTTGGCGGGGCTGGAAAGACGATTAAGTAAGTTTTTTTTCCCCCATGAACTACTTGGAAGAAAAGGGAATAGTACTAACGGATCAATGTAGTGACTTTGAGTTTTGGAACTTTACCTACACCATGCCTGAGGGCAGCAAGGAGGTGCCGAGGATTCGGCTTGAGTTTGAAGTCGTCTAGGCGAGTGGACATGGAGAGGAGAGAGAGAGAGAGCATGGTAATGGTGGTATTATGAGAATATCACAACGCTGCACATAGGCATCATGATGACAAGATATGAATATACATAGTAATATTGAAAATCGTAATTGTTGAATAATAAGTTTACCCATTAAACATTCATCATGTACTCTTGCCAAATGCTAACTTGGCTTGCCCTTTTTCTACACCACCACCACCGGGTGGCCTCCCACGTCCTCTCGATGGTTTCGAAGTAGTCGCACTTCTTTTTGCACTCGTAGCACCAGAAGGCGGCACCACTGCCGTACGATCTTCTTGCCGCATTTCTCGTGACAGGTCGAGTGCAAAGTGATAATCTTCGTGCTCGGGTTTCTCACCAGGCGGTAGGTGGATGTTGCACCTGGGACAGAAAAATGTGTCCATGGTTTTTTGCTGGGCAGGTGATTTTGGCCGTGGAGCTGGTGGTTGTGCTTCGTTGCCTTGATGTGGAGGTCGAGAATTCGAGATGAATTGCGGTTGAGCTGATGGAGGAGTATTTGGAGGATGGATGTCACCATGCGAGCTATACCTGTTCAGTGGTGGTGTAGATGGTCTTTCAAATTCATCGCCGTCTCCAGCGAATAACGCATCCTCATCCTCTTGTGCATCAATGTCCTCTTCTGACTCCTCCTTTGTGAACTCAGCATGTGCTTTCAAAAGCACTGCTCTCGCAGTGTCAAAATCCTTCTTCTTATCGTCCCGCGGACCAAAGAAATTCGCAATGTTGCCTTTTGTTCGTCTTCGCTTTGTGGGTGGCTCGCTGCTACTGCTCGTGACTCTGCCCGTTGACATCATGGCTTTTGCTTCCTCGCCTCGTACTAAGAAGCCGCCAATGCCTTTGTTGTTTGTGATGCCGTCTTCGAAACCACCGACACTTAATGAAAGGTTTGAACAAGGCCAGGCGCGCCCGTCAACAACCGTTTGTGCCAGCAAATTCTTTGCGAGGTCAAATAGGATTGCTTCGGACAAAGGCTTGCCCTGAGGAATCGGTGCTTGGCGACTTCGAGTTTGGGTGCCTTGTCGATGGTGGAGATTAATACTCTTGGGCCGTCGCTTGTTCTCAAGCACACCTTCCTCCACACATCTTGAGAAGATGTCTGCGACAAAGATACGCAGCCATCGGACACCTTGCTCAAAGGAATTGATCGATGGCCGAAAGGACTTTGCTGAAAGCATACTTTTGATCTGTGTACGTGGATTGACCTCGCTGTTGTCCTCGCCTCGGATGGTAGAGTACAACCAGCTGCCTGTGTCCTCACCCAGCTTTTTCAATTGATCCAAGGGTTGCTCCATGAGGTCTCTAACCTTGTCCGTGCCAAAAGTAGAAACAACCTCATCTCCTAGCTTTCCCCCGAGCATTCGAATCTTGGTAAACTTCATGTCTGATAGGAAATTTTTGACTGCGCGGTTTCGTATGACGGTCTGTTGGTTTGGCTTCTTGTATCCTGAGCCCAACTTTGCAAGCATCTTATTTCTAGCCACACCACCAGAACACGTATATCCAAGTGTATCTTTGATGTGCTTCCTTACGTCCCGGACAATTTCGGATGCAATCACCATACACACATCATCCCAATCCGGGTCTCTATCCTCTCCATCTTCCTCCCCCGTCCCTACAAGCGCATCAGCGGCCCAGTCTAGCACTGTTGTTGGTACCTTTGGCAGTGGCTCTGTCGGATCGTCGTACGGTGCCGGCCCTCTCAACTCTGGGTATCTCTCCAAAAGGATAGTATGTACCTGCGCGCTCAAGTCCATAAAGACTTCGTCAATGCTCGCTTTCTCCACACGCTGTTCCTTCTCTGGCAAGATGTCTTTGATGCATTTGAGAATCTTGCGGCTCTCCTTGCGATATGGGTCCAGACTGACTTTGTGCGTCGCCATGTCTCGGAAACTGTTTTCATGGTACGCCCAGTTCTCGTCGCCTTCTTTCCATGTCGCAACATGTTGTAGTATGAGGTCGGGACATTGCTTCAGCGCTTCGGTGGATGTGACATGTCGGCTTAGCCCGAATTCGCGCGCGGGGTAGTTGATTGCTATGAGGCCCTGCCATTGTTGCACAGCGAGGGGCTTGGAAGGATCGATACCCAGACGAACGGTTTCGCACTGGGCGTAAAAAGCGTCGAGGTCGACATGTGCGATTACGCGAAGAGGAGTCTGTGGGCTGTAGGACTTGAGCTGGTGTAGTTGTTTATAGGTAAACTTCGATTTGGGGATGCGACGCGGCGAGGTGATGGAGAATTGGGACGAATAGAAATCAGGCAGCGGCGACGACATTGCAGTTACGCGGTCATCTCAGAAAATTTCAGTGCTGCACTAGAAGCGTGTACCGTCTTCCAAAAGCGTCCACTGTCGCTGCATCATCAAGAAGGCCGTGTGTTGTTGCGCGACCTTGCAAGGCGCGTATTCCCGCGGTCCCGTGCATGCGCGTCATTCATTCACAATATTGCGCTAACCAAATGCAGTCGGTATAGATCACCAGGGTCATATATGTACGCATACTGCTCTGAATTTGTTTCAGAGATATTGTCGCTCAGCAGCATGAGAAATTATTGGTATTAATATTGGTGGTATCCGATGGCCAAGTTCATGCTCCCTCGGTGTCTCATATTGCGCAATCTACATACCCTACCCTTGGTGCAGAGTGATAGCGGAGTGCAGCACCCAAGAGCATTCAAACTCACTTATCTGAATATTAAGATATATAGAAATGTGTTATAGTCTCTGTATGAAACCTTTACAAATTCTTCTTCTCGCCAGAGGAAATTGCCAAGGCTGTATAGCTGCAACGTAGTAGAATAAGGGCTCATCAAAAGATAACAAGTACGCAGAACGATATTATGCATGATCAGTTGAATATATTTGAAGCGAGCGAATCGAAAGAATTCGAGAAGTTTTGTACGTATGACAAAAAACGGGATGGGCTTGACCCAGGGCTATGGACAGGAGGAGTTCATGAGAAGAATTCATAATTGGCACGACTTCTATCCAAATCTGCCAGGGCTGCCACGTTCCTGGCGATCCAACCGCGGCTTGGTTGATTCCGCATCTGCATTGCCATGATTGGCTGTGAGGCTGCGATCCCAGACAGTGGCAGCTGCAGCACGTAGACGTCGCAACACCTGTGTCACCTTACAACCCCATCTACCCCATCTATGCACTGCAATCATTCTGGCACACTGATACTTAAGAACTAAGCCTTGGTTCCCTCGCCTTCAGGATTGTGCACAACCATACCAAGCCCCAAGTCATTGACGTCATGTTTACCACTCGATCCAATAGGAGCATCCAGCTCGCATCCTACATGATGTTTACAAGACGAAATGGCTTGGCTGGAATGACTTGAAATTCTTTTGTTTGATCTTTCTCTAAAGCTATTCTCTCTAATTGTTAGTTGTAACAGAAAGTTCTTTGCCATGATCGCAAAGCTAAATGATAAAACTGGGGAGTCTGGGATTCAGGAAGATGGTGTGCCCGTGTACGCCATACGCGAGGTACCCATTACTACGCAGAGGAAACCATGGTTTGACATTAACGACCCCAAACTCCCACATCCAGGTAAGCTTCTCTGACACGACTCAACTTGACGTGTTACTTTGCTCATCGCCAAATACACACAGCGGTAGCACGCGCGAACCTTGCGCCTTCACTGGATACGCCCCAAGGAAGCACACAAGACAACTGGGCTGAAAAACACTCTCATCAAACTGTACTTCAACAGCACTGCGACTTCTTTGACCGTGACGGCGATGGAATTCTTTGGCCACAAGACACATATATCGGTTTCTATCGCCTGGGCCTTGGAATCCTCTTCTCCGCTTTCGCGGTCCTAGTTATTCACATCAACTTCTCGTATCCGACATCTCCAGGATGGCTGCCAGACCCCTATTTCCGCCTATTCCTAAAGAATGTGCATAGGGCAAGACATGGAAGTGACACTGGGACTTTCGATCCGGAGGGAAGATTCATCCCGGCCAAGTTTGAGGAAATCTTTACCAAGTATGCGGATGGCAGGGATTACCTGACAATCCAGGATTTGAAGAATACTTTGATGGGTCAAAGAAACATCAACGATCCGATTGGCTGGTGTGGTTTCATTTTCGAATGTGAGTACTCGACAGCCCTGGGCTGATAGGGAGACACCAAAACGCGCTAACAAATGTCAACGCTAGGGACCGCGACGTATCTGATGCTTTGGCCTGAGGATGGTCGGATGATGAAAGTTTGTAGCCCTCCTAGGGGGACCCACACTCGGTATTCTATGTTGACTAACTGTTTAAAGGAGGACATCCGCGCTGTATACGATGGCAGCATATTTCATCGAATCGCAGACAAGCGCGAAAAAAGACTACAGCAGCAAGAGCAGCAAAAGAGGCAAAAAGGCCAATAATTGGCGGCCTCTTCGTCATCTGCCCCTGCCGGCAATGTCACTTGGTTCAAAGTTTCGCGGCCGCTAGTAAGCTAACCTACGTACCTAATTCTCGGCCGAGCGCGGCTTTTTGTCTGTTGCCATTACCACTCTAGGTGTATATACTTTCAGATGCTGCAGCTTGCCGAACGGTCATGCAACCCAATAGATGCATGCAAAATAACAATAGGAATTACTACTGTTGAACTTGTCGTGGTCAATGTGGGCGATCGTGATTGCGGCGCAGTGGCTGAAAGTTCGGTCCGTGAGAGGCTGGGTGGTACGCTGAATTCCGGCTATTAGGTATTGACCCCACATTGTGGCGGCGGCAGCTTCACAAGCCACATCACTACTCCATAGCAGACTTACGATTCATACGTAGTCTGCACTCCACCGGAACCACTTCCCGCTGCCTCGCCGCGTCTCCTATTCCTTCGAATACCTCCTGAGCCGTGTGGCGAGTAGGTGCGCAGCCATGTTAACAACTGCCGTCTAAAGGACAAGACCCGAATTAATTGGCATACCAGGTTGGCATTCTGGGCAAAAGACGCCAATTTTTTCTTCAACGAAGCTTCTATATGAGGTTACGTGCAGAGAGATCGACGACACGTGGATCTGTCATACTAGCGCTGATCTCCCACGAGGATCTCGGTGGTATTCTTCTGAACGATCTGCACTACCCTTTGGACGGCCGAACCACGGAACCGTGATGTGCGTGCATGTGCGTTTCAGTGTACGTCGATCATCACGGTCAGCACTCAGATGATGATTTGTATTTAGCATAAGAGCTGCTTTGAATGCAGAGGTTCATCGCGATAAGGTTTGGGCAACTTGGAGTTGCAATCATCGATGCACGGTGATACTGAGCACATCCGATCATGCGAAATGGTGCGAATTGGTGAGAATCGGTGCGAATTAGTACGAATTGGTAGGGAATCCCGTCTTTAATTCAAACTATTATTGTAACGTAAGATGGATACGCACGGCGTATCTCGGCATTACAGCCTCTGTGGCGCTTCGTGGCTGACCAGGCTCGCTTCGTCTGTATCGTCTCTGCTATTGCTATGCTTCACATTATACGACGTCTGGACCCTGATGCCCTCCTCAACTTTGTCATCAAAGGATGCAGTCCGTGGGCTCGATACAGCAGTGTTGACGTTGTATGATTTGCTTTTCTGTTGGCCGACGCTGCGCAGCTCATTGCCGCTTCCGTAGTTGTAGTATTGACGGCTGCGTGCCGAGGAGCCACCGAGGATCGGGAAGAGTTTGACTAGGAGGAGGCGAAGTGTCGGAAGGCATGCGCTGCGACCATATGTTAGCAAAAAATGCGATAAGAAAATACATGGTTCAGACAAAGTTAACTTACCACATGATTCCAACGCATATCTCGACCGTGCTCCATACTGAGACGTCGTAGAACTCCCAGCTAACGTTTGATGACGCGGCGAAGTGCACTAAGGCCTGCAGACGCAGAATGCTAACCACTGTAACGAAGGTGCCAACGCAAAACATTAGTGCTACACCGACCTTCTTCTTCCAATGCAGCTTCAGGCCCCAAAGCTGCCAGAGAGGTACGCCTAGGATCCAGAAGTCCAAAGCAATCGAGATGGCGGCGTTTGATGCGGTAATTGCGTTGATCTTGAGACATTTGCCTTCATGCATGCCGTCCCATTTCGTCCAGAAGTAGTAGATCGGTTGGCATTGAAAAATCGCCACGATGATGAAAGCGAGGCCCCAGAGTACGACGAAAATGACGGTGCCCCATAGTAAACGCTGGACGTCTTTGCTGGGAAACACGCGGATGTAGAAGAACAGCAGGGTGAGCTTCAGTAGCGAGAGTTGGGTGAAGTATAACCATGCCATGATGTAAAAGTACCGCAGCATGTTTGTGATTTGTGTGGGAGTCAAGGTCCAGAGGTCTTGACCAAGTCCGTTCTTGACAGTGCCGTATACCGTGATGAAGGCGCTGGGTATGGCAGCTATCAGTGTCGCAAGGACGCACCAGTCGTCCCAGCCAATGTCCAGTCTCGACATGGTGACCTTGAAGGCGAATCGAATGATAACGAAGGCGGATGCTATGCACAGCATGGTGTTTGACAAGATGACATAGCTGTTGCCGCGATCGCGTACTGGAGCCCCGCAGTTGGTAAGGCTGATATTTCGTGTAACTTTATACGAATTAGCCTTTTTTGCTTTTTCTCAACGGGAGTGGATTCAAAATACCCAAGGCTTCGGGAATGGTGCAGGTAGTGCTCACGCACAGAGTTACGTTGTGCTGGAAAACCTTGTTTGTACAAATGCAAGCTTGGTCAGTGGGAGAGCAAGTGTTGGTTTTGAATGCGCTCCCGAGACAGAGTAGCTGTAGCAGTCAGCAAAAGTCGAGATACGAGAAGCGAGCGTAGCTTACGGCGCATGCGGGGAGATCTGATTTGGCAGTCTGCTGTGCCGTGGTTACCATTGAGATGGCAGCAAGGCACAGCAGAAAGTAATTTCGGAGAAAGGCCTTCATGGTGATGCTGCTACTAGACCTGACTGGCCAGAGGACAAGTACATGGAAGTTGGACTCTGTTATGTAGCTGGTATGAGTGAAACCGCAAAAAGGTCACGAGTGAATCAGCGGCGGCAAAGGTAATGCTATTTAACCCACGACTCGAAACGGAAGGTGTTCTTGGGGTATGATGTGCACAGGGGTTCCATTCTACGAACAGTTCATGACTGAAACCTACGAGTCGTGGCGTCACCCGTCATCGGTATGAACTGCCGGGTACAGGAGCGTAGCCGACCATGGCACTTTCGATAGCGCAAACTTTGCGAGAAGCCGCTGTCGCATAGTCTCTTGGACTCTGCATGTACTAAGAGTAGAACGGAATCCATGTTCACAAAGGGGTCCTTTCATGTGCCAGCCGCCTTAGCGACACGTGGGGAATAATCCGGCGTGTCAGGCGAACGCCACACACGCTAACCGAAAGCCAATTGTAAAGTCCCAACCGATTTGCCTCCACTTGCTAGGGGTTCAACAACGAAGAACGTTGGAGTCGAAGGAATATGATCAAAGGGGGTATGGTAGGGGTAATTATAGCGCAATAACACATGGTGAATGGAGATGTGGGGTTGAACAGTGGCACCATCATCGCTCTTCTTATCTATCACATCCACTCAGATACAAAAGGTGTCTCCATAGTTTGACCACTCCCAATCCTACGTAACAGGACGGCCCTCGGTAAAGGATCCACACCCCAGCGTGAACCCACCCGGTTAAATCCCTCCATTGATCTGTGGACCCACCATGCCCTGCAGAAGGTCGACGACCCGTACCTGCGGCTATCAGTTTCCGCCTTGAGCTTTTCGCCGGCATCCAGCCCATTGCAAGGCTGGTGCCTTGCCACGGCATCAACGTGTGGATACACTGCGCCGGGTCGACACTACCGGCGCTGCATTCCTACACGAGGCGACGGATGGTCGCTAAACTGCCTTCTTCGAGCTGGGCTCCGAAGTAAGGATGGTGGGTTCGAGGCAGTGCGAAATGAACATTCAGGCAAGCAACGAGTATATATCAAGGGCTTGCAACATGTTCCTTTGAATCCACCACTACTACTATCTAATACTTTTTCTCTTCACTACAGGATGAGGTTCGCCGAGAATGCCCTGCTCCTTGGGGCGTTACAATGTGCTCGTCTTGCAGACGCTGCTACTGCAGACTGCTACCGTCTGCCAGGTGACGCCGATTGGCCAACTACTGAAGCATGGTCGATCCTAAACTCAACTGTCAACGGAAAGCTTGTAGCTACTGTCCCCATCGGTTCGCCATGTCACGACCCAACATACGATGCCGATGCTTGCAGCGCGCTGAAGTCACAATGGCTGAACCCTCTTACACAGTAAGTACAAGAGTCATGTACGTTCACATTCTTCTGGATATGATTTTGATACGTCTTGGCAGTACCCCCTCCTCGCATTCGGTTATGCAGTCCTACTTCGCCAATCAGAGCTGCGATCCATTCTCGGATAGGAGCATCCCTTGCACCCTGGGCAACTATGTCTCATATTCTGTCAAAGCCACCGAGGCAAAGGATGTCGTGTCTGCTCTCAAATTTGCCAAGGATAAGAAGATTCGTCTTGTTGTTCGCAACACTGGTCATGACTTCCTTGGTCGCTCTACTGGAGCCGGCGCTCTTGCTATCTGGACGCAAAGTCTAAAGAGCATTACCTTTGGTGACTGGTCGGATAAGTACTACACTGGCCCGTCCGTCACTGTTGGTGCCGGAGTCATGGGCAATGAGTTGCTAGAGGCGGCACACAAGCAAAATATGAGTGTTGTGTCTGGCGAATGCGCCACTGTTGGTCTGGCCGGAGGATTCACCCAAGGTGGTGGTCACAGTGTTCTCAGCACTGCCTTTGGTCTTGGTGCCGATCAGACCTTGTCTTTCAACGTGAGAAACTCTATGTTACAAGCGAAAAGAACCACGACTAATGATTTATTTCTAGGTCGTTACTGCTGAAGGCAAGATTCTCACTGCTTCAGCGACCGAAAACTCTGACCTCTACTGGGCTCTCAGCGGAGGAGGTGGTGGCACATATGCTGTCGTCCTTTCAATGACTGTGAAGGCATACCCATCCAAGAAGGTTGGTGGTGCTGCTATGCAACTCCTGGCATCATCTACCACCCCCGAGAAGTTTGCCGCAGCCACTTCCAAGCTTATCGAGCTCCTTCCAGGAATGGTCGATGCTGGTGCCATGGTGGTCTTCTTGGTCTCCACCCAGTACATTGTCCTCAAGCCCGTCACTGTTTGGGACTCGACGTCTGCGTATGTCAAGGACACTGTGCTTGCGCCTTTTGCAAAGGCTCTTACAGACCTTGGCATCACCCCGCCAATTGTCTATAGTGAGCTCTCTTACCGCGACCACTACGACCGCTACATGGGTCCTCTCCCACGCGGAGCATACGAGGTCAACAGGTACCAGTTTGGCGGTCGTCTCATTCCCCGCGATGTTGTGGAGAACAACACTGCGGACCTTGTCAAGGTCTATCAAGAGCTCATTGCAGAGGGTGTCTTGCTTGCAGGTAGCACAGCCAATTACAAGAAGCCCGCTGGAAACCCCCCAAATAGTGTGTTCCCAGCATGGCGAAATGCTCTGATTCAGCAACAACTCATCACAAACTGGAACTCCACTGCTCCCTGGGCCACCATGGAGGCAGACCAGCAGAAGATGACTACCAAGCTCATGCCCAAGCTCGAAGCCGTTACTCCAGGCAGTGGCGCATACCTGAACGAGGCTGATTTCCAGCAGCCCAACTGGCAAGATACATTCTTTGGTACCAACTATGACAAGCTGAAGGCTATTAAGGCCAAGTACGACCCCAGGGGTGTTTTCTATATCCTAAAGGGTGTTGGTAGCGAGGCATGGGAAGTCAGCACAGATGGCCGCATGTGCCGTACTTAGAAAGTGAAGTTTATTCTTAGAATCTTCTTCTGTATATAGTATTTTATCGCAGGCTTTACTTAACTTAAAACTGCATAGGAATTTCTAGAATTTTTTTTTCATCTGTGTCACATGATAGTATGTAAGAATCGTTTGAGCGATTAGCGCGATCTGTTCATATTATAAGTTATGGTTTGTGGCTTGATGCGACACAACTGGTGATATTGCTTTTTGTTGGGTGGAACACAACGTTGGGCACTGATCGACTGCCTGCACTTTCAGAGGACCTCGGATGCGTGGGTTTAGTGTGCGTCCGTGCATACGAAGCTACATAAAAAAAGATCAACTTGAAGGTATGTGCCAATCGACCCTCACCCTACAAGATCTTGGTGTTGACTTTACATGGACAGATGTGCCCTAGCGATGCGACGTCTCACTATCATACATCTCTGTGGATCCAGCCAAGATGCACACATATGGCTTCGCGCGTCTAGCCTCTGCGGAGAAATCTCACTAGGTATAAGATTCCGCAAATGCCAGCACAGGCTGATAGAGGAAGCCCTTTTTGGTATCTCGAATCGAATTCTCGGAGGTAGTTAGCTGAAAAACGCAGAGTTTTCTTGAAAATCGGTGGGTGACACGCTATTTTGCTTCGTTTCTGGCTAAAGTCTAGTGTCCTCCGCGGCGTCCCATTCCTTTTCCTGGTGGGAACACGGGACTTGTCCATGTTCTGGATACCTTCCTGAGTGGTTGGCTCGTTGTGTTCCTTGGAGGTTTAAGAAATCGTCCACGGACTAAAAGAGACGATATAAGAGCTGCTCCGTCGGATCCGTTGTGGTCTGCTGCACGTTCACGGGATGCTGAGATGAAATATTGACAGGAGTTGAGCAAACGGAAGCTCTAGCAGGTGGAGGCAAGAGCATTGGGCTTATATTATATTTGGCTATATTGCAACTCTAGATGGTGGGGGTAGCTATGTAGGGTGTGTCGGTGCCCAAAGCCTTGAAAGTTTTAAACAAGGTACATATGTGATTTGCATCAAAAGCAGCTCAAGAACAGTAGTACAGGCAAGACAATTGGCTGGAACAACCTTTGAGTAAATCTAGATGCACGAACAGCATACCAAAATCGGTTGTATCACATCCAGGTGCCCCGCGTACCTTGATGTGGCTTCACTTGCTGCCGACACGTGACATTGCCTATTTGCTCGTGATTGGCTACGGTACAAGTGCCCTAACCAATCATAGTGCTTCGTATCCCCAAATCCTCTCCTTAATATCCAGTATTATCTGGACCAAATGCATGTATGCTTGATGATTTTGCGGCTGTATCTGGCCGTTGCTACAGACACGAACTCTACCCTAGCTTCTTACCTCCCCAGCCCCAGCATTAACTGAGCCTGTCCAGCGATATGCTGCCGCCTCACCTCTAGTAGCACTCCATCCAAGCCCTTAAACCTATGGACAATACGCAGCAGCACCATCCCCCTGAGCACTTGAGCTCCTGGTCAAGGCCAGGTGCAAAGGTGGCTATTCCACGACTACAAAACATCAACTATCACTTGTCTGCCAGAGCGCGACCTCAGCGTCCCCGTACCGACGTAGTGAGTAAAGCCGTGAGTCCCGGCATTCCGATAATTATTGGGCCAGAGCTGACAGCCGGTAGTGTATGCAGTGCCGTAAGCGAAGTGGGCCTCTCTTCCAGCTTAACCTGTGCATTTCAGCTGCTTCTTTGCTCTGACTGAGTGGCCGATGTTGTCTTGGAAGGTAGAGCTCGCTGACCACAGTCAGAAATCAAATGTTCCGGTGACCGGCCGCGCTGTACCAACTGCCAGCGCCAGGGAAAGGACCATGCGTGCTACTATGAACAGGAGCGCAAAGACCGCCTCCGAGGGTGCGTAGAGTTCATGCCGCTGGCTCCGCGGTTTCTGCTGACACAGGAGAAAGCGCGTTACGCAAGGTGCAGATTCTGACAGCCCTTTTCAACGACGTTAGTACCCAACTGGACGAGAAAGGCAAGAATAAAATCCAAGAAGTACTGGCGTCTTTTGAAGACGACACACCTTCTCTCTCGACCCCCTTGGTACCCTCTGTGCTACACTCCAAGCGCCAGAGACAAAGCTCTTATTTCGATGACGACGCCGTGAGCTCTACTTCTGCAGATGTAGGAGAGGCGTTTGTTTCGGCCTCGGTCGGGTCAAATGAAGACCTGGACTTTGTTCAGGAGGATCTCTTGCGTGTGAATGAGGCAGAAAGTGCAGGCTTCATGGGCCGTAACTCACAAGCCCAGTGGCTGCGTGCACTCGAGTCCAAGGTGGAACAACCGGGAGGCGAGCCTTCCTTTTCAAACTACGGGCCGCCTGGAGCCAGTTCAGAAGCCTTCAACCGTCGTGCTGAAGCACTCCATGGGCGTCAACAGAAGAGTGGCTATACGCAGGCCAACGCGAACTCGGCAACCAACTACTATTTTTACCTCGACAAGGCTAACATCGATGTCGAAATCGGTGACCCCAACGTCGTGCCCTCTGCTAGTACAGCACAGAGTTTGTTCGGCTACTACAAGCATGCAGTGTATAGTCCGTTCAAGCTCGTCGACGATGAGTTCGAGCGACAACTACAATTCTATCTCAACGAGAAGGATGGAATAGTTACGGCAAACGTGTGCCCCAAGTGGAAAGCTGTCATGAACCTTGTGTTCGCCATCGGTGCGCGGTACTCGTATCTAGTCGACGCTGAGTGGCGAGCGGACGATCGCGATCATCTGGTCTACATGTGGAGAGCGATCCATCTCTTACAGCTACAAAATATGAGGACTCTCGTTTCGCACCCGGAGCAGCGACTGATACAGGTGAGCATGGAAAACTACTAAATACACCCTTCTGATGAGGTACAGGCGATCGGACTTCTTGCACTATACTACCTCACGATCGGCCACGTTAGCAGGTACGTTCGAAACCACGGCGAAATATTCCAGAGCCGGAGACACAAACACTTGCTGAGATGGTGCTCAGAGCCTGGTTCATGATCGGTATGGCTATCCGACATGCGCAGGCTGCAGGTCTGCACCTTAGATATGAGAATCCCTCTATACCCAACGACCGGAGAAATTCATTGGCTGAGCTGTGGTGGGCCCTCAACTCTGTTGAATGCGTTCTTACTGCAATATTGGGTCGCCCCCGGGCAATATATGCCAACGACTGCACACTACCCCCACCGGGTACTGTCAGGACCGAGACGGAATCGAAGTCGCGAGAAGCTACAACAGACAATACTTTTACCACTGCTTCGGTATACAGCCGTGGCTCTGGCTCTTCTACTGGGGAGAAGAGCGCTGCACACAATTTGGATAACTTCGCTGCAGCCTATGTCAGGCTCGACATTCTCATGGACAAGATCCTCACTGGACTCTATTCGCCACGAAAGTCTGTCAGGTCATGGAAGAGCGCACAGAGCATGATTGCCTCGCTCTCTGAAGAACTTGAAACCTGGGCTTTGCAATCGTTGCCACAGGGCGCGCCTGTTGCTGCTGCTGCTGCTGCCGCCACTGTTGATCACAGTTTAGATCGCGAGCGCTTGCTGCTCTATCTATACTACTACAATGCCAAGATCTGCATCACTCGGCCATGCGTCTGTAAAACGGATGAGCGGATAAAACGACAGAGCGAAGAGTCTTCGCGCTTCAACCAAAAGACAGCTGAAGCCTGTATCGGAGCAGCTCTTGACATCGCAGCGCTGCTGCCTGATGTCCCGAACCGTTCTTGGTACTATGCAAACGGTCCTTGGTGGTGCGCCACACATATGAGTAAGCATCCTTGGTAGTTATACCACATGAACTGTTAGACTAACTCATACGATGCAGTCATGCAGGCCCTCACCCCGCTTTTGATCGAGCTTTCATTGGACTGCGTCCACTTGACCATCGACATGTCTCACGTGACATCTTGTGTCGAAAAGCTTATAGCGTGGCTTCACTCGATGAAGACTGTTGACGCGGTTAGCGAGAGCGCATACAATGTCGTCACCAAGGTGCTCAGCAGACAACGATCAGAAGACGCTGCCAAGAAGCAAATGCCCCATCCAGAGCACACTCAAGCACTTGGCCGCCAGGAATATGGGCCATTACAGCAACAGCCTGGCTCGCAGCAGTCATACCAAATAACAAACCACCCGCATCAGCTACAGCAAATAGAGCATGCATGGCCAGGGCCTGATGAGTTGGGTAGTATGCCCTACTTTCCGCAGCCCGATATCGGGAGATTCTACCAGAATAACGCGCCCAGCTCTGAATATCTGACTAGTTCGAACACGGGCATACACGAGTTTGGCCAGCCGCAGATGAGTTTGTTCTATGCAAATCCTTTTATGGCTACGATGGACCAGTGGGATTGGGACTCGATGGCGGTGGAGGATACAGGTCACGGACATGGACAAGGTATGCACCAGTATCAAGGTCAGAATTTTGGTGGTGGACCGTCTCAGTGATTTTGGGGTATGGAAGAGGAGGGGATCTTTTTTTGATCGTTAGGAGTATTTTGGGAGGTCGCTGGTATTTACATATAGGGATGTGTTGGGCGGAGACCTTGAGCACGGAACAAAAGATTATTACCAACCAAAAGAATAGTTACAATTAACGAATTCATTCATCTCTGAATCGTATTACTTCTTCATCCAATTAATGATATGGAAGGAGATATGATGCCTTTCCAAGGAAGTTTTTCAAATTCCTTAAACTTCACAAGCTTCCACTTTGAACATACCCTCAACAACAGCACAATCCCTTCCATACCGACTGATAGCATCCCTAACCGCATCTCTCACATCCATCATCTCAACCCCCACAGTCTCATTCTCAACTAAGTCGCTAAACGACTCCTCTCTACCCACTTCCTCCTCATAAAACTGATTGCAAACCGCCAACCCCTTAACTGCCTGCGCAATCCCCTCTCCCCCAGGCTCACCCCTCTCATACCTCCCCAAAACCATCATTGCATTCCGAAAAATCCTCTCAACATCCACCTCTTCGACTTCAAACTTGGTGCCCAACTCCTCTTCCAGCACACGCAGCAATCCACGCTGCGTAAGATACGAGGGCTCACCCGGTCGCGCTACAAACGGACAAATATGAATGGCGCGATTCATTACCGCCTCCGGATCCCGCAGCATGCGTGCGGCTGCACGGGCGAGAACGGGTAGTGGAGTCCAGTACAGCGGGACGTTACCCGTGCCATAGATGCGAGCGTGAGACGTAGGTAGGGAGAAGCCCGCGGGACCTTTTGTCAGCCCTATTCACGCATCAGTATTGCATTTCCTCTCCTTCCAAAAGCGCCTACCCCAGTAATCTCCCACACGTGATTCTCCTCCCCTCCTCCCCCCCCAAATAGGATAAAAGTTGAGGAATAAGACGAAGAAGAAAGGGGAATAACATACACATATCCATAAAAGCGCCCCCATTCAACCCAACCCACCCCATCTTTCCTTTCCTCCCTATTTCCTCCAATTCCTTCCTTATCCGCGCTTTCGCTCCTACAAATCCCTCTGGCAAACGCGTGTACCTTGGACTCTGCACATTACTCACAAACTCGTTTGCGAAAAACAACTTCACGCCAGCCGCTAATGCAGCATCGATGATAAGGCGGTAAGCAGCATACTGAGTTGCGCTGCCGGTGATACAGTTTACGATTGCGTCTTGACCCGAGAAGGCGGTGAGGAGGGAGGTAGGGGAGGTGTAGTCTGCGTGTTTGTGGAGGAGAGTTGTAGTGCAGGTGGAGGGGGGAGGGGGAGGGGTGTAGGAGGAGGTTGGGCGGGTGATGAGGGTTATGGTTTTGAAGGGGGTGGGGGAGGGTTGTTGGAGGAGTTCGTGGAGGATGGCGGTGCCGAGGGGGCCTCCAGGCTGTGTGGTGGGTGAGTTAGATGGGTGAGGTGGGGTGGGAAGGGGGCGTACGTACGCCGAGGATTGCGATGGCTTTGAGTTCCATTATTTCGTTTTATTTTTGATTTGTGTTGTAATAGTTGGGATTAATGGGGGCGTTGGTGGTTGATGGTGGACTTGGTCAAGGTGAAGTGTAATTTTTTGAGTCTGGGAGTAAATTGTACGATGTAGTCGATATGTACAATTCTGTGTTCTCCTCTAAATCCAGATGAACAACTACAAAACATCTCTCATGAACAAAATACTTATAGTATCATCTGTATTTCCTTTTGTGCTCAATATCAAAGCTAGGCTTCACCAGGCAGCTCACGTCCATTGTTGCCTTGTTGCCTAGTCTCAGAGCCGCCATGCAAGACAACGGGAGGATTGACACCGGAAATAGGCGATTCGCCTCGGCCCCGACGGCAAGGTTAGATCGGACGCCCAATGAGGTAATACACGACGCGCTTGTTCTGATCGGGTGTCGTGCATTGGCTGGCTGGACAGCGTGTTCACGTGTCGTGTTTCGGCATTTGAATGCTCGAGGTCAAACGCCGATGACGTTGGTCAACCCTTGGATCTTGTACCTGGCATCTGGCAAGCTGTCGCATGATATCCTGGAAATGGCGGTTTAGAATTGATTCCAAGCTTGGTAAAATAGTCCAAGATGGAAATTTACATAGTCTTTAACCTGCACACGTGTTGTGCGGAGTATGCAATCACCATGACGATGGCGGGGCTGCCGAGCATGGCGGGGTATCAGCACCAGAAACTCAATGTTTGTCGCAAGATATTCTTGACTGCAAACAATGGCAATGCGACGGTAAAATATCATTCTATTATCAGGATGAGTGAATTGCTGTATGCTATATCTGTATGGTGGAAGTCTCGGTCCGAGATGGACCGGCAAGAAGAGCTCCGCTGGCGGAGCAGGGCAGTGCAATAAAGAGGATGCAAATGCCGCTTTGCTAGAATTGACATTTGCCATTTTCCCACCTCTTTCTCTCCTTCATTCTGCTTTATCCAAACAGGCTTCAAACTCTGCCTTTACCTTGGTCTCATTGCCTCATACTCACCCACACATCCCACGCACATATCAACATCATGTCTCAACGAGCGGCGCTGTTAATTGGCAAGCTGTCACATGCGCAGAAAGAGTGGCAACAGTGCGCCGAAGTTGCGTCCAAGCTATACGAGTACCCCGATGGTAACCGCGAAGACTTCATTTCCAAGTGCAAGAGCGGCGAGTTCGACGGGATTTACGCTCTCTACAGGAGTAACGACTCGAACCCGATTACTGGTGATTTTAATGCTGAGCTGCTCGATGCGCTCCCAAAGAGCCTAAAGTACGTGTGCCATAATGGCGCAGGATACAACAACATCGACGTTGCGGCATGCACAAAGAGGGGCATTTCCGTATCGAGTACGCCAATTGCAGTCAACGACGCGACTGCCGACGTCGCCATCTGGCTCATGCTCGGCGCCCTACGAAACATTAAGCAATCATACATGGCAGTCAACAGCGGTGGGTAGCAGCATCTGCAATAATGTCAAATCTGATGCTGACAATTTCAAATAGGAAAGTGGCGTGGCAACTTTTCCCTCGGACACGACCCCAAGAACAAGACGCTGGGTATCTTGGGCATGGGTGGCATTGGTTCGGCTGTCGCACACCGCGCAAAGGCCTTTGGCATGAAGATACAATATCACAACCGCCGCCAGCTGCCTGCTAGCGAGGAAAACGGCGCCAAGTACGTTAGCTTTGAGGAGCTGCTCAAGACGTCGGACGTGCTGAGCTTGAATTTGGCCCTCAACCCTTCGACTACGCATATTATCGGCAAGGAGCAATTCAGTCAGATGAAGGATGGCGTGGTCATTGTAAATACAGCGCGAGGCGCGTTGATTGACGAAGCGGCGTTGGTGGATGCGCTCAAGAGCGGCAAGGTGTGGACTGTGGGACTAGATGTGTTTGAGGAAGAGCCAAAGATCCATCCCGGACTGTTGGAGTGCGAGAATGCCGTACTGCTGCCTCACGTTGGCACGGCGACGTTTGAAACTCAGGTATGTTGTGTGGGAAACGAAAGAAAACAAGGACGAAGCTAACATGGCTGCAGCGTGACATGGAGATCTTGGTGCTGGACAACCTCAAGTCGGCGATTACGAGCGATAAGCTATTGACGCAGGTACCGGAGCAGAAGACGGAGAAGGCGAACATCTAGATGATAGAGGAGATGGATGGGTCTAGGCCTGGTAGCGTAGATGCACTGCATAGACTAATTGATGAATCATGATAGCCCCCAATACCGTAATCTCTTTCTGTCTGGGTGTCATGCAGGAGTGGTGCAATCTGTATGAGTGAGATGCACGATTTATATGTCGATGCTGAGAGTCAAGAGTGCGGAGTCAAAACGTGGGATCCGGGGTCGGTCTTTGAGCGGGCATGGCGAGCGACTTGGCGAGGCGAGCGCGTTTCTCAGATGTGGCTTGCTGGCATCGGTGTTTGACCAAGAAGCATGGCGATTGAGCATCGCAAAATGGGTGCGACTCTTTCTGTTCTTCGAATTTGATGCTGTGAATTCACATGTGAATAATCGAGGCAAAAAAAGAGGCAGAAATCTGTCAGACGGGTGTGCGAACAGGGCCCCTCCACTTGCCGGTACCAAGCCAGAGGTAGGATGTAACCTGCAGATGCACCGCCGGACAGAGGCCGTCTCTACACCGCCCACGCTTTGGTTCCTTGCCACAGGCTTGATATGACGTCCGTTTCTTTTGCGCAACACCGCAGGTACCCAGATTAGTAGTCCTACACATATCCGAGAATAATTGTTCTCTGTCGGATATGTGTGCGTAACAAGCCAGCAGCATTTGAACAAATCGGATGGATATGCCAGTCCCCGAGGTTGCCGACCCCACTGGGGACAGCTCAGGCCAGGAGAAATTTGGGGCCCCGCTTAGGCGTCAAGGCAACACATGGACTTTTGGAGGTGGAGTCCCCGCGAATGTCGGATGGCTGGTCTCCCCCCCGCGCGCGTCAAAAGACGTCACATGTGCCGCCTTTTGTGCCGACAGGCACACGGCGCCAATTGAACCCTTTGCGGCGGGTTTTGCTCGTAGGTCTTTCTGGGGGAGAGGGCAGGCCTAGTGGAGACGTTGGGAATTGGATGGGGTTGGGGGGCGACTGTTATTTAAATGGAGAGAGACCGCCCACCCTAGTCTTTATTATTGCAAACGCTTTGCACGTTTCTTCTTTCTTCTTGTTTTTATACTGCCGTGTGTGTGTCGCTGTCGGCGATATATTTGACGGCTGACGGGAAAAGGAATCATGGCGATGCTTAATATGGGTGAGGTCTGGGCGGACATCAAGTTGTACCGCCGAGCCTACTTGCTTACTGCTGTGGCCTCATTCGGCGGTATGCTGTTTGGCTGGGACACTGGCTTGATCGGAGGTAGGTGACTTGTGTAACAATGGACGTTGGTTCTGTTTATGCTAACCTCAGGCGATGCGCGCAGGTGTCTTGACCATGGATGCGTTCCAGAATTCCTTCAACCTGCACAAGGGCAGCCCCGACTTTGCCAATCTACAGGGCAACATTGTGTCTGTACTACAAGCGGGTTGCTTTTTCGGCGCATTGGCGAGTTTCTACGTCTCGGACACGTTTGGCAGGAAATGGGCGCTTATTATCGCCGACATCATCTTCATTGTCGGATCCTTGATCCAGACGCTGTGTGGGCTTGGCACGTCGAATCTTGCCCAGCTATACGTCGGACGTGTGATTGGTGGATTTGGAGTTGGTTTGATCTCTGCCGTCGTACCTACCTACATTGGAGAAAATGCCCCTCGAGCGATTCGAGGCCGTTGCATTGGTTGCATGGTATGGTTGCTTGCATAAAATTTGGTGGGTAGATGTGGTGGACTGACAAAAAACAATAGCAACTCTTCAACGTCACGGGCATCTGTTTGTCCTTTTTCGTCAACTACGGCATCGCTCTGCACATCACCAGCCCCACCGATGCCACCAAATGGCGAGTACCTTTTGCACTGCAAATGCTGCCTGGAGCTATTCTGCTTGCGGGCATTATTTTCATGAACGAATCGCCCCGCTGGCTGGTGGAAAAAAACCGGATCCATGAGGCTGCTGAGGCGCTGGCTACAGTGCGCGGCAAGAGGGTCGACGACCCCGAGGTTATCGAGGAACTGGATGAGATTATCGCAGACTTCAATGGCCACGAGAAGATGCCCTTGCTTGCCCAGATCAAGGCGTCCTGCTCGGGCAAAAAGATGTTCTACCGGTCGTCATTTGTTGTCATTCTCATGTTCTGGCAGCAATGGACTGGCACAAACTCGTATGACTCTGATACTTGTTCGATTAGATGCAGGAATGCGGCTGACCTTGGTTAGGATCAACTATTACGCCCCGCAGATCTTCCAGCAGATTGGTCTTACCGGTAAATCATCGGGCTTATTTGTAAGTGCGAATGGTGGCTTGTTGCATGTACATGTACATACATATATGTATGTATTGACGGGGAGTTGAAACGGTGCTAACGGTGTGACTATATAGGCAACCGGTATCTACGGCATTGTCAAGATTGTGGTAACGGCCATTGGGCTAATGGCATTTACCGAGCAGCTCGGACGCAAGTGGTCTCTGATCATCGGGTCCCTCGGGCAAGCGTTTGCCATGTTCTACATCGGGGTCAACCAAGCGGTGCACCCACCATCGGGCGACCTAGACGGCAACGCAATATTTGCCATTGTGTGCGTATACCTGTTTGTTGTCTTCTACTCATTTGGCTGGGGACCCATTCCCTTTGTGCTGGCCTCTGAGTGCAGTCCCAACCAGGTACGTTCGCTGCTCATGGCGGCCTCGCTCATGACTCAGTGGCTGTTCAACTTTGTGATTGCAAAGATTACGCCATTGATGCTGGACAACATTACGTACGGAACGTTCCTTTTGTTTGGCTCGCTGTGCATTGTCATGGGGGTGTGGGCGGTGCTGTGTGTTCCCGAGACCAAGGGAGTGCGGCTCGAGTCAATTGGCGAGCTGTTCGAGGGCAACATTATCAGAGGGTGTATCCGGGACACGATTCCCAGCAAAGCACGGGCGACACAGCTGAGGGACCATCATGCGACGGCGGACGAGGGAGATTCAATCAGGAGCGGCAAGGCAGGCAAGACAGGGCGCGTGGAGCAGATCGAAGACGCTTAGGGCAGGGTAGGCGGAGAAAGACGATGGCAAAAAA